GTTTTTGTGAAATCCGATGTTTTTGCGAGGTCGTTCACATTTCCAATTAAATGTGACTTGTATGTGATCTCCAGTGTGAACAGTAAATGGCCCGAAGGTGTCCCGCATGCACAATGGAGGACACGATGACGTCAACCGCAGCAAGAGTGTTTACAGAAGTTGTCCAAACATGGACTCGAGCATTGAGCACCTGGTGATTTTAAAGTTTCTCTTGTACCGGAGCCAGAACATGAACAACTTCCGTGTTTTAAGGAGGAAATTGAGAAGGGCATTTTGTGAATGCACTTTGGCCGTTCACACTGAAGTCGCATGTCAAAAGATCGGATATGTATCGGATTTCAGGACCACATATCCAAGTGGCCTGGGTCGCATTTGAAAAAATCAGATCTGTGTCGTTCAGACTGTCATTAAAAGATCAGATACAGGTCACATAGGGGCCAAAATCGGATTTGGGTCACTTCAGGCTGCAGTCTGAACGTAGCCTATCTGTGTTAAAGGTATACACTTGTTTATGTGTGTGTGAGTTTGTGTGTGTGACCATATATAATGTTGAAAGGTGTGAAAAAATAAATTGAACTGAAATTGAGCTGAACTGAAAAAAGCAGAAAAGTTGTATATATATCGCGCACGTATCAGTCATTTCTAATTAGGTCCAATTTCAACACTGTTTCTATTTCTATTTCAGTACGATTTCTCAAGTTCATATATGTCTCTTTGCACACTCATACTAAGAATTTTTTTATGAAATTCACTCAATCGGTGCTTTTCTTCAGTGACTAAAACAGCTTTCAAATATGAAAATGGGTCAAGCTAACTGACTGGCAGCTTGTAATTGCTCGTTGTATTATAATAACTTCTAGTACTTCATTTTTTACAACCAACGAAACAAGTTTGATTGCCTCATTTAAATAAAGTTAGCTTGGAATATTTATGGAAGAAGTATTTTAGATGCACATAATCTTAGGAGGCCAAACTGTATCTGTAAAGGTGTGTAACTTTTTGGTTAGGGGTCTGTCACTGTCTACTCTACCGCTCTACTTTACATTTATTTAATTACAGGTTGTTTTATAGCTCAAAAATACTCAGAAAATAGGCATTCTGACTGTGATTGGGGTTTCCTCTCCACAGATCTCACCTGTAACTTGGTCTGGTTTGGTCTCCATGAAGATAGAAAGGTTTAATACCAAACTGTGAAACATTCCAGACAAAACAAAAACATCTTCAGAGAGAAAAACATTTGACGGACCCTTCACCGGAAAAGTTACACAATGCACCTTTAAAGGAGCTTGGAGAATTGGAGAGTTTTTCTGTTGTGTGGACCACGGGAACAGTTTGTGATTGTTTTGCAGCCTCCTACATGCGTATTCTCTTTGGTCCAGCGTCTGCAAGTCTACAAAGAGCTGGACTTGAAAAAGGCGAGAGCTAAAACAGAAAATAGAAAGTCAATCTGCAGCTGCTGTCAGGTGTGATTCTGTGGGGTTTTCGTGGTTTCTTTTGAGGTGAAATAAAAGCTTTGTCAGTGGTCAAAGCTTTGAAAAGAGGCCACATTAGAGAGGGTTTTATGGTGAAAGCTCGTGGGGGTATTAATTAGCTGTGTTTGTTCTGAACTGTCATTTTAAAAGGATTCGGATTGACGCTGAGAGGGGCTGGTCAAAGCACATGGAATTTGAATTATAAGTGTACATACTTATAACACAGCAATAATAGGCTTATGTGATTCAGTGTGCTCTGCTACATGTTTCCTATGTCATAAATTATTCTCGGCATTCACCATATGAAGTCCACCTACACCATTAGTTTTAAGTATTTGTTATCTCTGACATGTTAGTGCCATATGAACCATCTCGCACTCTGAGGACCTCAGTGACCGGCCTCCTGCTGGTGCCCACAGTCAGGGCTAACCACAGGGAGTCAGTTTTCAGATTCATGCAGCTTCCTGAACATGTGAGACAGACCTCTGCTCTGACACTGTTTAAATCCAGGCTCAAAACGATTCTGTTTAGCTGCGCATGACTGAAAGGTTTTCATTTTTCATTCCACACTCTTCTCTCTCCTTTATTGTCTCTCTTTGTTTAAATTTTATGATGATTATTTCTGTTTTGCTTTGTTTTTATTGTGATTTTAATGTATTTCTTATTCTGTAAAGCACTTTGAATTACTTTGTGTACGAATTATAGTGCTATACAAATGCACTTGCCTTGCCTCTTTCTCGTCTCTGTAAGCTTGTTACATATTGTTTTTTAAAGATGCACTATGTTTATCTTTTTTGGTGTATATCAGTTCTTTCCAGATTTTTGTGACAATGAGCAAAACTCAGACTATTTTACAGAAGGCACTTTCAGCTTTTTTGTTTTCTTACATGCTTCTCTGGGATGACATTTATTCATTTTCTACCACATACCAGAGGTGGGAACTTGCAAGTCATGACTTGGGCTCGAGTCAGACTTTTAGGACTAGAGACTCTACTTGATAAAATGGACTAACACTTGGGACTCAACTTGGACTTGAAGGTCAATGACTTGGGACTTAACTCGGACTTGAGCCGTTTGACTTGATATATTGTACTTGATATATAGTACAATACAGTAAAACAGAGGGAACTACAGAGAACTACATGACAAAATAACAGTTATTAAGCACATTTAAATCTGAATTCTTTCTGTTCTGACTGTAAAATAGCAAAATAGCATTTCTATAACTCTTATATAAATATTCATATATAAACATACCACTTTTAAAGTCATATAAATTGCAAAAATCTCAGCTATATTTGGTACTTCGTTTTAAAGACTTAAAATGACTTAAAGCTCAAAGCAGACGACTTGGAGTTGACTTGGACTTATGGGCTAGTGATTTGAGACTTGACTTGGACTTGCCTGTCTTTGACTTGGGACTTGACTCGGACTTGAGGTCAAAGGCTTGAGACTTGCAAAACAATATCTTGATCCACATCTGCCACATACTATGGAACAAAACTTAAATAATAAATGACTTAAGTATGACGTTTAAAAGGTCTTTAAATCAAAAAGAAACCTCAAACACGTCTCTGTTATAACAGACTCAGGCTCAGTGTATCTGTCTGAACTTTTCCAATGGAGAACATAGACAGAATGAGATGGGAGGTCCTTTTCTAACAAGAACCATGTGGCTGCAACCAGATGTGTTCACTGAATAATTCACATAGGTTTTCCTCTTAATTAGAAGAGTCAAAAGGGAACATGTCTATGTATATATTATAGGCTATATAAGATTAGAATGTATCTCTATGGTTTAATTTGCTTAAAAACAGGTTAACAGGTAAGGTATGTCTGTGGACCAAACAGGTGCAATCTGTGTATCATTCGTCATTCGTTTTTCAATATAAAACCAAAAATAAGAAAACGAAAAAACAACAGTTTTCTTCATTATTTGTCTCCAAAACCAAAATGAAAAATGGCTAACGATTTGTTTTTTTCAGTTTTCGATTTTGTGTTTAAATGAATAATGGAAAAAACGGATAACAACCGTTTCCCGTTTCTGTGACTTAAACTCCAATGCCGTACTTTTGCGCCGCATACAGACTGAACCAGGACTAAAACAGGACTAAAGTGTTTTCAGTCCTGGTCTGGTCCTGGTCTCGGTCCCGGTCTCGGTCCCGGTCAGGTCCCGGTCTCAGTCTCGGTCTCAGTCCTGTCCTTTGTTCCCCTTCTTGGTCCTGGTCTCAGTCCTGGTCTCGATTCCGGTCTAGGTCCTGGTCTCGGTCCCGGTCTCAGTCTCGGTCTCAGTCCTGGTCCTGTTCCCCGTCTTGGTCCTGGTCTCAGTTCAAGTCTGGTGCCGGTCCCAGTCCCGGTCTCAGTCCTGGTCTCAGACCTGGTCCTAGTCCCGGTCTAAGTCCTGGTTTCAGTTCCGGTCTGGTCCCGGACACCAATGTTTTTTTTTCATTATTCATTTAAACACAAAATCGAAAACTGAAAAAATTAATCGTTATCCGTTTTTTAAATTTTGATTTTGGAGACAAATAACAAAGAAAATAGTTGTTTTTTCATTTTCTTACTTTTGGCTTTATATTGAAAAATGAATAAACGAATGATACACGGATTCATGAAGTAATTTTTCTGTCCGTTCTGTCTGTAGAGATGTTATTGCTTTGTCTGGAATGTTTCACATTATGGTATTAAACCTTTATATCTTCATAGAGACCAAAGTAGACCAAGTTTCAGGTCAGATCTGTGGAGAGGCGACCCAGCTCACAGTCAGAATGCCTGTTTTTTATGTATCTTTGAGTTGTTAAATCATCTGTAATTGAATAAATGTAAAGTAGAGCTGTTTAATGTCATACTGTGGAACATTCCAGGCAGGACAATGACATCTACATAGAAGCATAAAGTTACGTAGTGCACCTTTAAAACTTAAATACATTACAATACATACAATTAATTTGATTTCTTGTATAAACAAAGAAAGTTTTTAGTGGTAAAAGCTGGATTATTTCTGTCATCGACAAACTACACGTATCCCCCAGAGAGCTATTACTAGTATTCACCAGCCACTTTCACCGCCCCCTACATTTACATTTGTGAACTGCGCCCAACCTGCCACACATAATTTCAAATTCCACTGAAAGGATTTTTGTCAGCCAAAATAAGTGGATGAAATTGTGTCTGTTTTACACAAGAGCTGAGAATATAGCACTAAAAATCACACTTCTTCTCCACCACAAACCTTTCTCTGAGTTTTAAAAGCTGTGATGTCTTTTCAAGTGACGAGGAAGAAGAAAAAAACATGTGCGCTAAGTGGTCAAATATCAAAGAACATCCAAAAGCTCTTTCTTCATTTCTCATTAATTTAGTCAAAATGATGAAAATTGAGTGAAAGATGGAACTTTATTGGATTCAATTGCACCAGCCCAACGTCGTATTGATAGTAACACAACCATGTACAGTAGGCGTAATATGTTTTAAGTTACCTAAAGTTGTACAAAGCATCCACACATTCAGTTCACCGTTGTTTACAATCCAGTTTTTAATATTTAAATGAACTATAAAAAGCACATTAAAACATTTTCTCATTTTAGTTACAAAAATTGGGTCACCTATAGGTCGTGTATCAATGCATTTTCACAGAGGATTTGGAACAGTGGATGTCTATAACAGGTTTTTCAAAATAAAATCCCCTACCAAAATATATAAACTTAATTGTGTAACCAAGGTATATACAGGGCATATTATCCTTGTTCTCAAGAAAGTTTTTGAGGTATACAACCTGAAATAAAAAGCCTGTCAGAAACAAAATAAACAGTAAAACGACAATAGAATTAAATAAGAGAATAAGAGATTGCTTCCTACATGATCACAGGGAGACGTTTCTGAATTTAAAATGGGGACTGTCAATATATACACGGGGCGTACGGTCTAATTTGCGGGCTGCTTACTTTATTATGAAACAAAAAATAAAAAAAAAATAGTAATAACTTTATTTGGTAGTGTTTCAACGGTCCGAAAACGAGATGAAAATTTTAAAATAAACAAATAAGCCAGAAGCAGAAGATCTGATACACATGCAAGTTTTGAAAGTGGATTCAGAAATAACAGTATTGTACAAAATAATAATTACAAAGTTTTTTAAAATTATCAAAATACACCTTCCTTTCTTAGCACCTCTATATATACCTTTGTGTTTTTGACGTAAAGCACCATAGTTTTTTTTTTTTCATACAGCACCTGGAGTTGGGGGCTTGCTGTTAGTTGCCCCCTTCGTTGCCAAAGCACCCTCGACCCGCCACTATTTCTCGCTTCCTTTCTTTTCCAAATGTCCTTCTCCACTCCTCCAAAACGCAGTTAAGTCGTGTTGATTTAAATACAAAAAGACATATCGGACAGGCCATCTCTCATTCAAAACTTGCATGTGGCATAGATAAGGGTGAGGGGCGTGGATTTCGGGGGTTAGGTGGTATCCAAAAATATCTTCTTCTTCTTCTTCTTCTGAGCTGGCCCCATCAAGTCCTTTTATAAAATGTGTGTGTGTTTTTTGTTGTAGGTCTAGCCAAGGAAACATACAGGCCCAACTTCGAACCCAAACTTCTGGTTGGGGTCCCCAAAGTCAGTCAACATTACGTCAACAATTGGAACTTGATCAATTTTGGGAGTATTGATCTCCATCACAGTCTTTGCATAGCCACTCCTCGTCTGCAAAAAAAAAGAGACAAAAACAAAGAAATTAATTGATTAACTAGAAACACAAATCTGATTTTAAAGGACGTGTACCTGATTTTTCCCTTGTTTTGAGTAAATTTGTCTTATCCCAGTAGAGATATTATGTATAAGCAGCTGTGTACTGTTTGGATCTAATAATAGAGCATTTCATGGTTCAGTAATCAGGAAGTGTACGGTTGTTGTTGTTGTTCTTAGCATTTCTGTGATGCCAAAACTCAGCTCTGGCAGAAGCCGGGTTTAGTCCTGGTTTTATCTTGGTTAAGGGCTGGTTCATTCTAGACTTGGTTCACTTTAGAAAATCATATGGGTATGGCTTAAAGGTCCTATATTATATTGTGTTTAGTTTCAGTATTAGTACAATTTGAGTTAAATACCAGAAACCTTTATTTATTTGTTTCCTATATTTTACTCACATGGTTCACTCAGAATTCTGTTTGTCCCCTGAGAAACCCCATAGGCTGAAACGTGTCGGGACTTGGTAAGTTGTCCATTAAGATATGAGATAAATTAATAAAGGCATTTTATTTTAACCAGTGAGTGCCTTGGCTTTTTTGCATCTTTAAATTGACTTCCCTTCCCCAAAGAGCACCACTGTGTTCTATCTACTGTGTATTATCCTCCAAGGTCCAGGAAGTGCTCCTTTTGAAACTTTTTTATGTTTGAATAACCCTTTATTATTAGTCTTTCTACACTTGCATAACTCAAAATGCTCTGTTCCATCTTGTAATGTCATGAAGCAGTAGTTTTCAAGTTAACATCTCCCTTTTATCTTTAGTTCAATAGAGATTGGCAATTCCAGGGCTGAAATCATCCAAATGATTCTAGTGGAGGTGTATGGAGTTTAAAAACACAGTGGAGCACTTCAAGTATTACTTCATGACATCACAAAGTGGAACACAGTGTTTTCTGTCTGAGAGAAGAACTCTCTAATATAAATATTCAGGATTTGTGTGTTAAACATGTGTGAATGAAACAAAATACAACTCCAGTTCGAACATAAAAATAGCATAACATGGGCCCTTTAAATCTTGGTTTAGTTCTGTTTCAGACCTGGTTTGGTCCTGGTTAAGTCCCACTGGGCCCTGCTGCTTAGTTTTAAATTTGTTCTTGACCTGTGTCCTTGCCTTTTTCCTCAGAGATTTATGTATTTTTCTTTTATACCAAGGCCGAAAATCAACACAGACGATTAGAAACCAGATAAACAAGTTTGATTGGCACATTTTAACCTTTTGGTATTTTCAAGAACATTGTAATTGAGCAAACTGAAAGAAAGCTAGACCCTTTTGTTCTCCCATACCTGTGCTACTTCAAACGTTCGCTAACATCAGTGAAAAATCAGGTCTTTTGAGGTCATTTTCATTCATTAGCTCTGACCACTACTTTCCTCTTTTTTCGTGTGTCCAATCCAAGAAGATTTCATTTAAGGAATAATGGATCTTTTGAGCGCGCTTCAAACAGACGAGAAACTAATTATATCTATTCAAAGTTTGACAGTTCTTTACCTTTTATTCCAAATGTCACGGGAGTAAATGTACCAAAAATCAGCCCTTAATTGCCTATTCACACGTTAGCCACAAAGACATGCTCATGATCAAACTGAGAGTGAGCTTAATCAGATTTGACACAGTGTTTTGAACAGTGTGTCTTGCCGCAGCTGTGTGATCAAACAGCCAGTGTCCAATATAGTCCATTAAATCTGACTAACAGTGCTGATAGTGCAAACTGATCTATCAATAATTTTGTATATTTTAAAACAAACCTACATTTTGGCAGGGCTATTATTTGTCATTTGGAAAAAGAAAACTAAAACATAATGCAATTTTTGTTTTAACAATATGGGTATTTTTATGTAGTTGTTGAATAAGTAATGCTCTTTCTTATGCCTTATTTCATTGTTTCCCAGAGACTGGTGGGTTGCAAGAGATTTTTTTTGGGTCGCCTTGTCACGATCTGTATGTAGGTCTGCAATATACAGTACAGTTCTGACACATGTTGAAATGTTAAGACATGTTTTGTATAATTTCTAATCTTTTTGTAATTATTTTATTGACTATTTTGTTCTAATATTGCTGGTTTAGTTTAGCTAGGCTGGCGCCACCTAATGCCTACGCGCAATTTCATTTCTCTCCAGTGACTAGGTCAGGAATCGGAACACATTAGATGGTTTGCAAGAACTCCGGCAGTGCGAGTTCGGGCACCAGCCAATCAGCGAAGAGCCAAATATTCTGTGTTGGCAACGATTCCCGACATCGAGGATTTAAAGCCGGAACAATGAGAATGTTTGGTGAATTTTATCAAGGGGAAAGATGTTATTGCCCTTCTTCCTACAGGATTTGGGAAAAGCTTAATATACCAGTTAGCCCCGTTAGTGACGCATTACATACATCATTACCAAATAGCAGCGATTGGTTAAATTAAAAAAGTACCTGCCTACCGTTGAGCGAACAAATTCTAACGCTGCGTCAGCCGATTTCTACGAAGTGAAACCGTCTGATGAATCAATTGAAAGTTGAAAAGAAAAATAAATGGGCTACATTTAATTTCGAAATAGGCGACTTATGGATCCTTTTATTGCTGCTTCAATTACTGCTTTTCATTGTTTAAAACTTGAGTAAATCTAATTGTTCAGAGAGAAACAATCACTCAGTCAACAATAAAATATCCTCATTAATGTTCAATAATGGTCAAATCCACCTTTATTTTGTGATTTAAGAATAATGTCTATTGACTTGGCTCGAGAAGATTTGTGACTTTTAATATATGGGTCACTAGAAAAAATTTTTGGAAACACTGCCTTATTTGACACCAGTCTCTTGCTATTTGTGCTACTTATTTTACATTTCCTATTACCATTTATATTTTTGCTCTGTGTTATTAGAATATACTGTGATGTGTGAGCTACTGTATCTAATAATGTGACAAATAATTTCACTTGTGGATCAATAAGGTTTGTCTAAGTCTAAGACTAAATTGCAATATCATGAGGTCAGATCATAAGGCATGTTATTACATATAATTAAAGCAGATTAAATAAAAACTTCCTGTTCATTTTAGAATTGATTTTAAGATTTTATTATTTGTTTTTAAAGCTTTGAATGGACTGCCCCACAATACATCTCGGACCTCATCCAAATTTACACCTCCACAAATGCGCTGAGGTCCGAGGGCCAGCTCCAGCTCATGGTGCTTAAAACGAGACTTAAAACCAGGGGGGGCAGGGTCTTCTCTGTGGCTGACCCCAAACTCTGGAACGCTCAGCCCCCCACATCCGAACAGCCCCCACAGTGGAGAGTTTTAAGTCTCGTCTTAAGACCCACTTTTATTCAATGGCTTTTAATACTGCATGAGTTGTGTGGTCCTCTGTGTATTTTAATTCAATTCAATCTTTATTAAGAACCCATAACATCTGGTTCATAGTATTTTAAAAAAGTTATAAAAAAATAAATATACAGTGCATGATTTATTTAATTTATTTATTGTTTTTATCTATTTTTTTGTACTGCTTTTATGTATTAATTGTATTATTTTTGTTCATTGATTTTATTATTATTAGTTTATTTATAAATTCTATTAGTTTCCTCATGTTTTTTTTTTTATGTAAAATGTTTTACATTTCTGTGTAAAGCACTTTGGAAACTGTCTTGTTTATAAAATGTGCTATACAAATAAAGTTAGATTGGATTAGATTATTAAACTTGTTATTAAAAAGTTTTTAAACAAGATTTTTCTGCAGTTTGTGGTAAATTTTACATTTTGTGTTATCATCTGATTACCATTATTGAGATGATGAAATAAATCAAAAATAAAAATGAGATACAAATGTTCATAAACGGCACTCTTCTATAATACTCACAGAGCTTTAAAATAGGAATTGTTGTCAAAGGACGTTTCATATTAGATTTGCTAAATGACTTATGTGTCTTACAAGCATGTGATGGAACTACCACTTGAAAGGTTACACAGTGCACCTTTAATCTGAGATACTCTTACACACGTAACACTCACCGCGCATCCGTCTGATAGGGCTTTGATATAGGGATTGTTGTCATAGGACATCTCCTCGTCATTGGCTCCCAGGAAGCGCAGAGCCTTATCGTAGCTGTCGCTGGTGGAGTCGTGCCACGCCACAGACTGGTGACAGCTGTACGTGAAGTTCTGACGCGCTGACGCCGTGAGGAGCCTGAGGAAGGTCATCTGAACCATGTTTATCGAGCTCCCCTCTGCATCCACGTAGGACAGCTGGAAGTAGAGATAAGACCAACGGCAAGATTAGAATCAATACGAAGATTAATGTAGTTTTTGATTTAAATATGATTGGTCAACAGGTGTAGAAGTCAGATGTACATTGGTAAAGAGTTTAAAGCCTGCATTATTTCACAACTTCAGTAAAGAGTGAATATAAACTACTAGTCAAAAGTTGTTTTTCTTTATTTTTATGGCTTTCTACATTTTAGATACATAAGGAAGACATCACGTATATGAAGCAAGATATATGAAATTATGTAGTAAGTTCGACAAAGCAAAGGGTGGCAAAGCAAATACTGTTTTTATTATTTCTATTATTTATTATTTCTATTAAGGGGTAGACTTAAATAAGTGTTTACTCCTCCCACTCCTTTTTGGATGCATGTAAAATTTGTGTGACATTTATTTTTGTTTATCGTTATGGACAAGAAGTCTTTAATTTTTGTATTATATCTAAGTACTTTCGTTTTCTATGCATGTTCTGTGCATTACTGTCTGAATAAATATTAATTCATTCATTCATTTTAGAAAACTGTATTACAGAAATTAAAGTTATTTACCTTTTTTCATTGCTACATAACTTATTTCATGTATTTGATGTCTTCTGTAAGTACTCACTGCTAAAGTATTAAAGTAGTAACCATAGGTGAGACCACGTTGTTGTTTTGCAAGTCTCAAGTGAGTCTCAAGTCGTTGACCTCAAGTCCGAGTTAAGTCCCAAGTCAAAGACCGGCAAGTCCAAGTCAGGTCTCGAGTCACTGTCCCATAAGTTCAAGTCAAGTCCAGGTCGTCTGCTTTGAGCTTCAAGTCATTTCAAGTCTTTAAACCAAAGTACTAAAATATAGCTGAGATTTTTGCAATTTATATGACTTTTAAACTAAATTGTTCTTAAAAAGTGATGGTATATTTATATATGAGTTTTAGAAATGGACATTTTTCCTTTTTAAATGTCTTGACAAAATCTTACTGTGAATTCAGATTTAAAAGTGCTAAATAACAGTTATTTTGTTGTGTAGTCTGCATTGACTTGGAAGTATCTTGTTCTCTGTAGTTCAGTCTGTTTTACTGTATTGTACTATATATTACTGAATAATACTGTAGTACATGTGATGACACCATGTCACAGTACTTCAATTACATCCAAAGTACCAAACAGAAGTGGGAGTGACATGTTCCAGTTTGTTCTTTTAAAATGAAGCACCACATTTATCAACTGTAAAGAGAAAAGTATTTTCTAAAGACATATCTTTTTAGGAGAAGCATAAAATCTTCTCTAGTCACAGGCCTCAAGTCCGTGTCAAGTCCCAAGTCATTGAGCTTCAAGTCCAAGTCAAGTCCGAAGTCTTAGTCAGTTTTATCAAGGCAAGTCTCCAGTCCTAAAATTGTGACTCAAATCTGACTTGAGTCCAAGTTACGACTTGCAAGTCCCCACTTTTGGTAGTAACAAGTGCAGATATCAGGTGCACACTGATCAATAAGAACCTAGTTTAAAGTTGTATTGTATCACTGGTTCACTTCAAATAGTAATACACTTATGATTTTTGCTTATGATGTTTATAAGCATCTAGTATTTGTGACGCTTTCTGGGTTTTATTGATGAAAGGAAAAGGTGGTTATGTGTCTCCACCATAAATAAATCACTCATTATAGTAAACTTTATGCCGGATGCCCTTCCTATCATAACCCCTCTACTGTACAGAGTGAAACTGAACAAGGGAATGTCAATGTAGAGCTTTTAAGAGCAATATTCATTCACCAGTAAATTCAACCCACAATATAAACATACATGCTTTTCTGATTAACCTATCACTTATCGCAAAATTCAGTATATTTAAAAAATCACTGGCACTTCAACAAAAGCTGCATTAGCTCTATACTTTTAGTTAATTACTATCTTTAAGCATGCGTAACTGTCTATTGACCTTTTACATTGTTTGATTATGTTATTAGTATTTTTCTGTATTTCAGTTTGAGGTAATTAAAGATGTACGTGGGTACTTGTTGCTGACATTTAACATCCCAGGTAAAGACAATTGAATTGTATAAAGATAGAACAGATATTAATCACTGAAGCCACTCTGTGCAGTGACTAATAGAACAAGCTGTACTCAGCTAATGTGCCTCTTCAAAAGGTAAATGTGTAGGAGAAGTACTTTTCCAATCCATCAAAACTTTAGAAGACTGCCAAAATAGTTTACAACAGTTTAGATCTATGGTTTTGTGGCTACAGTAAAAGTGTTACAAGTGGTTATGCAGTTCGTCTGTGATTTGCTATAGAAAATGATTTGTCTTTAGTACTATTGTAGGATTTGGTTTGATCCTTTTTTGATCCTGGTTTATATGGAGTAAGAAAGCTGTCAAAAATATTCGTGCGCATAAAATAGAAATCCGTGCGTATTTGGGAAATCCGTGCATATTTGGCTGTAGTTGCGCATAAAATAAATATTTGTAAACTCTCAAATGAGTCCAGTCGTACATAAAATATATTGTGTGTATTTTATCCATCAGAATACAAATTGAAAAATTACTACGTCATGAATTACAATCACGAAATGAAAATTTACGATTACGCTTTCATCAGTACGAATACGAATTCACAGACGGAACTTTACTGTCAAAAATACGTCATCACTTCACAGACATTATTCATCGAGCAGAAGAAACATCGATCAAGATCAAGACTGCGCATGCTCAAGTTTGTAGCAGAGGGTAAAAACAGAGTAATAGCACAAGGAGCTACAACAGCGACCAACAAGTGGGTTAATTAAAATCTATTGTAAAAATGTCTTGAATTCGGGAACCGAACGCTGCTGTATAATATTGTGTAGAAACACCTCCTTTGAACGGGAAATTGCACCTATATGTTAGATAGCATAGTGGTAGCCAGTTGGCTAACATCCGACGTAACGTTATCCCAGGGCTAATTAGCAAATATCAGGTTCTCTGTATGTTTAGATTAAAACATTCACGGCTACAGCCACAGCGAGCATCAGTCAGTCTTCTCTTCAGCTGCATTTCTCGCATGAAATGCCACCAAAAGTTCCTCGGGACGCTGAAATGTCCCAGTTTACACCAAACACTACCAAACTGTCCTGGTTACAGACGTCACAGCTAATGAAATGTTACACATTACAGTTTAATGCAGCTTCCAGCATCAATTAATGTTCGTGTTTACAGGCAACACCTTGGTATGTTTACAGTATTTACCGGTAAGTTTAACGTCACCGTGACGTGGATGGATTTGCTCATTATAACCCATTATAACTCATGAAAAACCCATTGTCTGAAATGCAGCTGAGATGAAGACTGGCTGATGCTCGCTGTGGCTGTAGTCGTGAATGTTTTAATCTAACCCTACAGAGAACCTGATATTTGCTAATTAGCCCTGGGATAACGTTACGTCGGATGTTAGCCAACTGGCTACCACTATGTTATCTAACATATAGGTGCAATTTCCCGTTCAAAGGAGGTGTTTCTACACAATATTATACAGCAGCGTTCGGTTCCCGAATTCAAGACATTTTTACAATAGATTTTTATTAACCCACTTGTTGGTCGCTATTGTAGCTTCTTGTGCTATTACTCTGTTTTTACCCTCTGCTACAAACTTGAGCATGCGCAGTCTTTATCTTGATCGATGTTTCTTCTGCTCGATGAATAATGTCTGTGAAGTGATGACGTATTTTTGACAGTAAAGTTCCGTCTGTGAATTCGTATTTGTACTGATGAAAGCGTAATCGTAAATTTTCATTTCTTGATTGTAATTCATGACGTAGTAATTTTTCAATTCGTATTCTGATGGATAAAATACACACAGTATATTTTATGTACGACTGGACTCATTTGAGAGTTTACAAATATTAATTTTATGCACAACTACAGCCAAATATGCACGGATTTCCCAAATACGCACGGATTTCTATTTTATGCGCACGAATATTTTTGACAGCTTTCTTCCTCCATAGGTTTAGGTCTGATATAGATCTGGACCTTTAGTTGTGTAGTCTTGGTTTAGTCACATTCTAGTCCTGTTTAGTTTAGACTTAGCCCCAATTTTAATGGTCCCGTACCTGATTTTTCTCATGTAATCAAGCAAAATGTGTCTTGCCCCAGTACAGATATATTGTATAAACTGCTCTTCAGGTAAAAATAAGTCTGCTGCGTGTTGTTTGAATCTAATTAGAACTTGTTTTATTGCCCAACAATAATTTCAGGCTACAGTAAAAGTACTACAAGGGGTTATATGCAGTTTGTCTGTGTTTAGTCCTGGTTAAGTATAGTTTAGATTTGATTGCTACAGAAAATTATTTGTCTTTAGTACTATTGTAAGATTTGGTTTGGTCCTGATTTGGTCCTGGTTTAGTTCTGATACAGACCTGTACCTTTAGTTGTGTAGTCCTGGTTTAGTCACATTCTAGTCCAGTTTAGTTTTAGATTTAGTCCCAATTTTAAAGGTCCTGTATCTTTTTAGTATTGTGCGTATTTAAGCAAAATGTGTCTTGCCCCAGTACAGATATATTCTATAAGCAGCTCTCGTTGTCAAAATAAATCTGCTGCGTGTTGTCTGCATCTAATTAGAACTTGTTTTATTGCTCAGTAATTAGGAAATGTGTGTTAGCTTGACTGTCAGTTGGAAACTCCACTCTTGTCTGAAAGTTGTGAAAGGCACTCACTAAACTCATCATGGTGAGTAATTAGGATGCTCTGAAATCATAAGGTAAATGAGAAATAATTTGGACCTCTGCAAACCAGCTCAAATGAACCACTTCTGTTTTTCACATTTTTAAGACAGTAAAAAACACGTACAGAGTCTTTAATGTTGTGCAAATGTATAAGAATGCACTGTTAATCCCCATTTTATTAGTTGATTCAAATTTTTTTGTCAAAAAAATAAAATTTTTGTGTGAACATTTTTTATTTGTTCTGTCAGCATTCTGTTTTGATGACATTTTGACGTGAACATGAGTAAAAAAAATAAAAAAATAAATAAAAAAATCACCTTTACCTTTTAACTTTTGCATATAAACACATCTTTCAAATGAGGCACTGGATTAAAGAGAGACCATATTTTATCAGTTCAATATGAACACGATTTAAACCAGTGAATTCAGGAGGTTTTAATGGATGGCACGGAGGGGTCAGTAGCTCGCAATTTCACGGCGAGTGCAGCTATTTGAGTCTATTAGCGGCTTTGTGCGCGCTAACTGAACAGGTATAAAGTCTGAAATAGCTGTGGAGGGAAACGAGCTGAGAGAGAATTCACTCACCATTTTACCCCGCTTAAATTCACTGAACCATGACCCTGGCGTTTCTTTGGGCCATGACGATATTCTGACCTGAGAATGACACCAGCAAACACATCACATTAGCAGTAAATACAGTGATAGTATTCTAGTTTTGACTGCAAAAAGAGTTTTAAAGTTAAAAGGCCAATATTACACTGTTTTCTGATCGATGTTATAATATTGTTTCTTCATCACAAACCTGGAGTTGTGTTTTGTTTTATTCACACAAATCCTGCATATTTATGCTGAGTTCTTCTCTTAAACTGAAAACACTCTGTTCACACTTTGTGATGCCATGTGGTGGTACAGGAAGTGCTGCATTGTTTTTAAACTCTATACACCTTCACTCAAAACAATTGAATAATTTCAGACCTTGAATTGCCAATCTCTACTGAACCATTAATGTGACATCACAAGGTGGAACAGAGCATTTTGAGCTTGGGAGATGTAGACAGACTAATAATGGAGGATTACTCAAATATGTGTGAATGAAACAAAACACAACTCTGGGTATGTTTTTGAGGAGGTTATTTTACATTATAACATGGTTTAAAGCTCACAAAATTACAATTTCATGTAATATAGTACTTTTAAAACATATACAATTTTAATCAGGGATATTTACACAGAAAATAGTGTAATAAGGCCCTTTAATATGGACTGTCCAATCAGAAAGCAGCTAGATTTAAATTCCTATCCATATAGCTTTTCAGCATGTTCTTGAAAAATGGAGCAAGTCTTAAGAGCAGAAACACAAAATAAATGTTTCTCTATTAAACATGCTGAAAACATATTTTTTTCAAGTCAGACTGAGTCAAATTATGCATGTCTTTGGAGGTAAAAGTGCATATCTGGCCCTGAAGCAAATCCAATAGCTTCCTTTGACACCTCCAGCTCTCAGACATCTTAATATTTGATGAGCGTTGATTAGACTTAGGCAGTTATGTATCTCTGGCCATGCAAAATGACTTACCCCATTGGATTTCTTATCTGGGTAGATGGTTTCGCCACCAGCCGTAAAGTTACAGTAGACTTTGAAAGAGTCCCCGGAGCAGCCCTGGTTTGGATCGATCCAGTACTCGCCTAAGGAAGAGGAGGAGGAGGAGAGGAAGAGAGGGGGAGGAGGAGAGTTAGAAAGAGGACAAGCCAAGAAACAAGTGATAAACCCCAATAAAAGTGTGCCGCACTGCTCCAGCTCATGTGTAATTCAGATCTTAGTTTTATGGGCGGAGGAGGGACTGGGAGAAGGTCTCAAGCGAAATATGTACTTTATCAATGTAAAGATACTGCACATTCCAAATCACATAGGCTTAACACTACGCCTACATACTATCTCTAGCAAAACATTTAAAACTGATCATTATCTAAACTTTCCAGGTTTTCCAGATTGCGTGAGAACCATCTACAGTATCTATGAGTGTCAAAATATCCAATGTTTAGAATGATGATTAGAATATAGGCCATGTATCTCTTCCAAAACATTTAAAATTGGTCATTATCCAAACTTTCCAGGGTTTCCAGAATGCTTGGGATCCCTCTATCTATCGATGGCAGCATGATAAAAAGTAGCACTATGCCATAGCAATTAAATAAAACTAAAATATTCTGTGTTTACAATTATGATAATTGGACTGTTTTGTAATAACTCTTATCATATCTTCATAAAGATGAAAAGTAGCCTCTCTAGCAAATTCTGGTGCGTTTACAGAAATGTTGATTAATGTACACTGTCCCCGCTCACTAAACCAAATAAATAATAAATAAATACATGAAAATAGGGTATCCCCAGGTTTGACGACCCCAAATTTAAGATGTTTTTAAGACCTTTTTAAGACCATTTAAATGAACATTAAAACCAACATCGCACCCATTATGTGGGAGAAAAACACCAGATCCAATTCTACAAAAGATCAACTACTCTATCTAGAATCTAAGAGCCACTGTGGATTAAACTGACACTTCCACATGATCCATTCAACGTCTTTGTCCACTGTACTGATTGTTTACTCATTCCCCCGTCGCAAGAAATAAGTATCGTTTGCGCATACTCCAAATTGGACGTTCATTCACGTTACATGGTTTCATGTTGTTTTTTCCTCCCTCCATTTAACATTGCACTGCAGCCCGGTTGAGTATACAAAAAAATAGGCTAATGAAATTTAAGACCTTTGAAAAAAATAAGACTTGGACAACATAATTTAAGACTTTTTAAGGCCTTAATTTAGGAACATGAAATTTAAGACCTTTTAAAGACTTTTAAGACCCCGCGTCTACCCTGGAAAAGTACTCATATTGGTTCCTATAAACATCTTATATAATCTGAGAATATGATATAAGCATTTCTTGGAACCTAAAGCCTCCCTAAATTGTATTAATTTCACTTTTAATTCAGTTGCATGGACCTATGGACTCATTTAACTATATTTCTACTTTATTAACATAGTTATGCATATATAATATGTATATTTTATTTATTTATAAGCTTAGCATGTTCGTAACGAATGGAGTGTGCAATAAATGAACCTGTGCAATGACAGGAGTGTGCAGTATGTGTACATATGTGTGTATCTTCTTGTATTTATCTGAAATATATTTGCTCTACGGTTTGACCCTTTTGCAACCCCATTCATGTTGTATCAAGTCTATACATAAACATGCACAACCCAATCAAATAAATAAATAAAATAATAAGAAAACAAATTCTGTATTACTAGAAAATTACACGAGCAAACAGCACAGCGTATCTCTCTTGGGTCTCATTTGTGGAGCTTTACGGACTTCCACTGCAATCTGGCCTGGCTTAATCTGCCTACAGTGCATATGCTGTATGTGTCATTAGATTTGTGAGTAGTGGGGACTGACCATCTGGGAACTCTGGATGGGACAGCTGCAGGTCCTTGCAGGTTCGGGCGGGGTTGTTCTGTGTGCCCATGGGGTACTTCATGCGCTCGATGTCTTGTTTGAGAAGGTTTAGGGAGCTGAAAATGTCCTCCATGCCCTCTCCGTAGTCCATGTACCCGCCGGCAGCGTCAGCCTGCATGTCACTGGAGCGTTTGGTCTTCTTGGGAGAGGAGATGGGCAGGGGCTGGATCACCTCGCCAGGGGGACCCTAGAAGAGATTTGGGAAAAGATAGTTTGTTTTATGTGTGAGCTACTTTTTATGTGTGAAAAGTTGTATTTACAGTTAATACCCTGTTGGTTACACTGACGTTATCTCTCATCTGGTGCTCTCAAAGTTAGTTTAGTTAGTGCTTTTAAATCTGCACTCTTCTCTCTTCATTTTTAATGTTAATTTCATGATGATTATTTATTTTGATTTGTTTGTATTGTGATTTTGACGTCTCTTTTATTCTGTAAAGCACTTTGAACTACATTGTGTACGAATTGTGATAAAAATAACTACAATAACACTACAGCCATGCTACTGTTTCGTGGGTGAATCTTAGTTCTGTTTTATAGACAGCTATCTATCTATTTCAGAGTGACAAAAAGATAGCACTGTTGTCATAGCAATTAACAATAAAATAAATCTATTGTATGGGGAAAGATTCTCGCTTAGAAACAGGAAACTGAAACCCATGAATTAAAACAAATTAATATACTAATAGTGTTTGACCCTTGATACCAAAAATGTGGCCTTCTAGGGTCCATTCATAGGGCAAAGCAGTTTCACTGCCAGTTGCACATCAAAAAACACATAAAAATCGGGACACTAAACCAGGACTAGACCAGAACTAAACGAAATCTACATTAGGACAACAACTGGTCCCAAACTAATCCCAAATACAATGTTGACGCACCCTTAGTTAGAGGTTTCAACTGCACTTTCCTAGTAAAAAAGACTAAAAAAAACATTGATTTAGAACTGAATCTGATAATGATAACTGACAGTGTTTTACCTACATTGATTTAGATTGTAAGTTAGTTAGTTAGAGTAGTTTCAACTGTACTTTCTGTAAAAACTAAAAAACCCTCACTGATTTAGAACTGCTGCCTGATAGTAAATGACATTATTTTACCAGCTAGAACTATGCAATTTAGTTTGTATTCGTTGAAATGAGACTAGTTCAAAGTGAAGTAAACCACAGTAGACTCTTATAATACTCACAGGAGGACCTGGGGGACCAATAGCACCTGTGTCTCCCTTGGCACCAGCAGGACCCTGTACAAAAGAATAAACAAACCGTCCTTTAGCTTGATCCAACACACTCTCTGTAAAACCTATAATTGCTCTGTCAGATGTATTTAAAACACTACTTACCGATGAACCTTTAGCTCCCTTTGGACCTTGAGGACCCTGTTAAAAGGGGACATAGTATTTGGCAGTGTCAGTGTGAGCAGGATAGAATATAAATGAGATGTTTAGTGGCGGATGGGGACTTACAGGCAGACCAGGCGGGCCAGGGGGACCAAGGGGGCCAGCAGATCCAGCGATTCCCTGTGATTGGAGCAGAGACAGGGTCAGAGACAATACAAGGACTCGCATCAGACACAGAGTCGAAGATTTTGGAGTGAAGATAATATGGTTTAAAGGTCCTATATTGAGCAAAATTGACTTGTGAGCTTTAAGCCATGTTACCACACCAAAAACATACCTGGAGTTGTGTTTTTATTGTATGTTTCATCCACACACGTTTGAGTAACACTTTATTAATAGTCTGTCTATCTACAAAGCTAAAAATACTTCCACCTGTCATGAAGCGGTAGAGATTTGCAATTCCAGGACTGAAATTAATGCAAATGATTCTAGTGATGGCTTATGGCTTTAACTTTATATTTTGAAAGTTGATGTGCCGTAATAATTAGTAAAATAAAATATTATATGCAGTATATGTACAGCAGGGGTCTACAACCTGAAGCTCTCCACCCCCTTCCAAGTAGCTCGCCAAAGGATTGCTGAATTACATATATTGTGCTGAATAAATAAAAATCTAATTAATTAAATGCATTGTTCATGTATCATTTTGATGCCAAAGTTTGCACTTTAATACATGGATAATGGTTTATGTTTTATTGGCATCTAACTGTACCTGATCTAAGGCTCAGCGTGGCTCTTGTATATGCTCAATTTCTTGTGAGTGCTAAAACTACTTAGCAAGGCTGGCGCCACCCAGTGCCTCCACTCAATTTGATTTCTCTTCAGTGACTAGGTCAGGAATCGGAATACACTAGACGGTTCGCAAAATCCCTGGAAGTGCAAGTTCAGGCACCAGCCAATCAGCAAAGAGCTATACATTCTGTGTTGGCAACGATTTCCGAGATGGAGGATTTAAAGCCCGAACAAAGAGAATGTTTGGTGAATTTTATCAAGGGTAAAGACGTTATTGCCCTTCTTCCTTTGGGATTTGGGAAAAGCTTAATACCATTTAACCCCATTAGCGGCGCATTACATATGTCACGACCAAATAGCAGCGATTGCTTAAATGAAAAAAAGTACCAGCCTACCGTCGAGCAAATGGACTATAATGCTGCAAAGTCAGACGGTTTCCACGAAGTGAAACCGTCTGATGAAACAGGCTAAAAACTAGTAGCTCTCTGGCATTTTTGTTTTGAAAAAGGAGCTCACAGGAGGAAAAAAATTGGAGACCCCAGATGTACAGTTAAAGCAAAGAGTTTTGTTAGTATCAGAATTATTCATTCAATTATTCATACAATTTAACTCGATTTCACCTCCAGGTACTTCCTAAATTGCTAAAATAATCCTGAACTATAGTAGGACCCAATGGAGTCCGCTGTTCTACCTCTAAGTTTATTAAAATGTATGAAAATGGTCATAAGATTTTTGACAAGAACTGTAAGTCTCATATTTCTCCTGGAGCAGGGTCTGGACCAGTACTTTCACAAAGCGCAGGGAGTGACCACAATGGCATAGGAAATTACAAGTACACTCTGTCCGAGCAGTACAATAAAAATAGCAAAAGGGGAAGGAGATATAGTGCAAAGGTGCAAAATGAAAAGCACAGCCATATTATCAAAAGGTGAATGAGAAAACTTTTTGTAAACTAGTCTGTGTTAGGTCTATGCATATGTAATGACAGCTAATATGGGACACTCATTTATCACTTTAGGGTAGTTGGTAATGGCAAGAATCCATCAAAATTCTTATTTGAAAAGTCTAATGGGTTTTGCCAATATTTTTAAGACTCAAGGTTAAAAAATAAACATTGGCTAGTTGACAGTGATGGGTTCAGTATTTGCTGTGGATAATTCCCAAGGAGACCGAAGGAAAAAAGGACATAAATCTTTAAAAACCCAAAGCAATAACTCTGGGGCAAAATGAAAAGCTCTACCCTATTGCCACTTCAAAAATGCCCACATTTATAGGTGCTCTGTGTAACCTTTCCATTGAAGGGTTAGCCATCTGCTTGTCTCCGTGGAGATGGAGATGGTATGGCTTTGCCTTGAATGCCCCACAGTATGACATTAATATCTATGTCAACAAAGACAAGTAGATGATAAGGCGCTAATACATATGTGATCATTTATACAGACACTGGCTCCCTCTTTTCTGCATCACTCAAGGAAAAAACTAAAACTAAACCTAAGCCATGTTACAAGTCAGATCTGTGGAGAGAAAAGCCTCCACACTGTATGAATATGTGTTTATATTTTTGCAATAAAAATATCTAGATTGGTAAATTTAATCCCATCCTCTGGAGCATTAACATTTCCATAGAGACAAATAAGGGTGTGCGAAAATACTGAAATATCATATCGTTTAATGCGATGATACAGTATCGATATCAGGGACTGGTGTATCGATATCGCCAAGAGTATTTTTTGGTATATTCTACTTAATTATTTTGTTACAGCACTACAGTTTTGTTGCTTGTTTAGATGAAGGAAATCAATTTATGCGACACATTTGATATTTTCATTGTTCTGATGATTAAAATGTTTGTGTTTCATATGAATTTTGTGGTTTAACAAAGACTTTTCATATCACAGGCATGATTTAGCCTTTATTCTTTATTGAACTGTATTGAATCGATTTGAAATATATCATATTGAACCGAAAGTGCACTGTATTGAGGCATGTATCGTATCATGGCCTATGTATCGAGGTATGTATCGTATCAGCAACTTCTTAATGATACCCAGCCCTATAGACATGCAGGTGACGTACCCCTGCCAAAAATGTTACATAGATCACTTTTAAATTTGGACATGTTTTAAGTGATAATGAGGCAGTAGCATTAATTTTATCAAAGCAGGTAGCACCTTCAAATTACTGATAAACATTGCTCTAAAGCAATAACCCTAACCCTTTGCCAGTTTAATGTATAGACTGATTCTTCCATTTAATTTCTGCCTTGAATAAGAGAAAACTGCTGCCAAAGCTCTAGCTGCAGAGGAAGAACAATCAGATGAGAAAAGGCGAGGGGTGAACGGGGGACAGCCGAAGGACCAGAGCAGAATTGGGGTCATCCATCACTTACATTGTCACCCTTTCCACCGGGGGATCCTTGAGGTCCAGGTAAACCGCGGTCTCCCTTCTCTCCTTGCTCGCCGGGCGGTCCGATCAAACCAATCAAACCTGGGTGACCCTGTGGGACAAGACACAAACAAATACATAAACACAGTGTACCACCATTTTATCGCTTCAAGTTGGGCAAGTGTAAAACTGCTGACATTACACGGAGTTGAAATCGACAAAGAAGGAATTTTTAGGGTGGAGTTTGATCAAATATTACGCAAAATGGACTCTTGTGGACTCTTTAATCCATGTTAAAATGTTGTTACCTCCAAAAACATACCTGCAGTTGTGTTTTGTTTCATTCACATGTTTAAGAGATCAGAAAATAGCGTAATATGGGTGCTTTGCTTTAAATCTTGCTTTCAGTTTGAAATCTTTACCAGATTTGTTTAATCTGTGGCTAAATAGCTCCACATGTAGCACAGGTTTGACATTTTCGAATGTCAAAAGGCACTGAAATCCTACGACCGGAGCCCTTTTATTGATGAAAACAGCTTAGCAACTTAGCAACCGTTCAAATGTTTTAAAAAATATGTAACCAAATTTTCACAGAGCACATAATAGACTAAAAATAGTGCATTAGTCTTGTTTTTTATGTGCATATCCATGGGTTTCAGAATGATGAGAATCTAGGAGCGTTGCCATAGTGATCAACAATTTAAAACTATTACTATATTATATCTTTTGGAATGGGGAAAAAAGCCCTCAAATTGTTGCATGTAACAGGAAGCAGAAATAGACTATTTGAGCTGCTTTACGACATTATTTACCCTATTGAGATTTCACTAGTGGATCTGGCTAGCAACATTATAATTACAAGCAGTTTCTTTGCTTGAATTTCTCAAATAAATCCCCTACAATGTATATTCAATCAGAAGACAGAAGACCTAAAATTGTGCACCACTCTCTTCCATTTTATAAAGACGTTTAAATATTTAAATCTGGGCAGATACATGAATTGTGATACTTAGTTTGTGCTGTAGTACTTTGCTGTACTGTTACTGATCTGTTTGTTTCCTTTTTCTGTATTTATGAAGATGAACTGGTGTCAAGATGATGCTCTGACAAAGGAATAAAGCTCAAGCTTCAGCCTACACCATTTCCATCTGTGTTTGTTAAATATGACTGTGAAATAATGTCAGAATATACCTGTGGCCAAAATAAATTAATCAATCAGTCAAAATAAAATATAACAATTATACACAGACAAATACCTATGACACTTGTGTGACCCTATCAGACAAAAAACATAAACATTATACTTATAACCCTATAACCTAATTTTGACTCATTTTCAAGATTAAAAACAAAACAAAAAACAAACAAACAAACAAAAAACCTTATAGCCCTATAGCATTGTCCCTATCCACTCTTATGGCATGTAGGACTAGGCCTTAAAAGTGCATTGTGTAACTTTCCTGGTCCCCAACCTGTTTATCTCCATGGAGATTTGGTTTAAATTGTCCACAGTATGGTATTAAACTAATCTGCCTTGCATTTATTCAAGAACAGGTGTTATTTATCTCTCAAAAATATCTTTTAAAAAAGCATATATTCTTATTTATTATTATTATTATTATTATTATTATTATTATTATTATTATTATTATTATTATTATTATTTATGTATTTATTTTGGGCAAGTAGAGATTTACATTCTTATACAATGGAACATATAACCTAAGTGAAATCATAATAGAAATAAAAACAACCACAACAAAAAATTTGCCCAAAAAGGAGTGAGAAGAAGAAAACTTATTTAATCCCACCCCCACTCTTCTAATCTAATACAATGAGCTTTCTTTTGCATTTTTCAGTCACTCTGCATTCTTACTGGGAGTGCGATCGCCACTCCATAAATCTAACCTGTAATTTGGCTTGCAAGTCTCCATGGAGATTCATAAGTTTATGGTTGTACTGTGGAACATTCTAGACGCATCTCCACGGAGACGAGCAGGTGACAGCCTCTCCAGCAGACGAGTTACAGAGTGCACTTTTAACAGCTGTATTTCTCAGAGAAGAATGGGACAAGATTTCTTTACAATATGCATCTCATCGCTGCATATATATTTTCTGAGAGTGAAAGAAAAAAAACCCACATATATCTGTAAACACAAGGGCAGCCAAGGCCAATTCAAATACAAAGATGATGACTTCAGAATAGGCTCTAAACTGGTCCGATGATTCAAAAGCGTTTCAACCTCAAAACAATATGCGTTATTATTCCACTTTCGCCGTCATGTCAGCGTGCGGTAGGCAATTTAGACAGAGTAATGCTCCCTGTCAAAATATCATGCGTAGTTATATTTCACCAGTAAATCTGACAGTGGAGGCTAAGACAAGAGAGAAAGTATACAGATTAAACCCATATATCATATTTAGTCGCATATTCAATCCTGTTAAGTCTTTCGTCTTTTGTCGTAACCATGACAAAGATCGAATTCTGTTTCTCCCAAATGCTGGTATTAACTTTGTAATTATAAAAGTTGTAGCAGTTGTGTGGAGGAGGTTTAAATGAAAATAATATAAGTTTGGGGCTGAACTTTTGTGATGAAAGCAGTGAGAGATACAGGGGAATCGCACTCACCTTTTCACCTTTAGAGCCGGGGTCACCTTTCAAACCGGGGAGACCAGGAGGACCCTAAAAACAAGACAGGTTTTCATTTAGAAACAGAAGTGGAAGAAAAAATGCAAGCCTGTATTGAAGAATTACTCCAAAATATTGCATTGTATATTGTAGAAAATGTTATGTTACTGCAAAGACTATGAATTAGTTATGAAAAATTAATTTTAGGGAGTTTTGTTTTTGTTGCCTTGCCTTTTTATCATGCTGTTAATTTTCTTTCTCAGTATCTTGGAGTATTTGTTATTTAAATACATCTTAATTTTGTATTTACAGTATACTCAACATAAGATGGCCTTAAAGTACTCACTGCCACTATTACTATTATCAAAAATACTACAACTACACAGCTACTACTGTACATACTACCCTTCTAGACTGTATACTACACCTCCTTTACTCTGTTTTTAAACTACTTCCTATTCTAGTATTTTTGTGTTAGTAGTAATAAAACTAATCCTGATATTACTAAAATTTCACACATCACCGCCAAGAACCAGAACATGTTTTTAAAATGTAAAAAACTTGTTTTATAACTGTGCATGAAGTAAGAATATTTTAAAAGTTATGACTTTGTAAAAAACATGAGAAAGAGAGGAAATATCAAATGCATGAGACATAAAACAGTTCGTGACAAGAAGGCAAGAGGAAAAGAAGTACCACATCAAACGTCACAAAGGCAACTGCAGGGAAAGACTGACTCAAATCTCAACTAAACCTATGTATTCTATACAGCTGTGTGTCTGTTTCTGCGGGGATCAGGCTCCTGTGTACTTCAAGTATTTATATATTCATCTAGTGTGTTGCATATGTAGATAATATACTTAAAATGTGGGTTAGTCCTGTTTTAGAGCTAGTAGTCTTTGTTCAGCCCTAGTTTAGTCCTAGTTTACATCATCATAGTGTTAGTTTAGTCCTAGTTTATTCCTGTTCTAATGCTGTTTTAGATCATCATAGTCCTAGTCCTGGTTTAGTTCTGTTTTAGATCATCATAATCCTAGTTTAGAGGTGATTTAGTCCTGTTCTGATGATGTTTTAGATCATCATAATCCTAGTTTAGTCCTGGTTTAGTCATGTTCAGATGCTATCTAAGACCATCATAGTCCTCGTCCTGGCTTAGTCCTGTTATAATGCTGTTTAATATCACCATAATTTTAGTTTAGTCCTGGTTTAGTCCTGGTCTGATGCTGTTTTAGATCATCATATTCCTAGTCCTGGTTTAGTCCTGTTTTAGTCCTGTTCTAATGCAGTTTTCGATCATCATAGTCTTAGTTTAGTCCCAGTTTAGTCCTGGTTTAGTCCTGTTTTAAATCACCATAGTCCTGGTTTAGATCATCATAGTCCTAGTTTAGTCCTACTTTAATCCTGGTTTAGTTCTGTTTTAGACCTGGTAACACTTGGAAACCACTGCTCTACCAGATGTAACTTAATACTAAAATGACTAACGTCACTTTTTAAATGACTCTTTAATTATCGTGCCTCAAAGCAGTCTCAATAATTTTGGTGATTATCTTGATGACAATTTTCAGATATTTTAGCAATCCATCAGAAATGTGCTAAAATGTGTCTTGGTTGAGGTTCAAATATCAAACAAAATATGAAAGAATCAAATTAACCATGTTTCTGCGGGTATTTTTAAACAGATCTCTCTGTTGTTGGAGCTTTTATTATCGACTTTAAACTTGATGTTCTAATTTTGGCTTATCTCTAATTCTGGCGTATCTCCAAAATAACGATGGTATCTTAATCACATTTCTCCAATTTTAACACGAAAGTAAAAATATGAAATCTAAAAAGTTCTGTGTTTTTTAAAGGTGCATTGTGTCACTTTTCCTGCTTGTCTTCGTAATAAGTATTTTGTTACTTTGCCTGAATGTTCCACGGCATCCAACTTTTCTATCTCCATGGCGACAAGAATGCCACCAGGCCAAGTTATGGGTCAGATCTGTGAAGAGGAGGCAAGCCCGCCCTTTTTCCAATGTATTTTTAAGTGATATCATTTCATGTAATTGAATAAATATTTGATAGATTTAAGTTTAATGCCGTACTGTGGAACATTCCAGGCAACCCTAACCAATCTGTGTATCATTTGTTCATTCATTTTTCAATATAAAACCAAAAATGTCTCCAAAACCAAAATGAAAAAACGGATAACGATTTGTTTTTTCAATTTTCGATTGTGTGTTTAAATGAATAATGAATAAAATGGGTAACATCCGTTTCCTGTTTCCATGTGCGATGCCAGACTGAACCAGGACTAAACCAGGACTAAACCAGGTCCAGGACCAGACATGAACCAGACTGAGATCAGGACTTAGACCGGGACCAGAACAGGACTGAGACCAGGACTGAGACTGGGAACAGGACCAGGACTGAGACCGGGACTGAGACCGGGACCAGACTGGAACTGAGGCCGAGACCAGACCAGGACCAAACCATGATTGAGACCGGGACTGAGACCAGGACCAGACCAGGACTGAGACCGGGACTGAGACTGGGACTGAGACTTGGACTAGACCAGGACTGAAAACTGTTTAGTCCTGTTTAGTCCTGCTTCAGTTCGTATGCAGCGCAAAAGTCCGGCATCACAGTTTAAGTCATGAAAACGGGAAACGGCCATTATCCGTTTTTCCCATTATTCATTTAAACACAAAATCGAAAAAACTTTCATTTTCGTTTTGAAGACAAATAATGAAAAAAAAAAATGTTGTTTTTTCATTTTCTTACTTTTGGTTTTATATTGAAAAAGGAATGAACAAATGATACACAGATTCTAACCAAGGCAGAGCACTGGTAATATCATGCAGTAGTGTAACCTAAACCAAAAAAGTTGCGCAGTGCACCTTTAAAGAAGTAAAAATAAAATAAATATCTATTTCTCAGTATTTGAAATAGAGAGAAACAGAGGTATGGTACTCTGCATACTAACCATGGGACCAGGTGGACCGTCTTGTCCTGGGGCGCCGGGCAGACCCTGTTCACCCTGCCAAAAAAACAAAAAACAAACATTTGATTTTGGTTCAACATGCATTGCAGTATTTTCTCTGGCTAGCGATTGATTTTGTGTGCATGGCATGATGATGAATAGCCCAAACAATGAAAAAGTGCATGTGAATAAACAGGGGAAAGTAAAATGTAAGCCAAATGGTTGTATTGATTATTCTATGAAGTCTCATCATGCCTGAGCAGCTGCAGTGATTGTGTATCCAGTGTGCGTGTCCATATTGGAAAGTATATTTACTATAGTACAATGTTTGTCATTGACTCTTGTGAGCTTTGAGCCATGTTATAATGTTGTTACCTCATCAAAAACAGACCTGGAGTTGTGTTTTGATTCATTCACGTTTGAGTAACCCTATATATATCCTTCTAAATCTCCAAAGCTGAAGATGCTCCTTTTACCTTTTGATCAGTAGAGATGGGCAATTCAAAGGTTGAAATTATCCGAATGATTCTAGTAAATGTGTATGGAGTTTAAAAACACAGGGAAGCACTCCCTGTATTACCACATGACATCACAAGGTGTAACAGCGCGTTTTCAATTTGAGAGAACTCAGCCTAAATATGCAGGGTAACGTGTGAATGAAACAAAACGCAACTATGTATGTTTTTGATGAGGAAACAACATTATATCAAAGATCAGTCAATAGTTTAAAGGATTTATAGTACAGACTTACAACAGGGCCGGGGATTCCTCTTAGACCTTCTGGACCTGGTTTTCCGGGGGGTCCTTGGGGTCCGACTGGTCCAGTTTTACCTGCAGGTCCCTCAGCTCCAGCCTCTCCCTGATTGAAAATACACACAAATCAATAACAGTACTAAAGAAATATAGCATTATATCTACTCATAACTGTATTGATATATGATATGCGCTTTGTGTTGCATTTTTTTGGATGGAAAGCGCTATAAATAAAGTTCGATTGATTGATTAATATGACTGAATGTAAGTTTTTTACAATTAGCCCAGTCCTTCAAATTGCAATACAGTTTTTTACTATAACATTTTATACTTCTGTCGGTAGAAGATAAGGCTGTGCAATTAATCGAATTTTGGATTGCGATAAGTGCATCGTGTAACAAAAAAATTATCGTTTGAATAATCATGATTTCAATATTGTCCAAAATAATCGTGATAATCGAGCAGCCCTAGTAAGAGAAATATTAATATTTACTCCAGTATTCTAAACTAATCTCAAACACAGCTGGATGACATATAAGAGTTTAGTTTATAGATAAAAGTTCACATTTCTACAATTTGAAAAAGTAAGAAATTTACAAACGAGCGAAATTTTTTGTAGTGAAATGCAATAAGTGATCGGCATTACTGACCAACCATGTCCGTAAGTATGTATTATGTGTTATGAAGTGTAAGTGTCAGAGTTGTTTGCATAATAAGACAACAGATTTAGACTTGTATTATCATTATTCACTTAAAGCTTCATCAAATCAGATCAAACTATCTCTGTCAAACTAATGGGAGATTTACAGCAGCATGTGTTCACTTACGCACATGGTTCACTGCATCTAAAAGACAGACAAGCTTAAGTGAACGTGACAACTTTAAAATGATAATTACAGCTACAGCCAATTATGTTTAGAGACCTGCAACGTTTGATATGATTTGTGATATGCTAAAATAGCTGTAGTCTGTGTGCTAAAGAGGATAACCTTTGACTCGCTATACTGTATATAAGTATATTTTTATGTTTTAATTGCACAAATTCTAGACCTGTTCAATTTAAAAGAAATAATTACCTATGTACTTTCAAATGTATTGTAATGTATTTGTGATTTTCTGTGATTAATCTTTTTGAAGCCACTCTACATAATACAAATAGGGCAAAATTAGCTCCCATATCATTCAAAACAAAATTTCATTATTTTGTCTCTTCAATTAAACAATTTTTGCATTTGATTGGCGCTGTTAACTGTAAACACAATTAAAACTTGATTCATTGCACAGGCCTAAATATTCAGCCCGTTATATGAACAGATAAAGCTATTTAACATGCACTGACAAAGCCCGCTGACAAAACTTCACACTAGAAAGAGCAAAGACTTGATAGAAAAATACCTGGGGAATATAGACATAATAGCAGTGGATCCTTTTGTCTGAAATCGTCACATCACAAAACAGCCAAGCCCACCCAAAACCGACTCAGTGTCCATAAATTTCCATCTAATCAGGGCCAAAATGAACCCACTTGTGTATTTGGCCGTCTTTAATTTCAGCGTTGTGTGTGGTCGTAGGGGGAGAGGGTGGGGGAGATAGAAGAGGGAGAGTTGTAGGACTTAAGAATGAATTGATTTTGTTACCTTAGCGCCCTTCTCTCCTTGCCTGCCCTCTGCACCCGGAGCTCCTGGAGGTCCCTGAGGAAGAGGAGGAGATGTTAGCATTTCAATACGACGAAGACAACGGTGGTACGACGATGCAGGTACTTTGCAGGGACACAGGGGGAAAGGAGCATCGCTGGTCATTTGCACTTGATAAAAGACAGGGCAGTGGGCCAGTAAACAAATGAACTCCTGGTAGTAGGGAGGGGGTTTATTCAGTGTGTTGTTCAGTCCTGGTTTAGTCCTGTTTAGATCATCATGGTCCCAGTTTAGATCTGTTTTAGTCCTGGTTTAGATCAACAAAGTCCTGGTTTAGTCCTGGTTTAGTCCTATTTTAGATCAACATAGTCCCAGTTTAGTTCTGTTTTAATCCTGGTTTAGATAATCATGGTCTTGGTTTAGTCCTGTTTCAGTTCTGGTTTAGATCAACATAGTCCCAGTTATGTCCTGTTTTAGTCCTGGTTTAGATCAACATAATCCCATTTTCGCCCTGTTTTAGTCCTGGTTTAGATCAACATAGTCTGGTTTAGTCCTGACTTAATCCTGGTTTAGATCAACATAGTCCTGGTTTAGTCCTGGTTTAGATCATTATAGTCCTTGTTTAGTCCTGGTTTAGTACTATTTTAGATTGTCTTAGTCCCAGTTGAAACATCTTTTTTTGTTTTGTTTTTTGCTTTATTTTACACAACAGGGACACAATAATATTAATGTTAATGGCTGAACTTGCTTATCTCAGAAGAAGCCAGAACCATCAAATTGAAATTGGTTTCTGGGTGGAAGCCAAAATGTCTTGATTGCAAAAGCAGTGCCCAGATGATCACCATGGAAACCTTTTCTACATTTACTTATGCACAATAATCACAACACTTAAGTTTTAGTTATATTCTAATATTCTAAACATTTCCTAGATGTTACAAAACAGCACTTTGAATGAAACAAATCTCTATCTAAACACCATATCAAGACATAATCCTTGTTTTGTAACTTTTCTCAGAGTGTAATTTCACTTCAATGCATGCTGTCATTTTAAAAGCAAGTTCAAAAGTTAAATTCAGCGGAAGTTCATTGGCAAACAGTTTATGCAAAAAGTTTAGTGGCTCCATCCTTTGTGTTTGCTGGCCCATAGCACTGACCAAAACGGTTTTATTCTAAAGCAGCTGCAGTCTCTGTTTGAGTTTATGCAGAATACATTCAGCCTGCTCAGTTATCTATGCTCATATTGGTCTGTGCAGATGTGCAATTTAAAAGTAGCCTTTAAATACAATCTAAACAAACTACAATGAACTATATACGATACTTAAGAAGTATATATGTAATGACATGAACAGTAAAAATGACTATATTATGCCAACTTTACTTGATGCTCTTTTTGTACAATCACACAATTTGAAAATGGCATGCTACAAAGCTTTGGGCAGGATCAAATGAACAGTCTATAATACTAGAATTTGATTGGTCCAAAATAACTGCAATAGTAATCACTAGTAATGCAAATATGTTAAATAAAAGTAGAAATCTATGATATAGTGTATATTTTTTCATAGCCAGTACTGATTGTTGTCAAAGCCCAATCTATTCAGGTCTTTTGCAAAAACTGTCCTTGTGTCCTTAGGCAAGACACTTCACCTGCATTGCCTGGTATGAAAGTGGAGTATGCATGAGTGATGGTGGTGTTTGGAGGGGCCGATGGCGCAGATTGGCAACCTCGCTTCCGTCAGTCTGCCCCAGGGCAGCTGTGGCTACAATAGTAGCTTACCACCAAGTGTGGAGTGCACGAACGATGAACTGTAAAGTGCTTTGGGTGTCTTGAAAGGCGCTATATAAATGTAATAATTAAAACCAGAATAGCTGATGGCAGATAAGCTCTGCCGATATTTTGAGCTGATATTTAAGGCCAATTAATAGTTTTTAAATTGCTAAACTAATGTATCCACAATCTTATTTCACAAGTACAAGCTAAAATGGGCTGTGCAGTCAAGCATTTAAATGGAAAGTTAAATTTATTTCCTTTAGTAAGTGGAAATTTAAGGCCGATAACAGATATGCTGAAAAATGCATATCTCTAAATTGAAGACTGTACTAGTGTATATATACGGACATAAGTAACTCGGTAGCTGCCGCGTTCCAAATGGGAATTGAACATGTGGGTGCTTAGGGCTCCATCCACTTCCAATTGACTTTACATTGGAAAATTGTCACCCCTCTCTCTGTCACAGCTGCAGTGAGCCTTGTCCTTGTGGTCTTCAAATGTTTGTATTAACCCGCTCTACATGACCCTGGTGATTTTATTTTTGCTATTTTGTCTATAAATAAATTCCTATTCCTAAAATGGCTCCAAATTTACCCTTCTAACTGCTATCATCATGAGCTTCATTTGACTGGAGCCAAACTCTCTTAGTCCACTTCTCAAAGACGAAGCTGTGAATAAAAGTAGGACTATCTGAAGAGAGAGACAAACTTAACATTTGAATCTGTTTTGTTTTCTCCCCCTCTCTCATCTGATACACATAAGGGTGCCTTGATGCTTTAATTAAAATCCCATGACCTTGAAAGCTTCGCCTCACATGTGCATCGGCCCCTGCGTGAATGCTTTGGACATGACATTGACGTTGTGTGCCCACCCCATGGTCCAACACAAAGCAAACATCCACAGACATCATGCGACGCGCTGGAGGTTGGCAGGTCATCCCATTCATTCTTAGTGATTTCTTTCAACCCTCCTCCTCTGTGCGGCCCTCTTCAGAACCACTCTCTATCCAAATCCTCTGCTCTGATTGGGCCAGACGCCTCCTTGAGTACTATTGACCGTGCCCATAATGTGTGCTCGGAGCGTGCCTAGCTTTCATCCTCGTCTTCCTCGCTGGTGGTGAAGATGCGGAGGGCTCTTGATCAGTAATAAGAGTCACTATAGATGTCCGGAGGTGCTCTGATGCTCTGCTCTCAGGTCCCTGTCTTTTCAAGGTTACAGGAGCATGCTAGAGCAAAGCTGATAAGACATGCTTTTAGCACTAAGACCGGATGTGACTAAGATTTTTATTCATCCACAGGTTTGATTTTAAACTTTATATGTCCGATCTATGTTATAATATTTCCTCATCACAAATATATCTGGAGTTGTGTTTTGTTTCATTCACACATGTTTAACACACAAACCTTTCATATTTAGACTGAGTTCTTCTCTCAAACAGGAAACACTCTATTCTACCTTGTGATGCCATTTGGTAATAGAGGAAGTTCTCCACTGTGTTTTTAAACTCCATACACCTTCACTAGAATCATTTGGATGTTTTCAGCCCAGAAATGACTACTACTACTACTTTAACAAAAGGTAAACTACTGCTTCGTGACATCACAAGGTGGAACAGAGTATTTTGAGTTCTAAAGATGAAGACAGCAGAGGTGGGGACTTGCAAGTTGTGACTTGGTCTCACGTCAGACTTGAGTCACTATTTTTAGGACTTGAGACTTGACTGGATAAAATGGACTAAGACTTGGGACTCGACTTGAACTTGAGGCCTGTGACTTGAGAAGACTTGAGATGCACTTTTAAATCTGAATTCTTTCTATTTTGACTGTAATGATTCACACTAAGATTTTGTCAAGACATTTAAGACTTGAAGCTCAATGCAGACGACTTGGACTTGACCTGGACTTATGGGCCAGTGACTCGAGACTCGACTTGCCTGTATTTGACTTGGGACATGACTCGGACTTGAGGTCAAAAGATTTGAGACTTACTTGAGACTTGCAAAACAACGACCGGTAAACAGACTAATAATAAAAGGTTACTTAAACATGTGAATGAAACAAAACACTATTCCAGGTATGTTTTTTGTGTAATATACACACACAACTTATCTAAAAGTTTATGTTAAAACTTTTCAAAAAGCATTATTATCAGCAAAGTTGTTCTGAAGTGAACTTATTACATTACACTTATTAAATTGAACTTGTATTTTAAAGTTTTTGTATCTATGTATTTCTATCTATATTACATATTTTATACACATTTTATGTAATTAAATCCCTAACGATATGAAACATTATATGTATACTAAATCCCACATACTGTTCTGAAGAAAAATAACTTCATTGCACTGATTAAACTTGAACTTGTATTTTAAAATTTTTGCCTATACTTTTGTCAACAAATATTTAAATACATTTTTCCTTATAGAATACCAGAAAATAAAGAGGGTTTTTTTTTTGCAGTACAGCCAGACAAGCAATCTGGAACATACTGTATGTAAAAGTGTTTCAAAATGTAATTGTATATTTAAAAATGTACAGTATTTGAAAGATCAATTGTATAACACAAATAAAACAGGCTACACCAAGCCCAAAACACAACAAAACAATGTCTAAACACTTTTTTAGATAAAGTTGAAATAGGATTGGTTTCTGAGTTAAAACTTCTGAATGCAATTAAGAAGCAAGCCCACTTTACTGTGACTTCGCCAAAAAACTTAATGAGACAGTCTGGCCAAGTTGTGTGAATGCAACGCTTACACCAAAACAACTAATTTGGAAAAGAAAGGTTTCAATTTCCAGTGGGCTGAGAGGAGAGATGGCACCTCCACTGACTCCAAAAACAATTCTTGCTATGGGATTATAAGAATTCACACCAGCTCTGAGCAGGGAGCAGCTTGGGTCCCTTTCTCTGGCTTTGCGACAGATACAATAGCCTTCCCTTACTATAGTCTAATGTAACTTTTTGGTTTCTATGAATATGTAATGCTTGGAATGTTCCACAGTGTGACATTAAACAGCTCTACCTTACATTTATTCAATTACAGGTGTTTTTACAGCTCAAAAATACCAAAAAACAAGCTTTCTGACAGCGAGCAGGGTTGCCTCTCCACTTGTAACTTGGTCTGGTTTGGTTTCCATGAAGCTAGAAAGGTTTAATGCCATACTGTGAAACATTCCAGACAAAGCAATATTATCTCCATGAAGGCAATCGTTTGACTGACCCTATACCAGAAAAGTTACACAATGCACCTTGAAGTATAAACTGTACATTATTACAGCTAAGAAAAAAAACAACAACTATCGATTCAGTGGTTTCTACTGAACAATATTCAGCGCAAATATTTAAAATCTGAATATTTGAACACTTTATTAGACCTCAGAATCTGTGTGAAATACTTTTACTTTTTACTGCGTAAGTACGTGTTTAAATTGGTGCTTAATATTTAATACCTAATACTTAAAAGTGCATTGCGTAAATTTTCTGGTGGATTTGTCAAACATTTTTCTCGATGTTATTGCTTTGTCTGGAGTGTTTCACAGTATGGTACACATCACAGCCTGTTTTTGAGGTCTAAAACCACCTGTTGATTGGATAAATGTAAGGTAGAGCTGTTTAATGTCATACTGTGGAACATTCTGTGACTGAGCACTAACCAAAAAGTTACATAGTACATAGTACACCTTTAAGTAACCCAATTGAGTCTCACTTCCACCCCTGTCCCTGGGCATTTAAGTTGAGCGTATGCAGATACAAAGCTAATACCCCGCATGCAGATTTGGAGACATTGGGAAAGCAATCAATCCCGTTTAAAATTCATGACATGTTTTTGATTCACTGGACTGAGTCAAGAGAGTCTTCCTTTGAAATGCAGTTACTTTTCTCTGACAGTCACCGCGCCGACAGCTCATTTTGATGTGGGCGTTAAGCTGTGCATTATATTGGAGCTATGTTAATGATTCATGTCTTTGGTGTGTGTGTTCAAAGAAAGTTAGGGCCTTTAATATCAAGAGTATTAGCTGTGACTAATAGAGACAGATAGAGCGGATGGATCTTTTATCGTTTATGTTTTCTTCTGTTTTTTTTTTTTTTTTTTTTTCATGCTGTAAACATTCTTTGGTCCAGTACACTTTACTTTGTTTAAGAGTCACTTTGGCAAAATCACAATCAAACTAGGGCCAAGTGACAAAATGCTTAAAAACAAAGAAATAATCGTCACAACCATAGACTGCATAAAGAAGTGGACTAACCCCGTTTTCATGAGAGCTTTAATTCCGATTTAAAATAAATTAATTCGGAATAAAAATGAATTCCACTTTTAAAAAAAACATGTAAACACTTAATTCCTGATGATTATTCGTAATTAAATTTAATCGGAATTAAACTTAAATCTGAATTAAGTGGGTGGTTTATTCTGATTTTAAAGCCAAATGAATTTATTTCGTGATCATGTAAAAGTTTATTCTTCTTAAAAACTAATTCCAGTCTTTCAGTGAATGCGTGTTGGGTCGCCATCTGACGCGATGACGCACTGCAAGATGGTGAAAAAAGTTTGTAATTGTGAAAGGTACTGATGTTCCCAGTTAACATGCAAGCTGTAATATCTCAGTTTTTATTATAGATCCATAGCAGCTGAAGTGTGTGTTTACTTCCGGTAGACGTAAATATGTTCATGTCCCTGTCCAATCAGAACCCTTCCTGACCCCCAGTCAGTGAGCGGAATTAAATAAAGCCAATTTAACGTGTTTTCCGTGTAAACCTTAATTCGGAATTATTATTTCCATGTAAACTCAAATGAGAATAATTAAATTCCAAATTATTTAATTCGGAATTAAAAAACATCATGTAAACAAGGCCGGTGTAACATTACCTATAGCGTTCAGCTCTAGTCAAATGAAGTTCATCGAGGCTGGCAGTTATAGGAGTGAATTTGGAGCCAGTTCCATATTAGGAATTGGAATTTATTTACAGACAAAATAGCAAAATAAAAACTCCAGGATCATGTAGAGTGGGTTAATATGAAAATTTTCAGACCAAAACAGAGAGAGGTGTGACAATTTCTCAATAAAGTAAATTGGAAACAGAGTCAATGAAGCCGGAAGCGCCCCCCGTGCTCACTTCATATCTGGAACACGGCATGAAATTATTATATACTTATAACTGGTAAACGATATTAAATTAGTATATTCATTTGATGCCATGTCCATTTTTTCAAGTTTGAGACTGGTACAAAATGAATAATGACCCCTAGTGGCTGGAAAAGTCCTTAAATAAATGGTTTTGTATCAGTAAGCACATTGTATATTTTAATTTAATTTTTTCTGTAAACCTGTTAAAGTCATGTGTTTCAGGCATAAAAACTCCTTCCTGATTTGAAGGATTTGTCATGGCAACAGTCCTCCGTTGTCATAGCAATAACGCAATTCAGATCTAATTATTATATGTTTTGAATGGTGAAAGGCGCTCGCAAAATCCTTCAAATCTGGAAAGAATAATTGGCTTGGAACCCGTGAATAGGTGATCTGAATTTTGTTTTGCCTATAAAAATTGTCCCCAAATTGAAATACTTAAAAGTGCGCTGTGCAATGTTTTTAATGGAGAAAAATTCATAACCTGCTTGTCTCCATGGTGATGTTATTGCGTTACTTAAAATGTTTGTCAATGTGTATTAATAGGCCATGTAAGAGGTCAGATCTATGGTGAGACAAGCCAATGATTAAATAATTGTTTGATAGACACATTCAAATGCCATACTGTGGAACATTCTGGACAAGCTGGTGGCAGGCTCTCCATTAGAAAGGTTGTACAGTGCACCTTTAAAACTGCTTAAAACCCTGATTTATGCTCTGTTTTTCACCTGGTCAGTGGTGCTTTGCTGTGCAGAGACTGTCACTCAAGCTCCAGATCAATATCCCGTCACATTCACTATAACACTACAGCTTTCTTCCTGCTGCCACGACGACGCAAACAAGCTTAGACCTATTTTTTACCTAAGCCATTTCAATTCCTTGCTAAGAAAAAAAGAATAAAAAAGATTCATGATTATTACTTCGTTACATCCATCTCGCGGTGGGCTTTGAGGGGGCTTTACTCCGCAGACAGCACCGACCCCTCAAATCTCTCAGTTTGTTTTCCCCCTCTCCACTTTTAATGAAAATGAATCTCTCCTTCTCCTCCGCCAAAATGGACTTATTGGAAGTTGGGGAGAAAAGTTCGGGGACTGGCAGAAATGGTAGGTCGTGCAATGCCAACAAGCAATTACCAGGCTATCTGGCTTCAACTGTTTTAAAATGAGTTTAAATCAAGTCATGCGTCTAAAGGGCTGCACAAAATCCGAAAAATACAAATTGTAATGCATAATTGTTTTGACAACACTAGCAACATAAGAATTAACTTTTTCTGAAGTACTACTGGATTAAACTGAAGGTAAAACAGGGCCACAGCACTACGCTCTTATGAGTAGGGTATCATTAAGAGGTTAACGATACGATACATAACTCGATACACTGGCCATGATATGATACATATCTCGATACAGTGCACTTTCGATTCAATAAAGCAATTCGATACAGTTCAATAAAAAATAATGGCTAAATGATGGCTCTGATACTACGTCTTTGTTAAACTGGTTCTTGTGCAAAGTTAATATAAAACCCAAACATTTTAATCATCAAAACAGTGAAAATATCAAATGTGTCGCATAAACGAGTTTCCTTCCTCTGAACAAGCAACAAAACTGTAGCTCTGTAGCAAAATAATTTAGTAAAATATACCAAAAATAAATGATATATTGATACAGCAGTCCCCGATATTAATACTGTAGCATCACATTAAACGAAACAATACATCTATATTTCAATATTCTTGCACACCCCTACTTATAAGATCAGTGATTTTAATATAATATGATTTTATGACAATTTTATATAATTTAATAGGCTACCAGTACCTACAACTAGATTACTCATTATTTAGACACATAATACAACTGAATCATGTTAATAAATAGTAGCCTATAAGGATTTTCAGGGATTTTAAGATACTGCCCATATAGATGGTAGCACTTCTGGTAAAGTGAGAATTCCTTTCATTTCCATGGAGAATTTGAGAAAAGGTTTGCAGTTAAAATATGATATAAAGTAGGCTGATTTGTGCAAAATGTTCAACAAGTCAACAGTGCATCAGCTTTATATTGATAGTTTGCAGCTGATATCATCAATATTCCCTGGGGGTATGATGCCTCTGCTCTGTCTGAGGCTTTGTTATTCAAGTTAGAGTCTAATTTGAGTTTTATTTTAACACAATCTGACCATAAAGAACTGACTTAGATGGAGCTACAGTTAGCCAGCTGTTTTTTAGTTCACTTTCATCTTTTTCATTGATCACAGGCTCCTGAAATGTGTTCTTCAAATCCATTTTGTCATTTTTCTTGAGTTTCCAAAAAGATCTTAAAACGTTTTGGTGGTTATTAATGTGTGCATTGTGTAGGGTGACCAGACATCCCTATTTACCCAGTTTTGAGCCCTGTGTCCCCTGTCCCAGCAGATTTATCCAGAACCAATGATTTGTCCCAGTTTTATACAAGAAATGTCCCAGGTGTCCCTATTTTTTTATTTATTTTTTAACCAATTTGACACCTGCCAACAGTAAAGAGAGGCATACATTTGTCATTTGTTTAGGTAAAACATAAAAAACCTGCTTAAAAATGACCAAAACACAAAGAAAATGTGACTATACTGACTTATGTTAATGCCGAGTGCAGAACAATTTTCCTTAATTACGCACTCATTTCACAATTTTATTATTATGAACCACCAAAACCAGGGATGTCCCAGTTTTTTATTTTGAAAATCTGGTCACTCTAGCTTTGTGTCACCATAGTAACTTCTGAATACCCCCAGCGTCATACAACTAAATAATGATGCAGATGACCACAGCAACTTTCAGAATAAGGTGAATTTCTTTGATCAAAACCAGAAAAAACAAGTATTTGAGCTGTAACTGCCAATTAACTTTCTATAGCACTGTACAACCCCAGTTTTTTCATCAAATATTATATTATTAAAACAACAACCACGCACTGACGCCACACGCCATCTGTGCATCTTCGCTATACCAATCCACTTACTCTTTTGCCAGGTGGTCCAGGTGGGCCCGCTTCTCCGGATGGTCCTGGGGGTCCCTGGAAACACACAGAATAAACAACTCACGATTACAATGAACGAAGAGGATTATTTGAACGTATGATGTAGCGCTCAGATAAGTTTTAATGACTCGCGTCGATGACTCCCTTGTTGTCTCTGCCAGAAAGACAATAACATAGAAAAGAATATTGACGTTTTGGGAATAAGCAGCCCCAAGATGGCGACCCGAGTTGGAGCCAAAATATAAGTACGATAAAGCACTTCTCTGCTTCAAATGACAGTTATTGTGCTCCTCCGACACTTTCATCTATTACTGCAAAGTTAATTATAAGCAGCTGAAGCTCTTTGAAGCATTTGTAAAGGTAAATATTTCACAGTGCGGCAGTCTGGAGGTGGAGAGTTATTCAGCAGGATTGCACTCGGCATACAAAACAGAACCAAGGGGTAGTAGAAATCAGTGAAACCACATAACAATGAACCAGAATAAATTAATAGATGGAATAATGTGGTGAAAAACATTCGGTCTGGCTTTTTGCATTTGCATAAAGTTAATGGCATTATGGATGTGATTTGACAAGGTGGATAAAGACAAAACTCAACTGAATTAAATATATCGTTTGATATGAAATATAAACAACATATTACATTGTGCTGGTTATAATAGACTGTAGCGGTGCCTTATAATTGTGTTTGGGAATTGAATATTTTAATATGCTACAAGTGCAAGTCTGATAAGTCTAAAAATTTATTTACTTCTTTACATTGGTTGAACTTTCAAAATACAATACATGGAAATTATAGGAAAGGACTACCTAAATGTTCAGTATTTTGTTCAGAGGGCGGAGCTTAGAGTTGTATTTTTTCACATTTATTTACCAAATGTTTATTCATCACCTATATATTATTTCATTATCAGGTTAAGTTTAGGATTAGGATTAGGTTTAGGGACCGTTAATTTAGTTAAATTAAGAGTTTTGGAAAATGCAATGAAAGGAAGTCCTGTTATAGTAATACAACTGAGCTTGGTAACTTTAGTTTTAGTGCATTATAAAAACACATGTAAAAATAAGGTCTTATCAATAAGACTTGTACACTCAGTTTGGTTAAAATAATGGATTTACTGGTTGTGTTTACTGGTTGTGAACATTTTAATATGCTACAAGTGCAAATCTGATAAGTCTAAAAATGTATTTACTTCATTACATGGCTGAACTTTCAAAATACAATACATGGAGATTATAGTACAGGACTCCCTAAATGTTCAGTATTTTGTTCAGAGGGTGGAGCTTAGTGTTCTATTTTTTCACATTTATTCAGCATTTAGTTTATTTTTGACCTATATATTATTTCATTATCGGGTTAAGGTTAGGATTAGGGATCGTTAATTTAGTTAAATTAAGGGCATTGGAATGCTAGTCCTGTAATGAAAGGAAGTCCTATTATAGAAACACAGTTGATCTTGGTAACTTTAGTTTTAGTGCAGTATAAAATACTAGAGATGTAATGATATCCAAATCTCTCTGTAAGATATTATCATGATATGCATCTCATGGTACGATATTTATTGCGATATTTTGGAGAGGCTGATATAACTGTAGATAGGACACTTTTTTGCTTTTAAAATACCCTGATAAGATTTTGGTGTGAATTATTTCCATCATAATCCCAGGAATTCAAGTAAAAAACATAGTACATGTTGTCTGAGCTGAAATGAATCATGGGATATGTAGTTCCCGATGTTTATTAGCTATTGTAACTATAAAGCAATGCATTTAAGCAAAGGAACTTGTGATTCGATATATTGTGACAGCCCACGATATTATTGTGAGACTTTTCACGATACGATGTCACGATATTTCAGTTATTGTTACATCCCTATAAAATATATGTAAAAATAGGGTCATATCATAAGATTTGTACACTCAATTTCTATTCTAATGTTCTATTTTTTTATTTTTTATTTAGCAAATGTTCATATTTTTGACGTATATATTATTTCATTATCAGGTTAGGGTTAGGGTTAGGGTTAAGAACCATTCATTTGGTTAAATTAAGGTCTTGGAAAGCTAGTCCTGTCTTGTAACAAAATTCCAAACATTTAAGAAGTCCTGTTATAGTAGCACAATCGAGCGTAACTATAGTTTTAGTGCATCATAAGAATACATTTCAAAATAAAGTTACATGATGAGACTTGTATACAAAATTTTGGTCAGAGCAATGAACTTACTGGTTGTCCGGCTTCACCATCCTCTCCCTTCTCACCAGGTTCTCCGTCAGTGCCCTGTACAGAACGTGAATCATAGTTAAAAAACAAGCACTTAAAAGTAACATTAAATGATAAGTTTAGCTTCAAAGTCCAATATTGTACTTACAGCTACGCCAGGCTCACCAGGGGGGCCGGGGTCTCCAGGGAATCCAACAGGACCCTTTCAAGAGAGAAAAATTTGTTTAAAATATAAATACATGTAATCTTATGCGGGGATTTTCAAAGCCTTTGGGACATGGATTAAGTACATGCTTCGTAATTCTCTTAGCCATTTAGTCGTACCTAGCGTCCCCCAGCGTGTCTAATTTAATGGGCTTAATGATGGTGTTGCAATTCTAATGGGAATATGTCACTGTATGTCATTAGCACAGGGCATAAAGTGTAATTTCCATCAATAAAAAGGGATTTCACGTGTTAAATATGCTCTGGAATCAAAATTAATCTTCTAGGCTCGCTGAAGGGGGCTATTACCTCTTCCATATTTGGGCCAGTGTGAGAAGTTGTAGAAATATACGAGTAATAGTATTTTAGTAGTTGACTAGTCAGCAATTCATTTATGTGTTATGGATTAGTCAAATGATCATTTCTATTGTACTTTGAGACCTTTAAAATCCTGAACATAAATGTATCTTCTACGCTGAAGGGGGCTACTAACTCTTCCATTTTTAAGCCAGTGTGAGTAAGTTGTAAAAATATAGTACTGCAATTTAAGAATATGTTAGTAACTGTCGAGTACGAGATATATTTTTATGCTATCACCAAGTCAAATGATTATTTCTATTGTACTTTGAGACCATTAAAATACAGAATAAAAATATTATCTTCTAGGCACGCTGAAGGGGGCTATTAACTCTTCCATATTTATTCCAGTGTGAGTAAATTGTAGAAATATATGACTGCAATTTTAATTATTTTAATAGATGGCTATTCAAAGATAATGTTTTGTGTTATCACCTAGTCAAATGACTATTTCTATTGTACTTTGAGACTTTAAAATATATATTTTAAACCAGATAAAGGTTGAAATATGGTGACTGAAGTCTTCAAGAGAGAAAATGTTTACGAAATAAAATGTATTATTGACAAAAATTAGAAGTAGTGCATTATTTTTTACATGCTGATTTAATATTGTTACTGTTTTGATTATGACATTTTAATATTCAAATAGGTTAGAGTCATACTATATATGTATATATATATATATATATATATATTTTTTAAATAAGACTACAATATATACATTTTTATACTAAACTAGTCACTATTGTTCAGTTAATCTTGGCTAGAAAACTGTATTTGCTGGACTTACAGGGTTACCCTTTGGACCATCATCTCCGGGGGGTCCTTTAGCACCCGCGGGACCAGCAGCTCCAGGGGGTCCGGCCTCTCCCTTCTCGCCCCTCTCACCTTTGGGTCCCTGTGAAAGAGGAGGAGAAGTGTGGATTGGTTATGTCAGGATCACAGGGGAGAAGACAGCCAAGTGAGCAGCAATAAACACTGCAGCGGTCTCAAGAGAGGGACCAGGGAAGAGCTGTGAAATAAGAAATGGAGGCTCTACGGCTTTACAAGGAGTGACTTTAGGGACCACAGTGTGCTCCAGGGTTTTGAATTGGGCTTTGAATGAACAACAGATAACTATTCTATTATTATTCTTCACTATAATTAAACTCCATACATACTATCACTTTAAAGCACTTTAAAGGTATGTTATACAGAATGGATTATTGTGAGCGTTAAGACATGTTTCAATGCTGTTACCTTTAGTTTCATTCACATATGTTTGAGTAACACTTTATTATTAATCTGTCTACATCTCCAAAGCTCAAAATGCTCCGTTCCACCTTGTAAAGTCATGAAGCGGTAGTTTTCACGTTAACAGCTCCCTTTTACCTTTAGTTCAGCGGAGATTGGCAATTCCAGAGTGGAAATTGTCAAGATAATTATGTATGGAGTTTAAAAACAATGGTGGAACAAAGTGTTTTCAGTTTGAGAGAAGAACTCAGCCTAAAAGTGCAGGGTTTGTGTGTTAAACGTGTGAATAAAACAAAACTCCAGGTATGTTTTTGATGAAGAAACATTATAACATGAATCAGAAAATCATTTAAATAACTCTTCAGTAATACTTTCTATCTATTTCCACTAGTAGTTTTGCACTGTTCTCCTGTCCAAAGTGTATATTTTTGTTTTCAGTCATATTTGTATTCTGTTACATAGTTATATTTTTATCACAAACCTTATTGCTTCATGCCTTTATGTTTTATGTCATGGTTTATATTTACTGTTATTATGAATTGTTTTATGTTGCGCCAAATCGCTGGAGCAGATTCCTAGATTGTGAATTTTGTGTTTTGATGATAATAAGCATATTCTGATTATAATTATTTCACAATATTATTTATTCTACTTGTAAATGATAGATGATAGCTCAGTTTCTTGTAAATATATGTCAATGCAAAAATGCTGTTGTATTTTTCTATATTCAATCATTTTTATACGTTTATCTAATGTTTATCTAACTATATATACAGTTTTAAATTGCTAGATTAATACAATATTTTATTTATTTTGTATTTCATCAGTTTGTAGCAGGAAAAAAGGCACGAAGCTTTTCATCTTTTCAGAAATGACACATATTTCTCGTAGTACAAAAAATAACTTATGCTATGTACTGGTATTTTCCATATTTATTCACTTTTCTTTTCTTTTTTATGATATCTGTTATAGTCTGTTATTCTCTACTTTCCCAGACATTGGCATTTTAAGGAATTAAGAAAAGTACAGTGACATTTATTAAATTAAAATAATGCTGTACTTAAGTGAGTCATGAGCGCTGATCATTGAAACCTTCTTAATGTAATTTGGTTTTATATTAAACTTTGAAGTCTTCATGATTTAATTACAAAGCTGACATTTTACTTTGTGGGGAAATTAAATATGATACGTATTCATTTTTCTTGACAAACTGAATAAGAGGTTGTGTGCCATGAACCAGCGGTGAGCCAAATTTAAAGGTTTTACGGCAAAGATATTTCTTACAATGGAATAAAATCACAAAGTTAGCTGGCATTTGTGAGACTTTGCAGTTCAACAACTTTGAGAATGTTAACGATGCCCGGAGTTTGACAGGGACCAGAGGAGATTTGAATGCTGGTGATGACGCCGCTATGGAGACAGGCAATCTCCTCTCTCTGTCTCACGAGCCCCTCGATAATGGTAAGAGAGAGACAGGAGTTAAACAGATATCGATGGTTTCTCTTTGGCAAAAGTCAGACATTTACATAATTCTAAGAGTTATTTTGATTTGGTAAATAAATCTAAACTAATTTAAAGTTGTACAATGTTAATTATTACTTGCTTTGCCTGGAATGTTCCACAGTAAAGCATTAACATATCTATTTTATTTTGTGTGTTTTTAATGCTCAGAAAACATGCATTCTTATTGTGAGCAGTGTCCATAGATGTGTCCTGGAGGTTCCACCCGCTTGTATCCATGGAGATAAATCATTTTAATTAATGTATTTTTCAGACTATAAGGCACACTTTAATTTTCTCAAAAATCGACCTTATAATCCGGTGCACCTTATGTTTTAATTCTGGTTGTGCTCGAACCGATTTTATGTGGTACATGGCGGTCAAAAATATGTCAAAATTGCTGTTTTTTCAGAGCTTATGGTGTATGCAAATTAGCGATGTGGTTTTATGGTTTGTTTCTGTAAAAGGTAAACACATTATTACTCAATGTACCGGAAATCAACATTATTGATATTGCATCTTATAATCCTGTGCGCCTTATAGTCCGAAAAATATGGTAGGGATGCAATGATCCAGCTTTCTCTGTCCTGATGCTGATGTTCATACTTTTGTCGATATCCAATATCAGCTGGCAGACTGAAAATATTTCCTTATAATTTCCTTATAAACCAAACAGTGTACGGTAAAAAACAGATTCCAGTGTGTTTTCTTTAAAGTAATTAGAACAGCTCTGTAAAAATTCAAGTTTAAGATTATGCAATGTAAGTCAGTAAATCGTCTTATTACACCAATTCACAGATCAAAGTGGAATATCGCCTGAACTCTTGGAAGCCGATATCCTCCAAAATGTCAAATACTGGTGCTGATATCCAATATCCGGTATTGCTTAACTTTTCAATACCATTAAATAAGATACCTAGTCACATCTCTCGTGTTCTCCTTTAGTACCTTTAGTTTAAGAGTTTGGGAGCACAGTTTGAGTCACATTTGAATATGCAGTGCTAAGCTAAGGAGTCGTGCTGAGTTTAAAAGTTATGATAATGTTATGCACTTCACACTGTGTTTTACCATCCAAGTGTTTATGGACTTTAAAGGTACATTATTTATAGGTACATTTTACTGCATCATAGTAATATAAGACTATGAGCTTTTATAGTAAAAAGAGACAAGCAATAAAGCAGCATTTTTAGATTTAACATTTTTGATCATTTTACGTACCCCTGTTCCTGGCTCTCCGGGTTGCCCTGGGTTACCAGCCTCGCCTTGTTCACCCTGGGGAAAGAAACAAAGTTATAATGAACTCATAACAAAAATAAAACAAACCATATGTCATCTCTTGCACTTTTAAGTCCTAGTTTAGAGTTAGTTCATACTTGAATACTGGTTTTGTTTGTCCTAGTTTAGTCCTGGCTGAGTTCTGGTTTGGTCTTGGTTAAATCTTTTTTTTTTTGTGTGTGATTTAGACAGTATCTGGTCTTGATTGAGTCCTGGTCCTGGTTAAGTCCTGATGTGGAAGCAAATAATTTGTCCTATCCTATTTATTTGTCCTAGTTTAGACCTGGTTGAGTTCTTGTTTGGTCTTGGTCAAGTCTGTCTATTCACTAATTCGGACAGTATCTGGTCTTGATTGGGCCCTGGTTTAGTCCTGATTTGGAAGTGAATAATCTATGTCTTTTAATGACAATTTTAAGTCCTGATTTTGCATTAATTTATGGGTAAGTAGTGGTTTAGATGTCCTAGTTTACTTTTGGTTGTGTTCTGGTTTGGTAGTGGTGAAGTCTGGTTTAGACAGTATCTGGTCTTAATTAAGTCCTGATTAAGTCCTGATTTGGAAGTGAATAAAGCAAATATTAAACTTTTTTTTCTTTTAATTTCTTTTAATCACAATTTTAAGTCCTGATTTCGTGTTACTTTATGAGTAAGTAGTGGTTTTGGTGTCCTAGTTTAGCCCTTGTTGAGTTCTGTTTTAGTCTTGGTTGGTTCCAAGTTTAGTCCTGGTCTGGAAGTGAATAAAACTGATCTCTTGTAGTCACAATTTTAAGTCTTGGTTGAGTTCTGGTTTGGTCTTGGTCAAGTCTGTTTATGTGCTAATTTGGACAGTATCTGGTCTTGATTGGGTCCTGGTTTAGTCCTGATTTGGAAGTGAATTTGACCTTGTCCACTCTGGGGTAATTCTAGTAGCAGGCATATCCTTGTTCTATTATTATTTTGCTATGTGTTTTAATACGTTGTGACTGGATACAGCATCACCAACATGTGCTTCAAATATACAGCCAAAGTCACTGCATCGTGAGTGTCCTTTAAAGTTATTGCGTCCCTTCATGGTTCATTATCCAAGCTCATTTAAACATCTGCTGTAAACCATTAAATACTTATTCTGCCAAATGACTCTAAAAAGGAGGAATCTTGTAGTTTTTGTGTTTGTGTTTAGCATTAACTTAAATCAGAGCTTATTTTATTATTACATGTTTTTCTTTGGTCTTTAGTTACATCATGTCTGTATTTTATGTTAACACTGATGACCCCTAGCCTGAGCTACACAAGGAGAAAAAAACCTGATTGCATGAAGGTTGTGTTCATGTGACAAAAGCTATATAGTTTGAAACTGAGTGGGAGGATATGGTAGAATTATTTGACTATAAATGACTCAGATAGCAGAAAGTAGTTCTGGTTTATAGTTAATATATTTTTAATTACTGGGCTTATCCACATGAAACAAAAACTGGCACTAAGTTCAAGGTCTTCTCTGTCAGTATAAATCTAGAAAAGTGAAATTATGTTTTGATAATAGCTAGATAATAGATAATAGCTAAAGTTTTGCAATAATATTATGGGCCAATCGCAATGTATCAAATCACAAGTCTCTTTGCATAAATCAAAACAGAGGGAACTACATAGACCATGATCCTTTGCTCTGTTTCTGTGCAGACTACATGAAGAAACAACTGTGCACTTTTAAATCTTGATTCTTTGGATCACCAAGAAATGTAGATATTGTTACATCCATAATAATAGCTGCAGAAAGTGATGGTACTATCCAGTGCTAAAATCCGAATCATATAACATTTAACGTTTAAGGAGCCAATTTCTAACAAATAATGATAAGATTAAAAATTTACAGATTTTTTGGTTTTGTTTTTCTTTTTAAACAGTATATCTCCCATAGCGTGATATAGACTCCTTCCTTCTATCTGAAAAAATTACATCATTAAATTCTACAACAGGAACACAACCTATTGAGGACTGGTGGTAGCACAGAGAGGCAATTTGGAGCTCCGGACAAGGCCAGGAGCAGAGAAGCAGCAGTATCCGTCAAAATGGCTTCACGCTGGGCAGAGAGAAGAGACAAAGATGCCCTAAGCTGAGTCCTACCTTCTCACCCACGGATCCCATCGGACCCACACCGCCAGGAGGACCTTGAGGACCCTATGGCAATACACACAGACAGATCATTATCCATCAGCCTTATATAAGACATTTTATAGTACACAGCAGCATGGTGCATAACAAGAGGATAGGGAAATAGACCTGGCACAACAAGAAATTTTGAATTGCGATATCTTGCTGAAGTAAGTACAGATGATAAACGATAATACTAAAACTAAGAGCAGATTTACAGCACAAAAACTATTCTAAATGTACAATATTGTTAAAAAACATGAGCTGCAATAAATAAATGAAACACTTTAGTTTGCCTCATAGAAGTTATTTATAAAACCATCAACAGCTCAAATCTTATCATATAGCCAAAAAAATACCCAAGTAGTGCAAGAAAATGTGCACACAATCCCAAAGTATTGTTCCATTTATCACATATTGAATGATAAATTGATTCTTTTGACAGGCCTAGGGAAATGTTTCTTGTATAAAATAATGTATTAAAACCCAACTTATATGTGCAGTTTTCTTTACAAATACATTTCAACACTGCAGGAGCAAAAAAAAGAAGATAACTTGTAGATAGGGCTATATATAGATACAGATACAGTAAAAGACAGAGCTATAGCGTATACTTACATCAGCACCACTGGGACCCTGAGGACCTCTGGGACCAGGGGGACCAGGAGGACCCTGCACAGAGGAATAAAGTTGTTAAAACAAAATTTAAATTATACAAAATAAACTTTTGTAAACGTATAACTCACCATTGGACCAACGTCACCATTCTCTCCCTTCTCACCAGGAGGTCCAGGAAGACCCTAAAAACACAAGCACAAACACAAACTCTTACATAAACAGAAGACAATTAATCAAGTGTGAATGTCTGTTTCATGAATAAACAACAGTGTTCTTAACTATTTAAATGTGTTTACAGCAGCTGGTCTCCCTTGATTTTTAATATAAGCTTTCATTTGCAACACATTGTGGCAGTGTAGTGAAATATTAAACATACCTGTGGGCTAAAGAAAGAATTAATCATGCAGAGATTAGCTGAATGATGACTAAATCTATAATACAGCAGGCGAGGCCAAATGGAGCCCTGATGGATTATACGATTACCAGAGAAAGTAGAAAAATAACACTTCGATTTTCTTGATTAGTGGAGCTAATAGTTGGATGAAAAGTTGAAATATTGCCAATTTTATTTGTTATTTTTGTCGTTAAATATGCACTGTGTAACTTTTCTTGCTTTAACAGAATGACACTAAACTTATCAATCTTGTATTTATTTTTTATGGATGTTTTTGCTGCTCAAAATATGGTCATATTTTTATAAAGAGCCTTCAACTTTCAAGTCTGTCAAAGAGCTTTACATCAAGGGAGCACTCACACATTCACAAACACATTCATACACCAGAGTATACAGACACTGGGGTTGAGGTGGGTTAAGTGTCTTGCCCAAGGACACAACAACAGCATTCTTCTATGAGAGCGGGAATCTCACTGCCAGTGTATGGATCATTAGATCTGACTGCCCTACAAATAACATCTTTTATGTCGAGAACGGGATTCGAACCGCTAACCTTCAGATCAGTGGACAAAAAACATACATTCTCACTGAAGACGGCCTCTCCACAGAGCTAACCTGTACCTTGCCCTGGGTGTTTGACCTATTTGTGACCACGGAGATAGATTAGTTCAATGCAGTACTATGGGATATTCCAAGCAAAGCAATAACATCTCCAAACCCCCCACCGGAAAAGTTCCACAGTGCACCTTTAAAGTGAACAAATTTGTCAAAGATTGGAGTGTGTTTTATTTATAGAAGTAGATAATGAAAGCCATCCCTTCCCAAGACATTTAGACCTTGATTTATTATTGAATTAAACTTAGCAACGGTTGTCACAGAAGTATGTAGGCTGCAGCAGCTGTCGTATTTCTAGACAAAGGTGGAATGTGTTCGATTATACACCTTTGCAAATGGGCTACTTACTTCTATTATCTTTCAGAATTTGTCTTCTTAACTTGAGTCTGACTTTTAGATTTAGCAGACTTTAGCACATTTTAAGTGTGATGCATTGTGGAGCTGGAGCGCTGTTTCACCCCTGACATTTAGACGAGTGATTGTTCAGATTAAATAGCTGCTCTTTAACTGTCTGGACTCATAATACAGGTGGGCTTTGGAATCTGAGCGAGGAAGGAGGTTGTGAGGAAAGGTGTAAAGGACTGATTGGACTGATTTTGTGCCAATAAGCAATGTAACTAACAAAGACACAAGGACAAAATTGCTTTAATATTCAATGCCTGGTACAATTTCTTTTTTATTTTATTTTTGGATAAAACTAGGTGTAACGATGGGACTAAACATGGAAGTACATCTGGATTAGATCAGGACTAAACTGATTCTAGAACAGGCCCAAACCAAGTCTACATCCAGACTAAACTAGGCTCAAACCAGGATCAAATCAAGACAAAGAGAGTAAATGCAGCCTACACTAAGACTCAACAAGGACTAGACTAGAACCAGAAGGATTAAATAAGAAATAAACTATGATGGTTAAGGATAAACCAGGACTAAATCAATACTAAACTACAATGTGGCTAAACCAGGACCAAACCAGGACTAAAACAAGACCAAACCTGGTCTACACCAGGACTATACTGGGCTCAAACCAGGATCAAACCAAGACCAAGAGAGTAAATGCAGCCTACACTAAGACTCAACAAGGACTAGACTAGAACCAGAAGGATTAAATAAGAAATAAACAATGATGGCTGAGGATAAACCGGGACTAAATCAGTACTAAACGACAATATGGCTAGACCAGGACTAAACCAAGGCTAGAACAAGTCCAAACCAAGTCTACATCAGGACTAAACTGGGCTCAAATCAGGATCTGAACTACAATATGGCTAGACCAAGACTAAACCAGGTCAAAATAACAATAGCATATCAAAATTTTTAGGTTCTATATTTGAAATTTTAAAAAAGGGCATGCACAAAAGTTAAGATAGTTTATTGCAGTTAAGTAGTTTATTGCAAGCACCAGTCCAGTCTTTGCTTTATGCTAGTATTGTCCCTCATTGATTCTTCCTTATCCTTCTGTATTCCAGCGTTTTCAAAGTGGGTTTACGCATTCACTCTCCAATTCCTCCCTCGCTGAGAAATCTCATCTGAGTAAAGGTCTCCTCTAGTCTAAGATCGTTAGCACAGCGGCTAATTACGCTCCGTGGTGAATGTGCTCAATGACAAACTGACTATCAGCGCATTTCGGTCCACACAATTAATGGAATCGCAATGGGAAGTGAATTACACCCAATTAAAAAGCCATCGAACACTATCCCGCTGTGATGGGGGAGCACCTTAGCATGAGGAGTGGCAGTTTGTGTAATTTCATCAAGACAATGACCATCTCCCATGTTTGACTTAAGGATGCTGATCACTAATAAAACACATAATTACAAACAAATGATCTATACTGTGTAGAAATGGGCCTGCTTATTAGATAATTAGAATGCAACAAAACACCATTAAGGCTGGTTAAAACAGTGATTGGTTCATAGGCTCACTGTACTTGAATTAATGAGACAAGCTTTAAAGGTGCACTATGTAACTTTTTGGTTTCTTGTTTCTATGTATGTCTATGTAGTATGACATTAAACAGCTCTACCTAACATTTATTAAATTACAGGTGGTTTTATTGCTTAAAAATACCCAGAAAATGGGCAGGTAGCTTGGTCAGGTTTGGTCTCCATAACGACAGAAAGGTTTAATGTCCTACTGTGAAACGTTCCAGATAAAGCAATAACATTTCCATGGAGAAAAGCATGTGATGGACTCTCCACCAGAAAAGTTACACAGAACACCTTTAAAACTGTCCCATTGCTTGACATATACATGGGAGTAATGAGGGAAAATATCACTTTGTGCCCCATATCAGTGGTCCCCAACCTTTTTTGCGCCATGGACCAGTTTTCTATCAGACAATATTTCGAGGACCAGAGGGAGTTGGAGGGGAAGGCACGGTGGGTGGGCCGGCGGCATGGTTTAGTCCTGGTTTAAGACCTGTTTAAGACCTGTTTTTAGACCAGTTTTAGATCTGGTTTAGTCCTGGTTTAGTTCTGGTTTAGTTCTGGTTTAGTTCTGGTTTAGTTCTGGTTTAGTGGTGCAGCCCATGTGTACGGGATGTGGGATAGTCCGCACGATGTACTGAACAATTAAGTAATCTGATGCAAGTATAATACTCCCTACAACTGTACAACAACTCCCCCTTATGTAATGGATAACCAAGTGTCCACTGAATCATATCATTGTTGCCCTGTCTTCCTATGACCTCTTGTATAAAGCTGTGATTTTGTATTTTATTATAACTTATCTTTCTATTTTATTTTGACTTGTACATTTACATTTATATAATTATGTCTTATTTGACACCTGTTATTATATTTATTGTGATGTCTGAGCTACTGTGTCTAAGTCTAAGTCTCATCATATTTATAGCCTTAACTCTGCCTTTAAAGGGGCTTTTGACAGATCAGATTTGACTAAAAAATAATGGGATTAATTACAGAAAAGCAATAAATACAGTGGATTTTAAAACAGTCAAATAATATAAAAAATATCACCAAGCTCACACAATCACAATTCACAGTATCACATTTGTGGTTTAGCCCCTGCTTTCGTCTTGGTTTCTGCCCAAATCTCAAAGTCTCATAGTCTCTTTATCCCTGTCATTAGCCCTGGTTTAGTCCTGGTTTATGGTCCTGGTTTATGATCCTGGTTAAGACCTTATTCAGTTCAGATTGAGATATGGTCTATTTTATTTATCTCCTGTGGAATTGGCTTTCCCCTATACCAATAATCACATGACCTTATGGCGGGAACCCATATATCACATTTTATATTGCTGCGGGTCACCATGTTGTATTATTATTCAGGTCTACTGTAAGGCTGTATGAACAAACTGGAGAAATGATATGTAACAAGGAAGAAAATATATGCACAGTTTATTTGCTACTGTACACCTTCTACTACATAGAGAAAGTAAAATGTGTAGATTATATGTATGCAGCCATGTAAACATTGTTTCTTTTGCTTTGTCATGTTTTATATATTATACTTTGAAGCTGCTCAACATCCCCTGGGAGTGTGAAGCTAACTATAGGCACTGCTCTGTCTGAAGCTCTGTTACTCAGTCTGTTTAATCTGTGCTTTGTTCTATCACAATCTGACCACAAAAAACATTAAATTACAGTTACAAGCTGCTCAAGCTCTCTCACTACACCTAAACAGGACCATGAGCACTCGTATTGATCACAGCCTACCAAATATATGTGTTTTAAAATCCATTTTGTGTTTTTCTTGAGTTTTCTATAAAAAAAAAAATAAGTGGCATAAAAGACAAAATAATTTCATGGAAGTTGACATGGCAACAACTGAAAACACAACAGAACATCGGGTCCTTAATGCAGTAGAGACAAGACACTGAGTTACTTGTGTCTTGCCAAAAATTGCGTGTAAAGCTCCGGGTTTGTCTACGCCTCAGAACTCCATCTGCCTTGAAAGCCACAATCTTACCAGCCACAAGAAAAAGGATCACAACTGGTGTAAAATGAAAGCTTCTGCAGATTGCTCCAGGAAAACTGAATCATAGCAGAATATGATGTCCCATAGATGAGTGTTCGCAATGTTCACAGCTATATATATATATATATATGTTCTATACTCTCTCTATGTCACTGAAACGCATCCTGCTACAAGTTATATTTTCCACCCTTAAGCAATAAAAAGAAAATAGCTCTGTCTCAAGGTTAGAGAGTCCATGTTATTTCTATTCAAACTTTAACAAATGCAGGTTCAGATATATAACCTCACACCATATTGTGTGTTATAATATAGTGTACAAATTGTGTAAGCGTCAGGGTTGACAGACTCGAAACTAGATACTCACTTAAGAAGATATCAACACTGAAATAATTGCATGAATGAAACATTATTGATGTTTTCTTGAATAGTTTAAAAATGATCTATCAAAGGCTTGTACAACCACATGATAGTATTAAATGAACTGAAAATTATTAGGGTTATTTGGGTTAAAACCTTCTTGTATCTATGGATATGTCATTGCAAGTAATAACATTTCCACAGAGAAAAGCATTTGACAGACCTCCAACAGAAAATTACAACCTTTAAAGATATTCATTGTTATCGTGGTATTCAAATCTGTATCAAGCCTTTTCCTTACTAAATAAATCAAGTTTGAAATTGGAGTTTTGTAGCGAAACTAGTGTGCATCTAAGTGAACACTAACCTGCAGGCCGATGGGACCAGGGGGACCAGGGAACCCTCTTGGACCTTCGTCTCCCTTCTGTCCGAACATACCCTGTTGACCTCTGGGACCAGGCTCTCCATCAGCGCCCTTAGAACACACAAAAGATTGCCTAAATGTATGGGGTTAGTCCACAAAATACAACTGGTACAGCTAAATTATTGAAAACTACCTATTTCAAGATAATCAGTGTTGTTTAATCTGCCTCTCCTTAATGACAAATGACTGGTTAAAAGTTTGGTTTTCTAACACTGAAGTGGTTTTATATTTACAATTTTGTGAAGCCCTGCTGTTTTGATTTTGGGCTCTACAAAAATAAATTAGACTGAAATAAGTAAAAGCTATCACGATGTTATTCATCAGTCAATTGCAACAACTTTTGCATTTATATTCAAAGGTGTTAAACATAGACTGGTGATAATATGTTCTGAATCTGTCATTTACAGTGACAGTGGTATTCACTTTTGCTGTTCACTTGTCAATTTCATGTAACTCAATAAAAGGATAAAATAATGCACTAAATACACAACTTAAAGAGCATGTTATAATGTTATTTCCTCTTCACAAACATGCCTGGAGTTGTGTTTTGTTTCATTCACACATGTTTAACTCACAAACCCTGCAGATTTACGCTGAGTTCTTCTCTCAAATAGAAAACATACACCTGAACTAGAATCAGTTGGATGATTCCAGAACTGGAATTGCCCATTTCTACTGAACTAAAGGTAAAAGAAGCTGTTAACTTGAAAACTACAACTACATGACAACACATGTAGATAGACTAATAATAAAGGTAACTCAAACAATGAAGCAAAACACAACTCCAGGTATGTTTTATGTGAGGTAATAGAATTATAAAATGGCTTGAAGCTCACAAGAGTCAGTTTTGCCTATTATAGGACCTCGAAGGCAGTAATTCATAGAAAAGTATGTATTTCTCATCCTTAAAGTTTTGTTTTTGATAGGATTTGGTTTCTAGATTCAGTTGTTCTGAGTTTTTCTCCTTGTTTTATGATCAATCGACACAGTCCAGTAAAGTTTTATTGATGCGAGATACAAGAGACACTTACAGCGGGTCCGGGGGCACCAATGGGACCTTGGAGACCGGGTGGACCAGGTGGACCCTAAACGACAACAGAAACAAGTCGGTAGAAAAACATCTCAAAATGGGCGCCTCCTGAGCCATAAAATGTGATTTAAAGAGGACTTTGGTGCTAAAGGTTTTGTGCGTGGCTCACCTGCTCCCCTTTGTCAGCTTTGCTTCCCTTCTGTCCAGGCTCTCCCACCTCTCCCTGAAAAGATACAGCAAAGACCATGGATCAGTTTTTATTCCACCACCAGTGTTCAATATGTCACATCTCATCTCAGGCTCGCTGGTTAAACTGTGTATAGATGGACAATTGGCTATAAAGAAGAATTCTGTTATTTGTATAGAAAAATTAAATTATCTAAACACAAATTAGGTTAAAATATATCACATTAAATCATAGTCAAGTTAATAGACCCACTACAAAATAAAAAAAGAGAACGTATTCTAGATTAATTGATGCAAATTTTGAGACATCCAGGAATAAGACATTATAAGTGAATTAAAATGAAAACAATTGGACTATTGTTTTTGTTTTAACTTTAAAACGCTTATAACATATATAAAAGTCTCTGTAATACATGATGTAAATGCAGTTACTATGCACCCACAATGAATAATCACAATTGGAGCTCCATTTTTTTTTTTAGTACATTTTGATGTTGAGTAATTCACCTTGTCACCATCCTCTCCAGGTGGACCTTGGGGTCCCGCCGGCCCGGGCAGACCGACTGGACCCTGGACTCCATCGCGACCAGCTGGACCCTGTGGACCTTTCTCTCCCTGGAAACACAGTCATTTATTTAATTATGTAACTTTAAAATAGATACATTAGATCAAAGTTCACATATTATTAAGTTTTGATTCTGAAGACAAAGTACTCACAGGTGCACCCTTCTCTCCAGCGGGACCCGGGGGACCTTGAGGGCCAGGTCGACCGGACAAACCAATGGGACCAGCTTGGCCAGCACTGCCTCTCTCACCAGGGGAGCCCTAAAAGGATTCAAGAAAACAGGAGGATGAGATGGAGCATTAGATACAAGAAAGAAAGGGAAAAAAAAACTCTTTGGGCAGAAGATATAAGACACTGCATAAATAGTGTTCCTGTGGTGAATACTTAACAACAAGCATTCCCATTAAGGCGTCTACAAAGCAAGACCTGAGCTGCACTGCTAATGGATCTGCACACAGGCTTCTGTAAGAACCAAGGGAACACAACATACACAGAAACAGGTGGCTTTTAAGTCTGATATAGAAGGACGGCTACATGAAAGCCCCTGTACAGCCACATGGAGCTGTGTTACCTGCAATAAGACTCAATACACAAACTCAATACACATAAATCTATTACTCTTAATGGAAAATGCCACTATGTCTCTGAACAGTACTGTACAAAACGCATGGATTTAGAGGGGACCATGGATACTCAGTATGAAAAGTGAGCATGGCCTTGATGGAGGATCCAACAAGGCTACAAATTTGGATTTTAAGTTCTGCTATAGAAAGACTGCTACATGAAAGCACCCGAACGGAAGTGTGTTATATGCAATACAATACTCAAACTACACAAATCTATTACTTTTAAATCGCCCATATTACACTATTTTCAGATCTATGTTATAATGTTTCCTCATCACAAACATATCTTGAGTTGAGTTTTGTTTCATTCAAACAAACAAGTATTTCTCTTTAAGTGAAAACACTCTGTTCCACATATGGTAAGACAGGAAGTGCTCCACTGTGTTTTTAATCTCCATACACCTTCAGCAGAATAATTTGGAGGATTTCAGACCTGGAACTACCAATCTCTACTGAACAAAAGATAAAACATGTTACTCAAACATGTGTGAATGAAACAAAACACAACTCCAGTTGTTTTTGAGCAGGAGGAAAAGTGGACAAGTCCTCTGAGTTTGATAGAGGATCCTGTGAGTATTATGAGTCATGATTTTTGATGTTTTATATTTGCAGTTTGGTTTGATAATCCGTGTTTGTTTATATCACAGAGCAGTGAGGCACATCCTTGTGATAGGAGCGATTGCAGTACTTGAATGCTCCAGTGACAGATCTGTGTGTGTAGTGAGACGACACCAATGCTGATCCCATCAAAACACACAGGCAACGATGATGTAACACTAATGTTCCCATTACACTGCTACAAAATGAGTTACCCCTCTTTCTCATTAGACCTTCATTTGCTCAAGGCCACTCAAATCACCACTTTCCTGTAATCACTGAAATAACAAATATTTTTACCCCCAAATTTTCACATGAATCAGTCATAAAACTATTCCACTTCATAAGAATTTCATCTGCTTTTTATCAAGACCTCATTAACGATTTATTAACCTGAGAAAATAACTGAAATTAAAAGCTACAATTCCATAGAGATACCAATTGTGTTGCAAAAATGCCAGATGTTTTGATTAAAGGTCCTATATTATGCAGAAATTGGCACTTGAGAGCTTTAAGGCATGTTCGAATGCTGTTAAATAACTAAAAACATACCTGGAGTTATGTTTGAGTAACCCTTTATTATTAGTCTGTCTCTCAAAAAGCTCTGTTCCACCTTGTGATGTCATTAAGCAGTAATTTACAAATTACCAGTTACCTTTAACATTATTATTATCCAAATAAATTATCCATATCCATATAAATTATCCACATGATTCTAGGATATAGAGCTTAAAAACACAGTGGAAGAGTTCTTGTATTACCACATGACATCACATGATGGAATGGAGTGTTTTCAGTTTGAGAGATGAACTCCAGGTATGTTTTTGATTAAAAAAAACAACATAATACGGGCTCTTTCACACAAACATTTAACCAGTAAAATAATAAAATAATTAAATTTGTGGATTAAATAGGCTGTGTAAAAGTGAATATAGAGTGAAACTATTTTAAGCAGATATAACAGATTTAAGCAGATCATTAGTTGGTCGATGGTTTTCAATGGACTGAATGGCATTGCTTCTAATCTGTTAATATCTAGGCTTTCAAACATATACAATATACTCAGTGATGCCTGAAATAAAATGACTGAATACATACCACAGGGCCAGGGGGACCTTGGGGACCTTCTCCGCCTTTTAGACCAGCAGGACCCTACGGAGAAATAAAGAAAAGTTAGTTAACAGTGTGTTTATATAGTTATTGTTTTCTCTATATTATAATCAAAAAGCTCATTTGCAAAAACAGATAAGTGCCATTTGAAAAAGTCATGTAGTCATTGTAATTTACTCTTTGTGTAGTAATACTTCCAAAAGCCAAATGTGTTTTCATGTATTCTCTTATTTTGACTTTATTAAAATATAATCTCATCACTTTTTGGTAAAATCCACTACACATTATTGTCCTTGCTAATATTTGTAGAACAGGGGTCTCCAAACTTTTTCCTCTGGTGATCTACCTTTACATAACGAAAATGCCAAAGAGCTACTAGTTTCAGCCACACAAGTCACAAAACATTTTGTAAATATAAGCCTTATGTATTGAGTATGTATAAGCTTTATATATTAGTTAGATGCCTATGAAACAAACCATTATCCTTTTATTAGTGTAGAGTGGTAGCAGGCATTTATTTAATCAAATTTTACTTATTCAGCACTATATGTGTATTTCAGAAATCCCTTGGCAAGCTACTTGAAAGGGGGTGGAGAGCTCCTGGTAGCTCCTGAGCGACAGGTTGGAGACCCCTGCTGTAGAAGATGGTATAAAAAAAAAATAATAATAAAAAAATTAGGCAATATTTCAGAATGGAAATATCTGTTTTTCCTATTAAACTCTTATCAATTTTGACAATATGTAAAATATATGAGTAGTTTACTCTAGATGTTCTTAAAAATTCAAGCTGTGTGATTCCTTAAAGGTGCACTGGGTTACATTTCTAGTGGAGGGTTCATCACCTGTTTGTCTCCATGGAAATGTTATTGATTTGTCAAGAATTTTCCACAGTATAGATTAAACTGTTCTATCACGAGAGAGACAAACGGGTAACAGATCTGTGGAGAGTCGTCCCTATTCACAGAACGAATTGTAGTATTTTTTGAGCAAGATAAACACCCATAATGAATAAATGCTAGATCAGGGGTCTCCAACCTGTAGCTCGGGAACTACCAGTAGCTCTCTACCCCCTTCCAAGTAGCTTGCCATGGGATTTCAGAATTATACATATTGCGCTGAATAACTCAAATTTGAATGATTAAATGCCTATTTGCTTTGTAAATGTATAATTTTGATGGCTCATTTTGTGCACTGATAACTGAATAATGGGTTATGTTTTGTAGAAGTCTAACTGTATCTCATCTTCGGCTTACTATGGCTCTTATATTTACAAAATTTCTGGCGACCCCTAAAATTAGTAGCTCTTTGGCATTTTCATTTTACAAAAAGAAGCTCACAGCAGGAACAAGGTTGGAGACCCCTGTGCTAGATGGATATGTTTAATGTCATACAAAGGAACATTCAAGGCTAAGCATAAACATCTCCATGAAGACAAGCAGGCAGCGAACCCTCAAACCCTCCACCAGAAAAGTAGCGCAATGCATCTTTAAAGATTTCCCCTACTACCTTATTTTATGTTTCTTTATGTAATTTACACATGGCAGAGAAGAGATAGCGCTGGTTCATCCTATGTTTTGTGCTTTGTGTAGGGGAGCTGCTAGCCAGACCTCTCCCAAAGAAAGCGTTTCTGTTTGGGTAATGAGTCTTGGTGCTGGCCGAGCTGCACTGGAGTAAATCACAATGGCAGAAAACAATCAGGCAAGCAGCAGCCCGGAGAGTCTGACCGACCTTGGAAATGCAAAATTCACAACACTTCCTTCACCTCCAAAACTGATTTTCCCCCAAAAATCTAAAAAGACTAAAAGAGCTGGCATTACCATTGATAACTTAAATGGGTTATAATTTAAACTTGCTATACTTATTTAGAAGTTAATATTACCGTTTTATATATATATTTTTTGTTATTTGTTATTATTTTATATTGTGATCAAGCGTGCAAGCTAATTCCCCTTTTGGATCAATAAAAACAGCCAAATTTTACAGTTCTATGTAACATTTCAGTTTTAAGTTTTAAGCAAGCTGTGAACAAAATGGGTCTAGAAAATTAAATGCTGACTGTGAATAAATGTTACTTTTTACGTGAAAGTCTAAATTGTAAAAAGATGGAAAATATTTTGATAGAACAAAACACAGCCAAACAATTTTAAAAACTCAAACAATGCGGTAAATGCTCTTTCTGTGCTCTTAATTTAAAACTGTTGCATATTTAAACCGGTTGTAAATGTACAGTAAATAAACTATAAAACTAAAAAATTTAAATTTTTGAGAGTTAAGTTGTAAAAATTTTAAATGTAAAAATGAAATTACTATAGATCTAAACAGTAACGAAACAACTTGAGCACAGTTCTCCATGTAGCGAATGTAGTCTTCTTTGATTTACACTTTTAAAACTCCACAACAAAGACACTCCTCGCCAGCTACCCTCTTCTTTGATATTAGGACCATGATGCATTGCGGCAGTTAAAACAGCCAGAGTCACTGGCAGCGAAGCAATGCACGAGCACGCTGGCTCATTTGTAAGACGTCGCGCTGGATTTCCTTTGCTTCAGATTGATCGCAAAGAGGGAATTCTGGCCTGCTGCCGCTAATGAAGTGAATGGTTTCGGACAGGCCCGGGTTCATTTGTTATGTCCCATTGTTGTGTCTCCTTGCACTAACAAACACATGTAAAGGAAGGTGATGATGGATGGGAGCAGGTGGGCAGATGGGCAGGTGCAACTTACCGGAGCGCCTGGCAGACCTCTCTCTCCGGGGAAGCCTCTCAGACCTGGGGGACCGTCTTTACCGGGGGATCCCTGGGGACCTGGGTCTCCCTGTGCACAAGAAGAGGCAGGTGTTAGTATGGAGCATATAGGAGAGAATAGGAAACAACAACATAATGTAATTGCACAGTGTTATTCAGTCCGATAATTCTCTATTAAGTAGAGAATCAAATTACAAATGTGTAGAGCTATAGCAAAACCTCTTTCCTAAATGCCTTTCCCAGCTATCTTAACTCCCAGCTATTGTGAACAGGATGCCCTCCCTGACAATGCTATCTCAGTCAAATGAAGCTCACTCTGTCAGTGGTTATAGGGGCAAATTTGGAGCCGAGTTTCATATTATATTAGCCTGATTCATCAGCCGGTTTCACTTCGTGAAAACCTCCTCGCAGCATTAGGATTCGTTCGCTCGACGGTATGCAGGTACATTTATTATTTAACCAATCGCTATTTGGTTGTGACGTATGTAATGCACCAGAACACTCAGTGGTGTCCAAGTAATTGCTGGTACAACCGCAAACAAAATGGAGTGAACATGTCTGTCAATGGTCATTGTCATTTCTGCGAGATGAACTTGCAAATTAAATGTGCAATAAAAAATACGAAGTTTGCTTCATCTACATCCATCTCAACCGCTTTGTTTACTGTTGTGCTGTACCACAAAAGGGACCCAGACAGGCGCTTGAGTTTGACGTCATGGCTTACGGCTCTTTGCTGATTGGCCGGTGTGCGGTCTACAACTTCCGGGGTTCTTGCAAACTGTCAAGTGTATTCCGATTTCTGATCTAGTTGCTGAAGAGAAATGAAATTGAGTGGAGGCACTAGGTGGCGCCAGACTGGCTAATATTATATAGGATAAGAATAGGAATTTTATAAATAATTAACAAAATAGTGCCCATGAACAGTTCCTATCGGCTCTATTCAGGCTTACATCACAAACCAGAAAGACGTTTGGAAACATGCAATTACAACTTCCCAGGGCCAGTTTTCTTCATCTAAATGTCATTGTAGCGTTCAGTTATGTTCGGCTAATCAACAATCACAACCACACTTCAGTTTTCATCATTTCCCCACTGACACACAACTCCGAGTGCACTGGGTACATGCGAAGACATGAGGGCGCCAAACTACACCAGAAGTTGTAGTCGCATCTTTCAAAATGTCTTTCTGGTTTGTGACATAAGTGTGAAAAGAGCCTATTAGGAATGCGGTGACTAGTGGGTTAGCGATGTCCATTTATATATTCTGTTTGAAACTGTACATTGATCTTGATGAATAATAGCACTCATCTGTAATTCTTTCCTAAATACTATTTGTTGATGGCTATGTTTAAGAAAGAAACCACCAGTTAATTCTCTATTAGTCACAAATTACAAACTAGTAGGATAGCAAAATTTGTTTCGTGAAGGCTTTGCTGAGCTATGTTTGATTTTGTTGCCCTCCCTGACGATTCAATCCCTGTGATTTAAAGCCGTACTCTTATGAATCTATCTGGAGGATATTGGTATGTCTCAGCCAGAAGAAGAACTAAGGGAAACTTTTTAATTACCATCTAGAATACCTTTCTCAGCTATTTTTGATTTTAAACCTGATGCCTTCCCTGACGATGCAATCCCTATTGTTTGAAACTGTTGATTTGTGAATCTCTGTAGATGACAGATGGTACACTTCCTTCCTTAATATCTTGTGTTTATTGTACTGTCTCAGCAAATAACCAATTGCAAACTCTGCAGTGATTCCTCTCAGTTTATACCAGTTTGGGACTGACAAAAAACATACATTGAACAGCTTAAGTAAAGTAATCTATTCTGAATTAGCAAACATACCTTGTGAAATCCCTAGCCTGTCTTTGACTCAAATTATACAGTTGTGACACTTCTGTTGTTCATTTTGATGACCCTAGTGACCATTTATGCAAATTATGAAAACAGTAGATAGTTATGCTTTTGGCTTTTAAACAAAGGGCAAGGGTACAAGTAGATCATGTTACTATGAATAATGAAATACATATACATTATAAGACTGTGGTGTGAAAATTACATAAATAAAATATAAGCCCATACCAAATACTGTGTCCAAAAATGTGTCAAGTATTTTAATTCACTTGGTTACTAATGCTAGAATGATTAAATTTATGCCTTTTAGGATTGTCAAAAGTATTTTAAAAAATCTAAACTGATACTAAAACTAGTATCGAAACAAGATACTAATTTGACAATTTATCAATACTAATACAATACAAATATAAAACAAAATAAAATCACATTCACAGGACAGAAATGAGCCGTTCCTGAATAACTTTAGAATTATTTTGAGTTGTATCAGAACAAGTATAAGAGCACATAGACTAGAATACGCCCATGGACCATTAAATATAATAATAATATAAATGAACGTACTATGATTTAATGTTGAAAATCACATTCTATTGTCTAAAGTAAGCATGTTTTTTTATTATTATTATTATTATCAGCGTGGTATAAGAATTATTATTGAGTATCCAGTCCGTTCCTTAGTATTGAAATTGAGTTTGAAATGTTAGTATTGTGACCACACTAAAGCCTATAAACACTATTTAAAGCCAAGAGACAATTACTGATTCACTTGCCCTTAAACCTTATCTGGAGACCAAACTTTCTTTATCTAACAGAAAGCAATGGTGCCAAGAGTCACAGGGCAGCTATTGGGTGATTTATTTGTAAAACCCCGATTACAAAAGACATTTTACTTAAGAAAAAGTTACTTGTGTCTTTGTTTTCTTCTCCTTTATTGGCAGACTGACTTTATCTGCAAACAGGAGGAAGAAAGGAGCATTGGGGGGGCACGCTAGAGAACCATAAGAGGATTTGGGCAAAGCGTTCACTGGCATACTGATGTGTACATGGGCAGGGCAACGAGTGGTGGTAGTTTGTGGCTAGCTGACGGTCTTGATTAAACTGTCTGCTTGGAGAAGATGGGAGAAAATGAAAGCGTTGGGGGGTCCGTGAGAGGAGAGAGGAGAGAGGAGAGAGGAGGAGGAGGGGGGGCGTTGGAGCAGGTCATACTTCTGCAAAATGGCTGCTGTCTCTTCCTAATGGGCACTCAATTGGCGACCGGAGAGTACTGTGGGGAGGAAATTCAGCCGGACGCAGCAAGAATCCCACATACTGTATCTTCAGTACTGCTCCAAATCAAGTCAAGTAAAAATAGAACAAATAAGGGATGGTATTTTGCTAATATCTGAGTAATCGTTTAGTTATTTATAGCAAAAATCCACAGTTATATAGACAAAATCTATGTAACTGCGAATAAAAGTGCTGTGGTATAACTACATTTAAAGCGTGCCAAATTTTTGTAAAATTATTTTTTAAAAATATGATCAAATATCTTTCTAGCTGTCTCTCTAATTATCCTCTGTGTGTTTTCATGTTATCCAAAACGCAAAGTATTACCACTACTACTACTGCTGCTGCTGTCACTACTATTACTACTGCTACTGCTACTGCTACTGCTACTGCTACTGCTACTACTACTACTACTACTACTACTACTACTACTACTGCTACTGCTACTGCTACTGCTGCTACTACTACTACTGCTGCTACTACTACTGATGCCACTACTACTGCTGCTATTACTGGTACTACTACTACTACTACTACTACTACTACTACTACTACACTTACTGCTCCTACTGCTACTGCTACTACCTGTAAACACCTACAAATACAGTTCCACATTTTCTCTAACTGAAGTCCTGTAAAGTACAAAGCTACACTGTGTTTTCTTCCCTGTTTCAAATAATTTTTTTTCATTATAATATTTCAGTATTTGAGAAGTTTTGAGCAAGTGCGCCCTCCAGAAACAGTTGATGCAGCGGCTTCGCTCGGTAATATTAAATCATGTACTATAATTGGCACTGCATAAATTCAATTTGTGGTCCACTTCAATAGTCTCTCTTTCCACTATTCAAATTGCACTCGACTCACATCTCAATCTTTAAACAAATTACTTTCTAAATCTGTTTTGAACTGAGACTTGCCCTGAGAATCGATGTGCTGGAAATTAGATTTGGGTAACAACAGGGAGAGGGATACTTCTCAGTATCTTAAATGTCATTTCTGAGTATTTTGTACCTTTGCACCCTCTTTGCCTCCAGCTCCGGGTAGACCCTGCTCTCCTGGTGGTCCGGGGGGTCCTGGATGGCCTCTTTCACCAACTGGACCGGTCTCTCCAGTGGGTCCCTAAAATGCCAGAAATAGACTTTGACTTAAACTTTATTGATCGACAAGGGAAATTATTTGGACACAGAAGGTCACACATCACAATATATTATAATAACAAAGAACAAAAACATAAATGGTAATAATAAATTCAGAATAAGAAGTAGAAATAGGAAGAGACAAGTGTCAGATAAGCCATAATTAAATAAATGCATATGCACAAGTAAAAATAAAATATACAAATATACCTCAATTATATAGAGGAGGTAGTATAGAAAAACAGTGCAAATATGATATGATGATTGACAGGACATAAGACTTGTTGTAAATACATTATTATTAGAAATAGTTTTACTTGAGAATGAAATAATGAAAATAGTCTACTACTTATTAGCAATTTGAATAAAAAATGTTTATAGGGAAACATGTTTACAGTTTCCTATAAAACCTTCACATTACTTTTTGTGATACCCTAGTAACATATAATACATAACTTTTATTTGATTTGTAGCATAGTCTCGACAGGTATTTCTTGATTATTGCTAATTTATTCAACACAGTTAGAGCCAGAGATACTTTGAAGTTGAAGAAAAACAGCTGGACTTATTTATATAATATTGTGTTAATATCGAATAATTTTTCAAGGCTGCAAAGTCATAAAGCTTTAATAAAGTATAGGTTTTGTGCATTTAGCCCTAACTAATCCATAAAGAGTACAAATGAAAATCATTTTTTCTTACCTGTGGCCCCACTACTCCTCCAGGACCAGGTGGACCAGTCTTTCCTTGGAAACCCTGAAAGAGGATTACAGATTAAAACATAAACAACAACACAATCAAATAATTTCTCATTAAAAAAACTGAGCGAAAAAGTTAAGCTTCACTAGTTGTAATTCTGCCGAACCTGTTGGCAAAGTTCACCTCCTCAGTCGAGAAAGCCCTGCGGATATGACTTAGCAGAAAAAGTCCTCAAACACAGGCGAGAGGAACAGAGGAATCCTTTGTGGATCTTTGAGGACCTCTCTGTAATACCTTTAGTATTGTACTAAAGCATTGTGCAGAATAAATTACTTCAAAGACATAGATTCAAGTTTAAAATGTTCGGAAAATAACTCTCAGGGTCTTTTGTTTATTAGAAAAAATTTTAAAACTTTTTTGCAGTAGCAAAAGTATAACAGTTAAATTCAATAGTAGAGGTATGCGGATATGCTACTGAAAAACAAGACATTTTGACTTTATATTTGTACAGATGTTCTTAAATGCATCTGGGTTATTGATTGTTTAAGATTCTGGGTCAAAGTATTAATAAAAAAATTTATAGAAATTAATTTTGAGGTGCAGTATGTAACTTGGTGGAAGGTGGCCACTTGTTATACATTACTGATATATTATTGACTTGCCTGAAATGTTCCACAGTATGGCATTACACTTCATTACACACTATCTCTATCTCTAGCTGGCATTTATTCAAGTATTTATTGCTCAAAGTTAAATGAAACACAAACTTTACACAAACTTCTTACTGTGAGTGGGGTCATGTCACCTTAGACCTGATTTGTGACTTGGCCTAGTTTGCTTGTTTCCATGGAGATAAATAAGTTTAATGCTGCTAAACTGTGGGACATGTTATAACATATCTATAGAAACGAATACCAACCAGAAAAGTTACATCATGCACCTTTAATTTCAGTTTTGAGAGAGATATATTTGCAAAACAGCTCCAAAAAAAGTGTTGTTTTTACTCGTTGTAGAGGATGATTGACGGAACTAAATTTACTGCCTCATTAGTTGATCAAATCCAAACGTTGAGTACCCACTTACATCCTCTGCGCACTCTAAAACTATTGATTATTATATGTTGTGATTTATGCCAATGTATGATTCAGCTCAACCCTGAGGCTGTGCAGTTACAGCATCAAACCCTGACTAAGTAAAATCTTTATTTCCTACTTCCTCGAATGCACCGTCTTTGCTCCTCTACGCGTACGAGTGGGTTTATTGCTCTGATCAATTCTTATATCGGATGCAGAGGCGCGCTCCTAATAAATCTGCAGACATAAACATCCAATGAAGACTATATGGTAGTAGCTGGGGTAGAAGGGAGGCGCTCGTGTGTGCAGTGTTAGCTATAGGAAAGATGCAGTGAGAGAGAGAAGGCTTAATGATACAGGCGATGATCTGTCAAGCTTTTAGTAGAATTTATTGTCCTCGGGGCCTCGTCGAATGTAGCTGCAGCGTTGCATACCAAGTAACAAAGGGATCAAAGCTAAAAGCAGGACTTCACAACTAGATGGGATCAATTTTTACTTTTTTTTTTTTTTACTGTCAAATAAATTGTCCGTCACCCCGGGTTACTGAATATATGCATCGGTGCAACTTTAGGACAAATTGAGTGAAGCCATTTTAAAGCTATTTGGTGGTAGTGTGTTTCCCTCCTCCGGCCATTATCAGGGCTGTTAGAGCAAATGTGAGATCTGATAGTGCAGCGCGTGCAATTTGGGGATCATAATTTTAAAGGAAGAATCTTATAGCCCCGAATGTCCATTATAAGGCTCGAAGTCAGACATCTGGGCACAAAGAGATTATGGTTCATTCAAATATACTGTATATAGACTTACAACAAGTTAAATACAAGTCTGTTTGGCTAGATGTAAAGCTAAATGCAAGAAACGTCACATATAAGAGGAAACATGATTAGTTATAAGTCTAATTATAGTTAGTTATAAGTATAAGCAGTTCTGAACTACTGAGAATGTTGCTTAAATTCACCTATTTTTAAAATGTTTTGGTCTACATTTTTGCTATAAATTTTATGTATGTATTTATTTATTAGTTTGTTTATTAAAAAATTTAAATTGCATGTTATGTGACAGTTTTAATAATTTAAAAGTAATTAGCCACACGAGCAGAATGGAAAGTTCACAAACAGTTTATCACTCAGTACAGTAATTAAGTAGCCTGATTAATCAGTCAGTTTCACTTCGTGGAAACCGTCTGACCTCACAGCATTAGGATTCGTTCGCTTGATGGTAGGTGGGTACTTTTTAAACTTAACAAATCGCTGCTATTTGGTCGTGCGCCACTAACGAGGCTAATTGGTATATTAAGCTTTTCCAAAATCCCATAGGAAGAAGGGCAATAACGTCTTTCCCCTTGATAAAATTCACCAAAACATTCTCTTTGTTCCGGCTTTAAATCCTCCATCTCGGGAATCGTTGCCAACACAGAATGTATGGCTCTTTGCTAATTGGCTGGTGCCGGGACTCACGCTTCCGGGGTTTTTGCGAACCGCCTAGTGTAATTCCGATTCCTGACCTTGTCGCTGGAGAGAAATTAAATTGAGCGGAGGCACTAGGTGGCGCCAGCCTGGCTAGTAATTAGATACTGCATAAAATGATTTTTTTCCTCCTGTTTGGATGCCATTTGTAGGACCATTTTGACAGTTTTAAAGATATAATATTTTGTTTTTTGATCGGTAATTGCCATGACAACAGTACTCCTGTTTCACAACTTAATACCAACGACACATGATCAAGTGCCATAATAAATATCTATTTTTTTCACTCATTCGCTAAATTAATGAAAAGCTATTAATAGTCTCTCATATTGTTACACCTGATATGTGTGTATATTTCAGCACAGCCGTCTCCTTCTAGTGTTTTCCTCCCTGCTATAAAACGTAAACAGACGAAATAGATGACTCTCCCGGTGCCTGGGATCCATCAGCGTTAGCCTGGGCCTGGACCAATGTAGATTACGTCTGACAGAGTTTAGTGTTTGGTGGGGAAGATGACACACTGAGATAGAACCAGGGGCTTAGTCTTCTCTGTTTAGTTTACGATTTGTGTCCCCGTGTTTGGCATCCCACTCAGATATTTTATCACTAGTTGTAATCCGTCGTCTACAATAATGCTACTGATAAAAGCTGTGTCTCTTAAAGGGCCTTGTGATTTAAAGGATCAAATGTGTTATGGTGACAAGAGGGCAGTTAAGGTCTTAGTGGGTGTTGGTCTTGAATGGCAAGGTGATACATAAAAAACACATTTAATAATTTAACAAGAGTACTGTAGGTATTACTCAAATTTAACAGTCAGTTTTAAGTAAAATATATTTATGTACTGTAAACTCTGAGCCAAGATCTTGTCCAGGATTAAAGGTGCACTGAGATGTTATTGCTTTGCCTGGAATGTTCCATGGTATGATATTAAACATACATGTAGCATTTATTCATTACATGTTAACCTTGCTCAAAAATACTACAGTATAATTCCTTCTGTGAAAAGGGGTGACTCTCCACTGATCTGAATTGTAATGTAGGTAGCAGGTAGTGGACCATTCACTAGAAATGTTACGCAGTGCACCTTTAAAATAGAAGTTAAAATGGCATGGCTATACATAAAAAGCACATTTAATAATTTAACAAGAGTACAGGTGGGTATTAATAAAATTTAACAGTCTATTGCAGATATATCAACTCAGGCCCCGGGGCCAAATTTGGTCTGTGATATAATTATATTTGGCCTGTGAGATCATATCAAATATGTATTAGAGCTGGCTCGCCGGCTACAGATAGGCTATAGAGATATTATTTATTTAAAATGTTGTTATTATTTTTTTATATTATGCTTGTTCTGGATTCAATGTTTAAGCAAAACTATCATTAAACATTTATTTTAATAAGAAAAGGTTTAATATGACATCTCAAAAGAAGAGAAAACATGCAGATGTTGTTGAAAATTTTCAATAAATATTTAGTTTGGCCCACAACTTAGTTTCAGTTTTTAATTTTGGCCCTCTGTGAATTTGGGTTTGACAAACCTGATCTATGGTTTTAAATAAGGTTAATCTATGGACTGTAAATTGTGAGACAGGATTAAGGAAATTTAAGCAAAAATGTGTGTATTTTGATTTAGGAAAATAGGGGATGTCTATAGTAAATCTGCAAACTTCTTTAAGGTTTGGAAGTTAGACCCTTACCCTTTTTGCTGTTTCCCACTAAATACTAAAAACTATTGCTGCTACTACCATATATTTCATGGTAACGATGCTTGACCTATAAGTAAGCAATAAAACAGTTGTTATGTTTTGTTGCTTATTTATTTCTACAGGGTGCACTGCATTTCTCTGCAAACCTTACCTTTAAAACTATATGTTTCTTTTTATTATTCTTGGTAGTATAATTATATTGCTCATTTCTATATTGTGTATTGTGTATTGTGTTTTAGGAGTGCCCAAGGAAGACTTGTGGCCATTATAAAAGCAGCTAATGAGGATAATAAAACAATATAACAGCTGTAGTGTTATTATAAGTACATGTATTGCTTGTCTATATATATATCAGGTTTGTTTATTGAGCTATTAATTAAACAGATTAAATAGTTTAAGATGTATAACCAGCCTGACCTATGCTAAGAATATGATGACTGACAATTTGACACAGAAACTTACAGTCTCTCCTCTCTGTCCAGGGTGTCCGGGCAGCCCGTCCTTTCCTGGGGGTCCCTGTTGGGCAAAAACAACAGGAGTTTATTACTACAACTATAGCTTTTTTGTCAGATTGAAATTATAATATTTTAATTTATAACATATTTTCCACATTATTGTCACTCACTGATACCACTTTTAGAAGTACAGTATATTGGTGAAGACAATATAAATGATAAACTGAAACAAATTTATCCCACTGACTAACTAAAAAACTAAAACTAAAACTAAAAAAAAACTGCAATAAACAAATAAATAGCAAAAGGAGACACTTTAGTAATTAGTTTGTATCTATCATGAGTCATAGAAATGATTTATTCAGCCTTCTGCAGCTAAATGTAATCATAGTGCAAAATCAGAGTACGAAACAACAAAAAGACACCGACTAGTACACGGAAAAAGTACCACAATAAATATTAACCCCAAAAATGATTGTTCTTTCTAACATATACTGAAAGTTGATATAGTATTTATCATGACAGGCCTATTTCTGTGTTTTATTGTTGTGATTGGACAACTATAAATGCAGAAACAATAGGATATATATATATATATATGTGTTCCATTTGACAAAACAGCATCAGTGAATGAGGTCTGAGGGGGCGGCTATGAATTCAACCTTGAATCAATAGCTTGAAATGGTCTCCTGCCGAGCGCTGCAGAGTGAGAAAATGGGCCCTGCTTCGATAACAGTTTTACTAACGACCTCTGGACAGAATTAGGCATATTATCACGGTCTACCACACCCCATGAACTCCTCAAATTAAATCAATCTTGACTTATAATGTTTGCAAACCAGACTGATTTGCAACTCAGGCTATAGGGGAAGTAAGGTGACTCTGGACAGTTGGGTCTGGTGCATATACACTGCAAAAAGTTAAAATGACTTAAACTAAGAATATTTTACTTTATTCCAATAGATTCAGATTGACGAGTAAACGTATTTACCAATGGAATAAGTATGTTTTTCTAAATTCAAGCAACAAAAAGTCTCAAATCAATAACTTGGTTAGATATTAGTTTTTGCAGTGTATGGAGATGTACTTACAGGGGGTCCCTTTGGTCCAGGGAAGCCCACCGGTCCCTGAGGTCCTTGTGGTCCCTGGAATCAGAAAAGACATTTTAAGATTAGAAAGGAGCTAGGTAGTTTAAACAGTTTCATTATAAAATTGTCAAAGTAACTGCATTCATTGTCCTTGCATTCCGTTGGTTACATTTTTCAATCTGACAGAAAATATTTTTTTTAGTTGATTATAGTTGCTCTTAAAAATAAATGACAAAAGAACAATTCGATTTGTACAAGTATGTATCTGTGCACTGTGTTACTTCTGCCACGTCAGTCTCCATGGAGATGTTACAGCTCTGCCTGGGTTGTTCCACATTATGGCATTAAACTTACCAATATCCACAGAGACAAGCAGTAAGACAAGCAGCTCAGAGTCAGAAAGCATTTTTACAAGGTACTTCTTTAGCAATGAAAACCCCTGTATTTAAATGACTGCTACTTATTTATGTATTCATTGACCTTTATTTATCCAGGATAGTCCTGCTGAGATTAAGAATCTCTTTTTCAGGGGAGTCCTGGCACCGCAGGGGACCCTGTTGTGTTTTTAGTGATAGGGGAATCCTACACAAGCACAAGGAAAGCATGCAAACGGCACACAGAAAAGCCTTGTTACAGGATCAAACGCAGGACTTTCTTGTTGTGAGGCGAGAGCAATAATCGCTTTGCCACAGGTGATATGTTTAATATTTAACTCTATGAGCATAAGCAGATGACAGACTCCAAAGTTCCATAGTGCACCTTTAATTTTTTAGGTGTTTCCAAATGAACACATGTAGCCTTTTCAATATACGGCACATAATTGTCTTATTATTCAAACCATATTGTAGTAGTAATAGTAGTTTATTCAGTCACTTGCAAGTAAACAAAACATAAAGTCAATTAAAGGGTCGTTATTAAAGCGAGGTCTATGGGAAACGTTTTCAGTCCATGTGTGACGATGGCTCTGCAGGTCACAGGCTCGTGCTTTGATTAGCTTTTGGAGTTTCGCAGCTTCATTACAGAATATGGAGAGCCACAGAGTCCACTGATCAAACCGCCTTCATTTAACAGTGTCACAAAGCAACAATGTTATTCTAATGACACCGCGTCTGTGAGTTATGGAGCACTTTGCGGTAAGATGGGTCTGTTTTAAAATGGGCAGCGTGATTCAGAGAGGATTTGTTTTGTTAAGATCTGACAATGCAGACTTCACTATACTAGATTTAATCAGAGGCAACGCTGTAACATTATAATTGCCAAATATGAATAGACGGGCAAGAAACAGCATTTAAAGTGGGTATAGCTTTTGTGGCAAGGGTTTGGGACAATCTCTACTTTGTATCTGGTTCAAATTGTACTAATATGATTGTAAAAGAGTTTATTAAGGCTATGGAAATGTCTAAATGAATAAAAATAGGACCAGTGGATGTGAATTTAAAGCTGAACTATGCAATGTTTCTGGCTTTTGGCACACTAACGGCTTGTCTCCATGGTTATGTCATTCTCTTGTCTGGAAAGTTCCACTGTATGACATTAAAAGTCTCTGTTTTGCATTCAATTCAGTCACAGGTGTTTTTACTGCTCATTCGCACTGAGAGTAGGGTCAAATCTCCACAGATCTGACATGTAGCTAGGCCTGATGGCTGCACCTGCTTGTCTGCATGGAGACTGATAAGTTTAAAGCCATTTTGAGGAACATTCTAGGCATAGAAATGACATCTCCATGTAAACAAGCAGGTTACAGACCTTCCGGCAGAAAAATAAGACGTTGCATCTTTGACAAACCTCAAGATACAAATGATATTATAATATTTGCAAGGGTCTTTGTATATTTCAAACTATCCCACACACAAACGATCAGGCTGTATCAGTATTTTTCACTGTAGACAGCATAACACCTAAGAACAGATTATTCACTTAAATTAGGGGGGAACAAACAAATAACAAGCATCACTAATGTATTGGAAAAAAGCTTGAAAAATACCTCTACACTTTATTACCCGTGCTGTGTTATAAATGGGGCAAAAATAACTCCCTGAAAAAGCGTGGCTCTAACTCACATTAATGAAAACAGTGAAATAAGGTGACGCTGCTGGGAGGCTTTGAGAGGGGACCAGCCGTTGCCGAGATTAGTGAGTATGCCACTTGTTTAACCGTGCAGAGAGGACTCATTGTTTTACACACACGCCTATGAATCTAGATTGGACAATTTGCTTTACTTTGGGGAATGCCGCAAAGCCAAAATCATCTTATTTATTATGTTTACACCGCCTCAAGGTTACACCTGTCGGCCAATTCCACAACAAACAAACTCCGAATAATGCGGGTAGATTGTACATGAGTGAGTCTGATAAAAACGCATTATAGCGGGGGATAGGGAAATAACATCACGCCCAAATGGAAATGCAAGAACAAATGCTAAATAAAGGCGCAGTAAACTCGGTCAAATGCATATTGGAAAAGCAGTTAAGTGTTCACAGTTTGTCAATATGTTTTGGACTTACTCTCTCTCCGGGTGGACCAGGGGGGCCATCGTTGCCTGCTGTGCCCTGCAATACAAAGATAAATCATCATCACTTAGTATAAAAAAAATATTCTTATTGATGCATTAGTCAGACTGCCCATTCACAGTCGTGGAACGTAACAAACTAAAAGTAGTAAAGTACTGTACTTAAGTATAAATTTTAGTTATCTGTACTTTACCTGAGTACATTCTTAAGTAGTTCCTTTTACTTCATTATATTTAACAGCAGGTATCTGTATTTTCTACTCCACTACACTTTTTTTTACTGGACTAAAAAGCAAAACTTATTTTTTTTAATTGTTTGAGACCTGCTGGAAAGTCTGAGGGTTTATTTTTAACATATTTGTACTTTTAGCAAACAAAAATATACAAATAAAAACAGCTAGACAAAACAAAAAGATCGATTCAAATTAAATTCAGCACAAATCTTCAAAATCACAGTATCTGAAGCTTTATTAGACCTCAAAAATTTGCAAAATACTTTTCTTTTTTACTGTTGAAGAATATTTTTTTTAAAAGTGTTTTAATACATTTACTTAAGTAGAGAGTAAGTAAGTAAGATTTGTTCATGTGATACTTTTACTTTACTCGAGTATTTATTTGTTCTGGTATCTGTACTTTTACCTAAGTAACAAAATTAAGTATTTCATCCACCACTGCCCATTCATAAATAACACTGGAATAATCAGAGTCAGTTCTGAGCAACTTCAAATTGATCTTGAATTTCATGCAAAATCTGTTCAACCTGATCAGACATTGTTTTAAATAAGAAGATTTTACACAGTATTTTGGTTCAAATGTTGGTTCAAATTGCTGAGCATTTTGAAAACAGCTGTTAATCAGAGATTTTTTTTTATTTATTATTTGCGGTGTATCTTAATCACTTGTAAATGAAATCCACTTCATAATATTTCATTAATTCATTCTACACGATCAATTAAAAGATAATTTAGTAGACTTAGACGTAGGCAAACTTTGCTGATCCTCAAGGGAAATTATTTGGACACTGTAGCTCACACATCAGGAAAAATGTAATAACAAATATCAACAATATTAACAATAAGGGTTCAAAGAGTAAAAGTAATGGTTCTTACCTTAGGTCCTGGTTTTCCTGTGGGACCCCTGGCTCCTCTAGCTCCACGCGGACCCTACACGTAGTAGTACAACCGTGAATCATCAAGTGTTCAATTAGGTAACATATATAAAATCAATCAAATGTGTATTTTTTTCATTAACTTTAACATGTATCCAAACAAAAACAAAAAAAAAGACAAAGCAAAAAACTCCCACACCCAACCCCAATCTGCATACAAAATACTAAATAATAATAAAAACGTCACTCCAGTTAAGTCATATAATGTGTAATTTGATGAAATAATTAAAAAATACATACCGTTGGACCCCTTTGACCTCTTGGACCAGGTTTTCCAGCAATTCCCTGCCAGAAAACAAAAATATTCTTCAGTATTTTCTCCTTTCTCTCCAAATGAGCGCCGTAATTACCATAAGCTTCATGTAAACACCATGTAACATTGTTTGGTAAGTCTTCAGTGGGATTTGTAAGTCCTTTTGTTTCTTTCTCTTCTTCTTTGGTTTAATCCGGCATCAGAGGAAGCCCTGCCAATAACTGCACCGCACTTTAAATATTTCTACAACAGCTGCTAAATGACTTCCTGGCTTAACGTCAGAACTGTCCAGAATTAGATTTTAGGGGAAAAATCTACTGAGTGTTTGGCAGATGGCCTCAAATTAAGTGAGATAATAAAGTCCAAAGTCACAGTGGAGCGACTTCATCTTCAGTCCATTATAGAAGATCATTATGAAGTGATACTGTTATAAAACACAATGACTAAGATTTATTTTAAACTACACTTCATTAAAGGTGCACTATGTCACTTTCTGGTTGGGGGTCCGTCACCTGCTTGTTTCCATGGAGATGTCATTGCTTTGCCTGGAATGTTCCACAGTATAACATTAAACAGCTCTACCTTAAATGAATTAAATTATAGGTGGTTTTATAGCTCAAAAATATCTAGAAAACAGGCATTCTGACTGTGAGCGGGGTTGCCTCTCCACAGATCTGACCTGTAACTTGTTCTTGTATGCTCTCTCTGGAGATAGAAAGGTTTAATACCATACTGCGAATCATTCCAGACAAAGCAATAACATCTCTATGGAGAAAACCACACAAAAGCACCAGAAAGGTTACACAATGCACCTTTAATAACAATGTAATAAATACATTGTGTAAGAACCTGTAATTACGTATGGTCAATTAATCGATTCCAATATCAGGAATCAGAGATTTTAGGTTTCCCACAAAACCAGTACTGATATTAGATCTGATATTGGAAATTTAGGCTTTTTCTCTCAAACACATTAACCTTTCACAAAACTGTTATGTATCCTGCAAGTAACTAATGAATAGCCGTGTATGAATTAAAGTTTCAACATCATGAGAGGTCCAAGGCCAGTATCAGTCAGTAAAAAGTCCAACCAGGATATCGACTGATCCAGAAAATGTTCTTACACTGGCACAAGGTCCCTACTAATAACATGCACATCATTATACAAGGGATGTACCGATATCCAAATTTCTTAGTATGATATTATCACGATAATCATCTCATGGTACAATATTTATTGCGATATTTGGAAGAGGCTAATATAACTGTAGATGAGACACTGTTTTGCTTTTAAAATGCCTTGACAAGATTTTGGTGTGAATTATTTCTGTCATAATCCCAAGAATTCAATTAAAAACATATATCTTCATGTTGAAATGAATCATGGGATATGATGTTTCTGTTCATAAGCTGTTCCAAGCAAAGGAACTTGTATTTCGATATATTGTGACTGCCCACGATATTATTGTGAGCCTTTTGATGATATCACGATATTTTGGTACATCCCTACATTATACTATAGGTTAGTGTTACATATTTCAGGTTATCAGCTGTTACATGGGTGTGTTACATTGTACTTAATAAGGTATGATGAAGGGCTAAAAAATTAGCCGCATTGAAAATCAAAATCACAACTTCAATCATTACAATTAGAAAATTAGCATAGGCAATTGCATAATGTCATCATCTGCAAATAACAAAATATTCTGCCTTTACAAACATGTTCTGAAATGCATTCGATTCAATTCAAGGCGATTCTTGTATTCATTTTGCAGACTTCTCACAAATGAAATGTTAATGCTCATGGAAAAGTCTAAAATATGCTGTCTCCGTACTTGTCAGACCATTTGCAAATTACATATTTCTCCAAATCGTAAAGTGAAGCATTACTAAAGTTTAATTCATAGGGTAAAACTAGTCTGAATTGTACCTGGGTTTTTATCAGCACTTCCCAAGTTACATGAATAAACGCTACTTTCTACGAGCCCTTGAGATAGAAGAAAGCAAAGCACGATTGTTACCATATCTTTTGTTCTCCCCCCCAACTATATTGATTTTTTGCAGCTGTTACGTTTCGTGCAAAAATGCCATACAGGAGCTTTTGTAGTATAAATCAATTTTCCTTTGTGGGAGAGATATGCAGTGATTTTCATATCCAAACAACAACTGTGTATTGAAGATTGGGGCTCGACTTACCCTAGCGCCTTTCTCTCCGTTGGCTCCTGGGAAGCCTGGGAACCCACTGGAGCCCTGTTAATAGGAAAGGGAGATATGGTGAAGGACAATGTAACCACACAGCATGAATGAAAATGAACTGACTTTATATCTACAGCGCTGTCCGTGAACTGAAAAGACAGACTTAATCATATTTCTTTCAGACATTTGTACAATAGTATCAACATATTCAAATAAATGGAAATGGGGGATCTATAGTTATATTTAAAATGAACCAAAGCAGTCATAAAAAACAGCAATGTTTGTGTTGTTGTCTCTAGATCATGTTTGGAAGATTTAAAACTGATGGCAAATGAATATTCCTATCATCCAGTCCAAATATAACTTAAAAAGAGAGACTTAATAATATTTCTTCCAGATATACAATAGTATCAACATAAATAAATTATAATAAATAAATAAATTCAAATTTGGCCCATGATATAATTATATTTGGCCTGCGAGATCATATCAAATATGTATTAGAGCTGGTCCGCCGGCTACAGAGAGGCTATAGAGACATTATTTTTGTAATACTTTGTTATTTTATATTATACTTGTTCTGGATGCAATGTTTACACAAAACTATTATTAAACATTTATTTTAATAAGAAAAGGGTTAATATTACATATCTCGAAAGAAGAGAGACTTAATTATATTTTATTCAGACATTTTGTACGTATAATATCAAAGTATTAAAAAAATGCAAGTGGTGAATCTATAGTTATGGTTAAAATGAGTGATGTTTGTGCTGTTTTGAAAGTCTCTAGATCATGGCTGGAAGGGCATCTGACTTAAAACTGATGTCAAATTACCATTCCAACACTTAAGAGTAAACTAACTTGAGAAATAACAACATTGTAAGCACAATTTTTGTCTTTTTATAACTGTACACTTAAGGAAACTTCATGGGCTTAAATGATCAGATTGAGGTGAATGTCAATGGACTTTAAAAACACAGAGGAGCACTTTCAGATTCTCACGATATGATCTATGACAAGGGGGTAGCGAGTAGGGAGTTGTGAGGAAGTCAGACTAAACGAATTTTAGAAGTTTTAGAATAGACTTTTGTTTGTGTATTCTGAGATAAAACTGAAATTTGTCTTCAACACAGCTTGCAAACATCATGCACCACCCCTCGAGACAACACAGATAATAAATCAGACAATGTCAAATCAAATGTTAAAATAAAACACTACTCATTGCATTTCAAAGGAAAAGTTAAATCTGCTTAAAGGGACTACACTATTTTTGATTTATATTATGTTTTCTCCTCATCAAAAACATACCCTGAGTCGTGTTTTGTTTCATTCATTAAACACACAAAACCTGCATATTTAGGCTGAGTTCTCTCAAACAGGAAACACTACGTTCCACTTTGTGATGTCACGTGGTTCACTCTGTTTTTAAACTCAATACACCTTCCACTTGAATAATTTAAATAATTTCTGCCCTGGAACTATTAGGATCTCTATTGAACAAAAGGTAAAAGGTCGCTGTTAACTTGAAAACTACCACTACATGACATCACAAAGTGGTACAGACACATTTTGAGCTTTTGAGATGTAGTCAGATAAATAAAAAAAGATTATTCAAACATGTGAATGGAACAAAACACAACTCCAGGTATGTTTTTGAGGAGGTAACAACTCATAAGAGTCATTTTTTTCTGTAATATAGGACCTTTAAAATACTTAGTACTGTGCACAAAGTCTAATATTGCGGTTATTTTACTTGTTTTTGTACTGATAGAAAACGGGAACTCCAGAAAGTCTTGGTTTGTCCTCAGTGTGACTTTATTACAGCCCTTAAAACTTCTTAGTTTAATATTGCCTTGATCCAAAACAACACAGCACTTGTGGATTCAAAACCATCTTAAACCATGAACCTGGTTTTTGACCTGAGCCGATGACTCAAACACTGTGATGTCTGAGCTCTGAATGACCATCGACGAGACCAGGAGTCAAGTGTCATTTTGTTCCACTTCTCTGAACTACAAAATGGCCATGGCATTGAAACAAGGGTACACCCATTCAAAATAATGAACTACAATAAACATAGTCTGGAAACTATGAGATAATACAGGCTACACAAAGATTAATGCACACTAACTTACTTTTATTAAGTTATAACACATGGATTGTTTTACTTTGTACTATAGTGCATGCTCACAAAAATGTATATTCAAGAAGTATATGTAAGTTTATCATATTTAAGTTTATTTGGTGTATCAGTGGTCTTGTTCACATGCACACTAAAATCTGATTGTAATCTCATTTCTGGACCTTTAAGATTATTTAAATGACATGCAAATCCCAAAATCTGATGTGAGTAATCAGAGGGACCATGATAAGAAAGAAATTAGAAGATTTGGCTTCTTACATGTAATTTAAATAATGTTATAACTATAAAAAAATTGACATTAATCAGATTTTGACTGTGTGTGTCTATGTATTATTGTAATTTCTCATAGTAAAAATGTGATCTCTATTTAATCTTTCATCAAATTTTTAACAGTACTGCTTACTTTATAATAAGAATAAATTGTAATACGAATGTCATGATCAGCTTGATTTTAGACTAATGGGCTGAAATTTTGATTGAAACCCTGAGTATCTTGATTGGTTATTCTTACCTTAGGTCCTTGCCTTCCTGGATAACCTGGCAATCCTGGAACACCAAGTTTACCCTGTGTGAAGGCAACAACAAGCATGTTTAAACTCACAAAAACATGAATCTTTAAAAAATTCAGTAATGGCATTTTGAATCTGTTACCTTCTCTCCAGCGGGACCAAGGGGACCAGACTCTCCGTTGGGTCCAGATCGGCCTTTGGGACCCTCAGGACCATCCTCTCCGCGTGGGCCAGGCAAACCAAGCTCTCCCTGAAGGTGATATACAATGGGAATATATAAGGCCAAAATACTGACAGTAACTTTACTCAGATGTTCTCGATGCTCACCCGGTCTCCTTTGATTCCCATGTCTCCCTTGAAACCTGGGAAACCATCTTCACCCTAAAACAAAAAATATATATTGATCATAATTTGTAAACAGTGAGCAAATAAAAAAAAGAAAAACATATATAGTAGCAGTAGGATGTAGTAGGCCAGTAAATCCTACTGATGTTGTTGTAGAAATGTTCTTAAAAGTACATTTATTCAAATCCAAAAGTAATGCATTTAATTATCATATTTAAGATACATATAAAACATTTGTAAATCATCCCTGTGCATTTCAGGTTTCATGCTGCACCCTGGTGGCCAAGACATGGAACTGCACTTGCTGCCAAAATGTTGCAGAGTCTTTATGTTAAGTTTTCAAAATGTAAAAAAAAAAAAGCCAAATGTATGAATGGTTAAGGAAAATTTCACATGAAACGGCTTTAAAGGACTAAACTAAAAAACTCAAAAAGTAGGGATTTGTGATAAAGCTGATTTGTTTCCAATCAATTCCAAGGCTACAATTGACAATACCAATTATCAATTATTTAATTATCGAAAATAATAAAGTGGTAAAACACTCACACAACTTTTTTCATTAAAATTGGCCAATACTTTATTTCTTTACTACTGAAATGTTATGGGTCTTAATGGGTAATAATAAAAGTACTTCTAGTTTGTGGTGTCAGACATTGTGCATATTGTCCATGTGTTTTTAAATTTGGTGAAGCAGCTCTATTCCAAAAGTCTAATTACAGCTTTCTAGAAGAATCAATTCTTTTAGAGTAGTATTGATACTGGACCAGTTGGTACTGAAAATGTCGATACTACTACGATACTTCATTCACAGATTCCTCCCCACAAGTCAAAGTAAACTTCCTGGGACACTTCCTCTAGTCGGTCTGTCACCTGTGTGTGATTTTTATTTTTTATAGATATACTTTCCCAATATCTGATGCATTATGCAAGATGTCTCTTCACCCCACATCACACCCACCACCTAGACACAGCCACACACATACACCTGCATAGCCCTGCCTGCATACTTTATTCATAACTAAGCCCTCTCCTCCAAGGTTCCAGTGTCAGATTCTCTCCCCATAAATTATTCAATAAAAAACCTGAATAACTGTCACCGCATTGAGAAACAGCCGCTCACAGTCACATAATAGGTTTAAAACTGTATTGATTTAAAATAAACATCATGAATATTCAATTTAAGGTGTAAATTATATAAAATGCACCGTAAATATAGAGATCACACAATGCTTAAAGGTGCACCGTGCAACTTTTCTCATGTAGGGTCAAAAACCTGCTTCTCTCCATGGCCTGGAAAGTTCCTCAGTATGGCATTACACTGATTACACCACAGAATCAAGTTACATGTCAGATCTGTGGAGAGGCTAGCCCACTCACAGTAAAAATGCACGTTTTTAGGTCACTTTTATTTCTTATTGCGCAAATGCAAGGTGTATAGATATGTTTAATGCCATACCGGGACATTCCAGAGATCTCCATAGAGACAAGCAGATGGCAGATCCTCCACCAGAAAAGTCACACAGTGCAGCTTTAAGGAAGGAGTGTCAATACTGCATTTGACAAGTCTAAAAAGTCTGTTTCTTTAGAAGTTGGCTATTGGGTGACCCCTGTATACCAGCGCTGTCAATAAAATATAAAAGAAAGGCTACAAAAGCATGGTGACAGGTAAACAGGATGCAACAAAAAGATCCATGAAAAGAAAATCTATCTCTCCAAAAGTTGATGTAATTTGTCCAACTTTGCGACAACGTAAAAGAAAAAGAAAAAAATCACGCATTACTTTTGGCATTGTTGGTGGCATTTTAACTATATTTTGATTTTTGACAAGTGCTTGGTTGTTTTGGGGTTTAATGAAACATGTCAAGTGTTTTCCTTCTTTGAATTTTCTGTTCATTTTGACGAGGACAAGGCCAGACGAAGATGGGTAAGTAAAATGCAAAACAGCTTGTCAAATCTTTCAAAGTCATTCGCCATCAACATGTTAACGCCACATTTTCAGAGTTGAATTTATAATATTTTTAGATTTTTATTGAGTGGTTGCTTTATTTTTTTCAGAAAGTTTGTTACCTTCTCTCCCTTTCCTCCCTTCAGACCACGGACACCATCAGCTCCCTGTTGAATACAAAATAAAACAGTGAATTATAAAAGTCACACAGCTTTCAATCTGAAGAAAATTAAACTACTTTCTCAACACCTCAGCATTACCTTAACACCACGAGGGCCGGGATAACCAATGGGACCCTGTGGACCTGGAGGACCCTGTAGACAAGAGAATATTCTGTTTATAAAATGGCTAATATTGTAATTTTGACAACTAATAGTAATACAGAAATGTATATACAAATATAACATAAACAATGAATTATACATACCTGACCTCCCTTCTCTCCAGGTGGACCCTCTTTTCCAGGGTGACCCTAAAGTCGAAAACAAAAAATATTTATGAATCACCAAATGTACAGATAATTTGACACATTTTCTAGTATTTACCCTACTGTCTATCTGTCCTACTTATTCCCATTCAGACTCTCTGTTCTATGAAACAAAATCCTAAAAAGATTTTTAATTAAATTTTTCTCAATATGATTCACAGTTTTTATCTTTCCTGTATTATTTGTTTTTTGCTCAGTTTTAATATGTGTTCTGTAAAGCGTCTTTGGGTGTCCTAAAAAGTGCTGTACAAATAAAATGTATTATTATTATTATTATTTATTTTATGGCGCCAATTAAAAAGCCAATTTACACCAGATTGCCTCCAAGCAGTAATAAGCAATATATACTATAATTACGATACACGTTATTAATGCACAAGTGTTCAGTTTGAGAAAGTCTAATAACAACCTTATACAAATGCTTGAGGACCAAAATAAAATTAATAAATAGTACTTCTATTAAGGGCACACTGTGTAAACATTTCTTAGAGCAGGTCTGTTGTTCCACACTATAGCATAACACTTACACAGCAGTTCAGTAAGAATGCATGTTATTAGGTCAATAAAAACATATGTAATTGAGTAAAGGCTAGATCAACGGTCTCTAACTTTTTTCCTCCGGTGAGCTAATTTTACAAAACAAAAATGCCAGAGAGCTACTCCTTTTAGCGGCCACAAGAAATTGAGATGATTAGAAGAAAGAGCGCAAGCCTTTGGGCACACTTAGATGCCTATAAAACATAAACTATTGTTCATTTATTAGTGCACGAAGTTGAGCTTCGGTAAAAGGCATGTAATTAACCACATTTTTGTTATTCAGCACAATGGTATAATTCCAAAATCCCTTAGGAAGCTCCTTGGAAGGGGGTGGAAAGATACTGGTAGCTCATGAAATATAGGTTGGAGACCCCTGGGTCAGATGAATAGTTTATCGCTGTACTGTGGAACCTTCAAGACAATGCGATAATATCTCCATGGAGACAAGAATGTGACGGAACCTCGACCATAAAAGGTACACAGTGCACCTAACATAAAATATATGTATGTATCAATGTACTATAAGCCCAAACTGAACTCTGTCTTTACCCTAAAGATATATAGCTTTAATATGCAGTAATGTGTGAGTGTATGGGGAAGTCTGTGTAGGTGGACAGGCCCGTGCACAGTCAGCATTCTGCCCTGAGAGTTTTTCTGTAGCTCTGCACACCTGGAGCTGGTCTGAGGTGTGGGCAGAGTCTGTAAATCAATGAACTGTGGAGCCTGAGGCCAACGCAACACAGCCTCACACCTGAACCTATGCCCCGATACGCACGTCTATTGTACAGGGCTCTGAATGGGAAATATTCTATAATGGGGAATGGTGAGGCTGTTGCTATGCTGGCATAGGTTTACGCCTGTCACAATAACAAATTATAGACGATAAACAACTACTAAACTAATTTATGCCACTGACACACTAAGCCCAAAGCAGAATGATTAGAAAAAAAATATTCCAAAAGTATAATACAGTTAAAAACAAATTGCAATACAAAATAGCAGAATTAAACACTTAAGTTGTTAGGCTGTATCTATAATGAGTCATAAGTTCTTCTCTAAAGCTAAAATCTAATCATAGAACAGGAAAAATAACAAAACGTTTCCCATTAGTACTAAAAAAAAAGTACCTACGATAAATACTGACCCCCCAAAAAAGATTGTTCCATATAGCATATATTGAATGATAAGTCAATATAGTAATTATCATGATATGACAATGAAAAATTGTGTTAAGATCTGCATAGAGACTCCTGTGGTGATTTTGGGCTACACAAAAATACCCTGAATTAAACATCTCAGGGGATTTTGATTTTATTAGGACAATAAACGCTAAGGAATTTTAATCAATTTCCTATCACTGAATGTAACTAATAAAATGTTGACAATATCAGTGGTTATGTTACTTTCTACTTCCTGGAAAGACTTCCTGCCATAGACCGAATAGCTTTAAGTTTGTAAGAGTTAAAAACTGCACTCACAGGAGGACCATCAGCTCCAGGTAAACCAGGCAACCCGGATCTGCCCTGGGGTCCCTGTAAAACACAAGGAAAGGTGAAAGGTTAAAGGTCATTCTGAGTTCACATGGAGCACCTGCAATTCTCAGACTCATAAAAAGACAATGCTGCTTTAAACAATAAATTTTATGTTGATTAAACTTGTTTTTCAAGAGTATCTGAAGAATTTGACTTTTGTTGATCTTCAGTTGTTTCAATGCATTTTAGTTAAAGTTTGGTACAGGTGTGTTCAACTTTTACCCAACTTTTACCCAACTTATAAAAGCCCAGATGCTCAGAATAGCTCCAAAATATATGTGTAACAATGTTTGATAATTGATATGAACAATATATAATGTATTCAAATGATAAAGGCAAATTAACACAACTTTAATGAAATAACCTAACCATGTTTTTAGTCAGTCATACCTGAAAAGGATGACATTCAAAATCATGCAAATAATATTACTGAGAATTTTAATGAACTTACTTTTTCTCCAGGTGGTCCAATGGGGCCTTGAGGACCAGGGAGACCCTATCAGAGAGATAAACAAATATAATTACCATGTGTTAATATTCACCAGATAGACAGGAAAAACAGGAGAAGTGTCTGCTTGTGTTATAATTAATTACAGATGGGCATATTTGCAAAAATTTGTGGAAAAATAAGTTTTACCAGTCTCAAGTTTATGTGTAATTTGAGCTTCTACTTGTGCATGCTTAAACAGGTGTGGCAGCGCCGCAGAAATTCCACCAAAATGAATGGGATTCTTTCAAAAGGTCTGATCCGGATCGGTCCCCATTCCCAAGATAAACCAAGAAAAAATGTGTGCGTTTCTGGTATTTTTAGACCACCAGTGGGGAAATGAGTTGAGTAAAAGACTGGAAGATGATAAGAAAATATGTTCAGACTTCACAAGATCAAGCAAGTACAACATAGAGAGAGTATAGGATCTGTGTAGGGTCTGTGTTATGTATTCATCAAATGCGTCCCTGAGGTGGCAAAGATAGAAAGTCAATCTCTGCTTTTCCCTGTGGACTTGGGCAGATACAGGGCAGATACAAACAGGAACAAAGGTCTATGTGTTAGACTCATGTGCTCATTACACAGAGCTTTCCGGAGGCATACACTACACTAGATGTTGGTGTGTGGTGGGGTGGTATTGATTTTTTTCACCTGCGTTCCTGGGATTCCTTGCTGTCCGGGTGGGCCTGGTTCACCTTGTGGTCCCTATAAAAAAATAAAAATAAGATCCAAGTAAGATATCTCCAAGTCTGTGAAAACAAAAAGTTACATGGTGTTTTGACCTTTGCCATCCTGCTTTGTCTCTAGAATAGATTTTATCCAGAGACTGCAATAAAGCAATTTTTATTACCTGGTGCAAGCATATTACATCTTTTGTGTAAGTCAGTATTTTTATATATATATATTTTTTTATGTGTGTTGTCCCTTATAAATAAACAAATAAGCTGAAGTACATAGTCTTAATAGCTCTGATACCCAATTAATTACAGGCTCATTGTTATAAAGGGTAATAATGTAAAATCTTATATTTACTGACCCCTAGTGGCATTTTACATATTGCGTTTACTAGTGGTATCTTTTTATAGCCACAATAAAAGGGTTTTGACTCCACCCATTCGTAATTACTGATGCTGATTGTAATTGTAGTATGATTTTTAACAACAGGGGGCAGTAGCAGTCTGCATAAGTGAAGTTATAATAATATACGTAGTAAAAAGGCAAAGATACACTGAATAATTACATACATTTTGATAGCTACTGATTGATCAGTTATCAGTTGATGTCTGTTCAGTGTTTAATGAAGAAAATGTTTGAATCTGTTTGTGATTCTTGGACAATCACTAGTAATAATAATTATGTACTAAGATAAAAGAAGATTTATTGATTCTAAAATGGGGAAATTTAAGTGTCGCAATTCCAATTAAAAAAAAACAGCAGAAAAATAAATATATACAGTGAAAACTCAAGATAAATATTTTTTTGAAAAACATTAAAAACACACAATGTAACTAGAATATAAAAATATACTATAATAAAAATAAAACACAACATTTTAAATTGGATACCATGTTTCCTTTAGGACCATGGGGCCCATCCACTCCAGCAACACCCTGAGAACGACAAGCGACAGAGTAATCAGTCAACTTTATTTTAAAAGGAAGTGAGCGCAGATGAGGAGATAGTGAAAGAGGAAGTACATACAGGGGCTCCGGGTGGTCCGGGTGGTCCACGTGGCCCCAACAAACCCCTAGGACCCTGCACACAGAGATAAGCAGTGATGGAGGGTGTCACTTTCAATAGGAGAATCCTGCTGAGTTCTGCTGAGAAAACTCAACAAAAAGCAAATGTAACAGGATCTCATAGTATTAGTATGTTTGGGACAACAGATAATCCTTACACTCTCTCCAGCCAGTCCCCTTGGTCCGATTTCTCCATCTTCACCCTGAGGGAAGAAAAGGACAGGGAATTTAAATGTCTTTGGGTAACATTACGAATAACTAACTAACTGAGCTTTATATATGGAGACAGCCAGACTTTAACTCTTTATTTACGTTCAAACGAGCCCAAATCTTTACAAGTTTAACCAAAATAATAAAAGTGTTAAAGGTACACTATGTAAGTTTTTGGTTGGGGGCCTGTCGTCTGCTTGTTTCTGTGGAAATGTCATTGCTCTGCTCCACAGTATGGCATTAAACAGCTCTACTTTACATTTAATAAATTACAGCTGTTTTATAGCTCAAAAATACCTAGAAAAACAGACATTTTGACTGTGAACGCGGTCACCTCTCCACACATCTGACCTCTGGTTTGGTCTTCATGAACACAGAAAGGTTTAAAACCATATTGTGAATCATCCCAGACAAAGCAATAACATCTCCATGGAGAAAGAAAAAGCATCTGACGGACCCTCCAATGGAAAAGTTACACAATACACCTTTAAGACAACTGTTAAAGCCTAAAGGTAGAAGGGTAAAAAGTGTCTATTTTCATGGGGAGGAAAGGTTACACATAAACTTTAGTTCTTAGGCCCCACCCCCAGCTGCCGCTGCTTCAGGCAAAAGACTGGCTGTATATTACAACATATTCATTTCTGACTTCTCCACAAAAAAAGGAAAAAAAATAAATAAATGCAGCTAACTTACTCTCTGTCCATCCTCTCCTGGAGCTCCGATTGGTCCTGGAGGTCCAGGCTCTCCCTAAAAACAAATTGACACAAGAGAAATTTATTTCTTAAGTCTAGTAATTGTCAGTGTTATTTTATGTTAAGTGAAATGTTTTGTACTTGTCAGGCAAAATATATCTTAAAAAGTTCTAGACCATATTTAGGGTAATCCAATTACTGTTTCCTCTAACTTTCCAATATAATAAATAGCATTATAAGATTATCCACCACCAAATTACAATTAACAATCCCAGTAACCTTTGCCAAATCCTTAATAAGTAGAATTATCCATTTGATAATCTGGCTTTCTTTGTTGAGAGAAACCAGCTGTGTCCTTTTGTCACATTTTTCTATACTGCCTGTAATTCTTCTGAAGTTGGATAAGGAATAGTTTAAAATTATAATCTGTTTCATAGTTGAGTGACATCCCTGACCCTGTACTTACCCTGTGTCCCTTCTCACCGGGCAGTCCAGGCAGTCCATCAAAGCCACGGTCGCCCTGTAATCCACAAAAACGCATCAATACCAAAACAATATAGTAGCAATACACATGAAATTCAATTGAAATGTAATTAAATTTTATAATCAGGAAAAGTAGTTTAAGTATTTTTTTTTTACCTTAGAACCTGGCTCTCCAGGCATTCCACGGGCTCCATCAGCTCCGGCACGGCCCTGTAATATAAGAAAATAACAAATACAATATATGATTTAAACTGTGTGTGCACTTTTGTCAAGATAGCAAAGAGCAAACCTACCTCTGTGTTACATCAGTAAGCATAAAATAAGGATAGAAAACGAAAATTCAGAAACGTATGTATATATGATGGAAAAATTACCAGAAACATACAACAACTTTGAATGCGTGAAGCCGTAATGCTTTACTGTGGTGTTTTGTGCAACAGGGTAAACTCTATTTCAAATCAATAGGGCTATAATTGGATTTGTGAGGAATTAAACAAGCCTGGTTAAAATTCGCTGATCATTTAGGTCTTGTTGTGCGGCGTTGTGGGTTGTCTGCATGTTAATAACACTATCTCCTGCCTAATATCCATCATCACTTTTCTCTTACGGGCATTTTCAGACAGATTTAGCTCCTGTTCATTGATCCAAGGACTACAGAGAAAAGCCTTTAAGCACATCTCAATTAATTGTTTGTTGAGTCACTATCTAAGCTCCCCACTCAGAATTTGAGTCGTGGCCACCAGTGAAGCCCAAACTACCGCATGGCAACACAAACTTAGCTACGAAAACAAAGAGCTGTGAGCCATGAGCACACACTTTGAGCTCCGGGGGGTCAGAGGGTTTACTTACCCGCTTTCCTGCTTTGCCAGGTGGTCCAGCAGGTCCCTGGATGCCACGAGGACCCTGTATCGAGAAAGAAGAGGAGATGTAAGGCACTGGGGTGATCAGGCTTTCCCTGTGGCTGGCCCCCGATATGCCACTATCACTGACTTTGGCCTGTTTAAATCCAGTCTCATCTATTCAGACAGGCTTGCAACACTCAGTAATGCCCTGACACTTGTTTAATTTCACTGTTTAGTTGTTAAATTTTTTACATGTTTTTATATGGGGTTGAATTTATTGGAAAGCACTTGTCGCCTTGAGTGTTGTAAAAGAGGTCTATAAATAAATATTGATTGATATAAATGCATTATGAACTTTTTTTTTTTACATAAGCCAAAGTGCTAAAAAAACTGAAAAAAAAAAAAAAAGTTCTGTTGCCATTTTCAGGGAACAAAATGAGCAAATTGTGAGCTTGCTTTGGCTATATGGCGCAACACAAAACAATAAATAATAATAAAAAATATAATAACTTCGTAAAACAATGTCAGTACTAAAAAATATTATGTTCATTTAAAATTGCAAGGCAGCCAGAAGTTGTAAATGTAGAAGTGCAAATCACAAAACATAACAGTCTAATTTACTGGATACCTCTAATTAAACTATTAGTAAAATCTCTGTATTATAAATTACCTGTGGGCCGGGATCTCCACTTTCACCTTTAAGTCCAGGAGAACCGGGAAGACCCTACAAAAATGGAAACAGAGACATCTTTATTCAAATATGCAAACATTTCTAAGAGGCTTCAGTGGTGCAACGGCGTCAATGTGTCAGCAGGTGGCGATGTTTAGCTGGTAATATCCATTGTTCATTTCTGGAGAGTTAACAGAGATGGCAGCTGAGAATGAAAAATAATAAAGGCATGTAAAAACAAGATAAATTAATCCTGATTAAACATATTGATTTATTTTATGTAACTATTATTAATGTATTATTACTATTAATCATTTATGTTTTAAAAAAAAATGTGATAATTGCAAAAATAAGACCTAATGTTGTTTCTTAATTTATGCTACCTGTTACAACTCTAGTCTAAACTTCAGTGACAGATGCACATGTCCACTTGTAGCCAAACTAAATCTTTGCTCACTAATCTAGGTATTAAGCTACCATAACTCTTCATTTCTTGTAGAGGGCCCTTTTCTGTGGATAAATAGTAGATCGTGTATCAACAAGCCTGGGAGATTGGAAAGGGGGGAGGTAAGGAGGGGATGATATTTTCTTGGAAGCTGTTTGAACTTAGACAGTAACTCAAACACCACTTATGTACGTAACGATGAAAAAATCAATCAAAACAAACTACCAGCTCTATATTGATTAGAGAATGTTGTGTACAAGAAAGTCTACAATGTAAAATCAAGTGTATGTAATTACTAAATTGGCCTAAAAGTTACTAAAGAATCAAACATGCATTGGAAAACATTGCAGAAGTAGTAAAAAGACACATATCATTGTTCAATTCTCAACAGTCTGTTTTAATTAGCTGTAAAGGGCATTTTGTTTGAGAGGAAATGAGGTATAAAGTACTCACCACTGGTCCTGATCTTCCTGTCAAACCCATTGGCCCCGGGGGTCCCCTCATCGCCAGCTGCAAACCAGACACACACAAAAAGTATATTAGATTCTTCTCCTTTTTCAGAAGTTAGGCCTCCACTGTCTATTCATACTGACATTTTGTAAAAGTCGAGTGACTGCTGTCTATTCACCTTTTCATAACCTGTCACATCCCATAATGCATTGTGGGTTTTTTCTTGGAAGGTTTATGTAAGGTATTTGTTGGGTACCGTCTTCAAAACATTTAAAGTTAAGAAACATCTCCGATTAAAAAACACTATATATGTTAATTCATATACACTGTCCCTGAAATAAATAGACTATAATAATAAATAGACTAATATATAAAAAAATTATGTATTTCTATGAGGGATTACATTATATAAGTACTATTATTGATCATTTTTACGTTATTCAAGGTTGATATGACTAAGGTAAAAAGTACTTTGACAAACATGAGCATATACAAGAAACTATGGGTTAATGTATTATAATGTAATGGCAAGTCAAAAACTCTCACACCAAATAAACTTGTACATTTTATATGAATACAACCTTTTAACACATTTCTTAATTACTCCTCATCACCAATCAGATCTGATTTATAGACCGTCACAAAAACAACAGTATTAGCTCTTTTCCTAAACCATGTCCAGTCCAGCGGACCGGTCCCCAGAGACCCCCACCTGTTGTCCCAGGCCACGCGCAGGTCACAAGTATTTTTAACAGTGTCTCTTGTGTGCATCTGTTCAGAGTGGCTTATTTTATGTTGTAGCTCGGCATGTCTGCATTTAGCAAGGCTGGCTAAAATGTGACTAGAGCTCGCCCCACCAAAATACAGTTCGACATAAGAGGGGGGACATGGGAGGGGGAGGGGGTGTTTGGGAGTCACTTCTTGTTTGGTTTACTTACCCTGGCCTGGGAGAGGATGGCCTGAGCTTGGGCTTCTTGGGCAGACACTACGGGACCCTTCTCACCATCTCCACCAAAACGGAACTAAAGACAACAGCATAGTTAGAGTGAAAGTGTGGAGGCAGTTTGTATACCAAATAATGTTAAATTACTACACTGGTACTTAAAAACATTTGCACACTTTTACTTTTCAGATTTGTACCAGCTCTTTAACAGGTTTATACCAGGTTTAAACAGGACTACACACTGGCTATAGCAGTTCCTACAAAGTTTGTGATCACCAGTAATTGCTTCAAAAAAATTTGTCCTCCACCAGTAAAAATTTGTAGTTGGACTATACTATTTGTAGTTGATACTAAGGATAAGGCTTGATACTTGACTTTGATACCATAATGATATTTTCATATTATATATTTAAAAACAGAATGTAAACACAGAAAATAATAGTATTATTACATATTTCCATGTGGATATAGATTTAGAGGTCTCTTGTTTATCTGAGTATCTAGTTTTGATACTATGTTTAGTATTGATGAGTGTTAATTTTGACAATCTTACGTTGGACCAATGTTCTGAATGTATGGAGAAGTTCACTGACATCCTAACATTAAAACTGAAGATAGGGCCAAATAATGGTCAGATATTTGAGGTTCACGACAGAGTGTGATATAAAGAGCTTATTCCACAGTACAGACTCTTTCTACACATAATATAACAACTCACTGGAAGCATCAGCATTGTACCAGGAGGACCAGGCAAACCATCAGCACCAGGCAGACCAGGACGACCAGGAGGACCCTGTAAAAGAGATAGAAAGGGCACGTCTGTTTAAAAAGTCATTATTGATAAATCAACTTTCAGTCTCATCAACACAGTAAAGTAAATATGAATATAATGTTGAAAATGGTCATTATGATACTATTATCATACTATCAGTCTGCATTGTGTATTAGTTATGTAGATTAAGATTATGCATGCTTTATGTATTTCAAAACTATGAGGATTTTTAGACATCCAGGTATATTCATTTTAATAATTTTATAATTACAGTATTGGATATTATAATTACAGTATTTTAGTATCTGTTAAACACTAAACCTCTCTCTAGTTAAGGGGTGGCCTATTATTTTTTCCATGGGGCCACATGAGAAACAGAAAATATTGTGGAGGGCTGGGCTTTGCTAAATTCTGCCTAATATTAATAGTATTTCTTTATAAATAGCAGTAAATAGCATTGTTTTGATGAGCTAGTAAGACTGGTAAAAGTTTATGTTATGAATAAGCAATGAAAAAGTGAGGTTGCCTTGCAAAAAATTTCATTAAAAAAAGCATCTCTGAAATAAAAGCAATGCAGCTTTAGTCCATGAATGAGGTAAAATGATAAAATATGTTTATTTTGTAATTACACATGAGCTTAAACGGGCTGGTCAGAGCCAAACAAAGGGCCGTATGTGACCCGGGAGCTGTACAATGCTCAGGTCTGATCTAGATGATAAAATACAGACCACATTTGGTACACTGTGTTCAATATCATGAATTGAACTAATAAAATGTTATGTTATACGTAAACTTGCAGTGTAATTGGCTTTATATGGTCAGATAGTGTTTTTATAGTCAGTGTTTAGGATTGAGTTAAATTTAACTGTGGCATTAATTGGACCCAGACCTAACACTTGTACATACCACACACATATGTTCTGGTAAATAATCGTGTTTGCTGTTACTTTAATGACCTTTTCCTCCTATACTACAGCACATAGACTGGGTTTGTCCATCTGTGAGTCACGCTACTGTCGTCGATCCAACATAAACCTCCTTTTGCATGAGGTCTGATCTTTATTTATGTTCAAATGAGCCCAAATCTTTACAAGTTTAACCAAAATAATCAAAGTGTTAAAGGTGCACTATGTAACTTTTCTGTTGGGGGTTGGTCACCTGCTTGTTTCTAAGAATATGTCATTGCTTTGTCTTTAATGTTCCACAGTATGACATTAAACAGCTCTACCTCAAATGTATTCAATTACAGGTGGTTTTATAGCTCAAAAATACCTAGAAAAACAGGTATTCTGACTGTGAGCAGGGGTGCCTCTCCACAGATCTGACCTATAACTTGAAGACAGAATGGTTTAATACCACATTGTGAAACATTCCAGATTTAGCAATAACACCTCCAAGCATTTGATGAACCCTCCACCAGAAAAGTTGTACCTTTAAGACCTCCACATCACTACAGCAATAAAACTTTGAAAATATTTTGTATGTACTTTAAGGTGGCATCATGGCTGAGTAATGATTATGGAAAACTGGTCATGATTGGTCCTACATGTTCAATTGTGTCCAGTCTTTATGTATTTTATTTTTACTTGTACATATACATTATACATTGATTATTTGACACCATTCTCTTGCTATTTATTTTGAATTAATTATTACCATTTATATTGTCAATGTTTGTTTTTATATTATATTGTGATGTGTGAGCTATTGTGTCCAAATAATTTTCCTTGTGGACTAATATAATTTGTCTAAGTCTAAATTGTCTAATGTTTATATTAGAAAGTAATTTTTATGATACAAAATTTGAATATTTTTGAGTTTTTTGCATCTAATCTCACCCTTTCACCAGGATCTCCAGAAGTGCCTGGAGGTCCTTGAAGGCCGGAGGGACCTGGAAGACCCTAAAAATGAGGAAAAGGATTAGCTACAAATCAAAAACAAAACAATAAATCTTTAACAACTAATTTCTGTTGGCACTCACAGCTGGGCCAGGAGGTCCGGGTGGTCCTTCAATCAGCATACCCTAAAAAACAACCACAGTTTAATCTCATGAGAGCAGAACTAGAATATAAAAGCAGGTAAAAAAAAAAGAAAAAAGAAAAACTAGGTTTAATTAGCAGGTATTAGCAGTAGTAGTAGTAGTTTGTGGGTCTCACAGGTTCGATGACAGCAGGCTCTCCCTTCTCTCCCTTCTGCCCAAAAGCTTCGACTCCAGCGATCTGCGGACACAAATATATACACAGGTGAGACTCTTCACACAGCAGCTCTAGCACACAGACCAAAAGGCCTATTATACTTCTTCATTAAATTTACTTCAGCAAATGATTAGGTAATAGAGAGACAGGACAGAAAGAAAAGATATTAGAGTAAATACTAAGTGAATTATCAACATGCGTCAAACCAAATCACAATGTAGTGGTAGATCCAAAGAAAATGTGATTCAGGAACAATCAAGAAAGGTGGGATAAGTCAAAGAATGACCATTGAAATCTGGTATATTATATTATTAAAACATATATTTGTGAGATTTCTAATAACATCTATTTGTGGTTTTACAATTCAGTAAATGTATGTAGCAAAACAGTGAGTTCTGTACAATTCTATACAAATTAAAAGGCAAACCAAGTGTATTTAACTTTGTGAGATCCTGCTTGTCCCATAAGTGACAGTGCTTTGTCTGTCAATGTTCCACAGTATGGCATTAAACATATCTGCCATATAATCAATTACAGTTGTACTCATTGATCATTGAATACGTTGAAAAACATTTAGCATTTTGACGTTGAGTAAAGTTCTCTCTTCAAAGCTAAAATTCAACTTGGCCTGGTGGTGTGTCCAGGGAGATAGATATTTTTAATGCCATATAGTGGAATATTCTAGGCAAAGCAATAACACCTTCAAAGAGATAAGCATGTGGCATATGTCAGTGTTACACAGTGCAGCTTAAAGACACCAAATTAGATTATAATCAAATCACCCTCCAAAACTCATAGACGCATTTACCATGCAACCAACTCTGAAACCATGCACTAAAACGGTTAGTTCCCATAGTAGTCCAGGCCGGTCATGCACCCGCCCTCCACGTGGCTCCAGCAGGGGGCGCAGTACTTACGGCGCTCTCTGAAATGTCCGTCTCAGCCGCTACCCCGGGCCCCACCTCATCGTCAGGGGCCGCGGTGGCCTTGGCTTTGTCCGTGCCATAATCATCGTAACTGGTGTAATCATAAACTTTGCTGTCAACCTCTCCCAAGTCATACTCCTTTAGGTCATACGCGTTAAAGTCATACGCGTCTGAACCGTGCGTTTCCGGGGCGGCGGTGGTGGGCTCCTGAGCTGTGGCCTCTGTCACAAGACCACCCACAAGGTCCTCCTCCACAGCCTTCACAAGCCGAGAGGTGAGCAATGAAGGGACAGAGTTAGTCAAGCATTTAGACTACAGTGTGCTATCAGAGCAAATTATAAAATGAGAATGACGTTAAAGGCAATGGCAACATCTTATTTACATGTCATAAACAGACCTGAGGGGTGACATATGACATTACAAATACTGAATGCTGTGTAATCCACATACTCAATACGTACATTCAAGCAGATGATAAATAAGGTGATGCCATTAGGAGAAAAGTAATTCTACTGTATAATTGTTATTTCAGACCTCAGATTAAAAACATGATGGAGGGCTGAAGAAACAATGTGGTTCTACAGTTTACAGCATTTAAATTGGACAATAACAGATTAGATGTGATCAGGTTATTGTTGTGCAAATACACAAAGGCAGTTTAAAAGCCCCTTCACACTTTGTGTATTCGGCACAGCTGAGACATCACATTTAATACAGTAGGCTTCTGTAATTTCAGGTGGAGAGTATTTGGATTGATCGGTTCAACATAATGGATGCAATTACACACAGTTTTTCCTGTTCACAAATGAAGATTTGTCTCTTTAAAGAGGTTGTAATCACATCCATGTGTTGAACACTGCAGGGTTCAGGCTGTGAGGGCTGAGTGATCTTGGATCACAGTCCATTTGAAGGTGAGCTACAAACTACAGATAATTACCATGGCTCTCCAAGAGAGAGGCTCTCAGGAAAACTCCTTAAAGACACAGCATTGATTTGAATGTATGTGTCTTTGCTGTTTCGTACCAGGTATTTCAGATGAGGATCTATCTGTTCTAATGTGTACAAAAGTAAAAAGAATGGAGCACATTACCTCATGAGGTCCACTGGTGTCATAGGGGGACTGAGTTTGAGTTTCATCTAACGTCCCGTAGTCAATGTCTGTATTGTAATCTCCTTCTACATTGTTTAGCTGAGTCATGTTGGAAAAGGACAGAAGAATAAAGCAAGCGTTAACTCAGAGGCAGAAACAGGTGTTATGCAGAGGTCTATACAGACCTGTGTATCTATGCTAAAGCTAAAGCTAATGCTACTGTTAGGGCCGCTCTATCTGCCATCACAGATCTCCCTCCACAGTTTGAGTGGGACAATCTTGATGGTCTGATGTTTTCTCTAAGTTTACCCTAAAACTCCCTCTGGGGCGCGCTGGGGCTGTGGCCTGGTAGCCAGGCATCGGGCGCTTCTTCTTAGCGGGGAACTTTTTAGCAGGAGATTTTTTGGCAGCCAAGAACCTAAACTGCTTTGTCTTGGTTTTACTAACGGACTTTGTGGTCCTCTTCTTTTTCATGGAGACACTACGTTTGGTTCTCTGGAAAAGGGCGCAGCAACAAACAGCACCGAGACAAACACAGAACATTTAAAAGTGGAAATGACCCAAAGACCTGAGTCTGACTGTTGTACATGAATAGAGTCTATATTTAAAATCTTGACATTGCGTTCAAACACAGGTCCTTTGTGTTGTTCATTCAGTGTACAACATTTCAGACTGAGGCCTCTCTTTGACACATACAGAAAATGAGGACATTAAACAAGTAACAGGACACCGAGGCTTTGCCTTCCAGCAACACCTTCAACTGAGGGAAAATATAAGAAATACACTGTATGTAATAACGCTGACTGGTCAGAATGCACGCAGGAGTTTAAAGGCCTGCTGGAATGCAAAGCCCCTTAAAGCAGACAGCGTTCACAAAGAGTGGAGAAAGCAGCCTGTAACACAGAGCACATGCACAAGCAGAGCATCCTCTGTCTCTGTGACAAACTTCACAGGAGTATATTTAACTTTTAAACTTTTAAAACATTCAGATTTAAAGAGGACACACTCTGCTGTGCAAGTGAACACAAACATAAGAACATGAGACACTTCGGGACGAGGACAAAGCAACGCTACAGTCCACACACAGCACAAGTTTAACTCCTGTTCATTTACCTGAGGCTCTGCATACTCATCGGTGGGAACAGCGTCTGTGGCTCCCTCAGAGTAATCATAGAACTGAGAGTAATCTAAGTCATCAGTAAAGTACTGACAAAGGAGAGAGAGAGAGAGCAGGGTTAGACAAGGATGCACTCTGCCAGATGATACAGACATATCATCCAGAGGTTTAAGTAGGTTAAAGCAGCTAAAAAGCCAAATATTATCCATTACAACACACACACGATAATAATAATCCTGCTGGTATCTGTCCCAGTTCACAATAGAAGAATTTAGCGTAAACAGGATCTGAAAATGCCTGAGATTTAGCCTACAAACGTAAACAGATGGGATGTTTTAAAGCTCATAAAAAACAGAAAACAACAAAGATCCTGAGACAAAAATACCAGCTGCATCCAGGAATATCGTAATGGAACTTTCTCACTACAAGCATGTAAATGAGGCACCCCAGGACCCCAATATCAGACACATTAAAGGCTTGGTTTAAAAGAGGTGAACTGATAGCGAGAGGGGGTCACTGGGCATAAGGTCCTCTTAATATGCATAACTAATTTGCATATAGAGCTTTGTTAAAATGCATAAATATAGTGGTATTAACACACTTTTTCATACATGAAGTCACTAAAGTCAAGAAAAACAGTTATGAGTTTAAATATGTTAGCAGTAGAACAGATCATTGCGTAAACAGACAGACAATGTGTACTCCAATGACTGTTCCTTATGGCAAGCAAATGTTACTAAGTGTATTTGCTTTTAAAGGCATCCTTGGCAGAAGTTGTATGTGAGACAGGGGTAGAAAACTGGAATAAAACTGTACTACTACTATGAGCATGTAACAAGCAAAGTACATCTACTGCTTACTTCTATTTACCTTTGAGATAGTAGCTGATTTATGGTAGACAATAACTCAGTAGACACAACTAGACTAAACTGAAGACCAATTTCTACATGCAAAACCACTGTCAGCATGTTTTCTTGTCATTTTTTTTCTTGCATTTATTCAATTGTAATAACCCAATTTTAACACTTTAATTGTACACTTCTCATTGTGGTTAATACTGTTTACCTATTAATCTAGCTAATCCTCCAGCTTTGTGCTTGTTTGTTTCCTTAATTAACTTTAAAAGTGCAAATTACAGTGTGGGGAACTGTTAAAACTAGAACACTATTACCATGAGAGGACTTACTAAAATCTACAGTCTCAGCCAATTTCTTGCACTGGCTCTGTGAACTGTGAGTTTACCAGAACAAAGGATTTGGCAAGATTACACCACAACTTTCCCTTAAGGGGGGATTTCCCAAGCACTAATATATTACTGCAACTACTGTAGTCATATCTCTCATAACACAATGCATTACAAGATTTTAAACAAGTAAGAACAATGTGCATCCACCGCAATAAATACATTTGTCAATCAAGGACAAGAGGTTCAAAAATAAGATTACAGATAATCCCAAAGTAGACATATTATGGCTTTTCTATGGCATTTCATTTGTCTATCTCATATCTAGATCATTATTTAACTTTTGTACACCACAGTATTGATTGACTATAACAGTTTACAATAGAAACAGGGCCTTTGACTTAGTGCAAGATTGATAGATAGATTTTCTGAGCACCTACATTACACTATACTGAAGGATTATACAAACAGGAATGGATCAAAATATAACTCCAAGTAAGATCAAGATTTGGGATAACTATTATAACAAGATTAATACCAAAAGTAAATTTTGCATAATATGCCTCCTTTAACGTGGATATTCTAAGGGTTTCTATGTAAATTTGTCTGTCTGACCTCTTCAGCCTCCTGAGCTTGGACTCTTTGCCCGTGGGGAGTATCACAGTCTGGGCTGTAGTGTTCACAGTAGTCGTAGGCAGCGGTAGGATCGGCCACAATCAGGAGCTGCTGGATGTCACCCTGAGAAAACCACAAAACACAATGTTAGCATCAAAATAACCCAACATATAATCTGCTGTTTCGAATGAAAACCAAGAATTTATACAATGCGGTGAAGTAGAATGTACCAGAAACTAAAAAGCACCCTGCTAGGTTTCATGTCTCGTCTTGTGCCTACGTTGAAGGTATAAATGTAGATCTGAAATTACAATAATTTTAGTGTTTTACAGTCTGGGTGGTTGAATTTACTCAGACACAAACATGCAAAATTTCATGTAAATAACTCTTGTTATAAATCTTGTATCTTTTTTACTACTGAAGGCTAATTTGGAACAACTAACAACTATCAGAGCACATTGAAGGATGCTTGGTATACAATAATTTTAGCGTTTCACTGTCTGGGAAGTTGAATTTGCTCAGGCACATGCTTGCAAAAATAACACGCAAATAACTAAAATAGTACACAAAAAACCCCAGTATATTTGTTACTATTGACAGCTAAAGTTGGGACCTCAAACAAGTATCAGAACACGTCTCATCTTGTGCCTATGTTGAAGGATGCTTGGTATAAATGTAGATCTCAAATTACAATAATTTTAGCGTTTTACAGTCTGGGAAGTTGAATTTGCTCAGGCATGCACTTCCAAATAACAACCAAATAACTAGAATAATATAAAACTTATATCTTTTTTACTCTTTAAGGCTAATTTCAAACAAGTATTGACAAAGCCCATATGAAAAAATTAACTATAGAAAATATTCATTAACATTGGGAATATATACCAATTCAATTATATATATTTTTTCTTTTAAACATGTCTAAACTCAATATTGTAAGTTAGTTATTTTTATTATCTTAGCTATGAACCATGTGTCTACACTAAAAATCAAATAAACGTGCATCTATACCATAACTGACAGGACCAAAGCCAAAGGTGTCAAAACAACATTCTCATCCAAAATATGCATTTCTAAAATACATTGTAAAATATAGAAAAACTCTGAAAACAAAACAATAGCATTCCCTGAGACCGCACTGGCAAAAAGTATGTTTTCTGAAGCCCTGAGTGTCTGTAGCTAAGTTTGGGATTGGACACCACAACATCGAAATAAAGTCGCGTATCAGTCATGCTGCCAAAGGATACACCTCACAAGAACACAGTACAGACAGTACAAAGGTCATGTTATGTTGGATAGTTGAATTTAATTAGTGACCGAGAAGAAATATATGACAGAAAGTACAAGTATTAAAATTTGAGAGCTTTTTCGCACTTTTGAGAACAACAGTTGAGGAAAGGAACTCAGCAGTCCACTAATACTTAAATTATGACAAGACACTGTTACATATAGCAGTAGCAGTATTAGTAGTAGTAGCAGCAGGACTAGTGGTATAATAGAGCATTTGGTAGTAGTAGTCACCGGAATAATAGCAGTTGTAGAAGTAATAGTAAAGTAGCCATAGTAGTAGTAGGTGTAGGAAGTGTAGGAGGAAGAGAAGGATTAGTATGATAAGAGTAGTTGTAGGAGTAGTAGTAGCAGCAAGAGTAGAAGTAGCATTTAGCGCATTTAGTAATAGTAGTCATTGAAATAGTAGTAGTAGAAGTAGTGGCAGTAGCAGTGGCAACCTTAGTCATAACAGCAGTAGTCGTAACAGCAGCAGTAGTAGTAGTAGTAGTAGTAGTAGTCGGAGTAGTAGCAGTAGTCGTGGCAATAGTTGTAAAAAGTGCATAAGTAGTAGGAGGGGGAGGAAGAAATGGACTAGTATGAAAAGTAGTGGTAGGAGTAGTAGTAGCAGCAGGAGTAGAATTTTGAACATTTAGTAGCCATAGCCGAAGCCATAGTAGAAGTAGGAGCAGTAGTAACCTTGAAATAGTAGTAGTAGTAGTAGTAGTAGTAGTAGTAGTAGTAGCAGTAGTAGTAGTAATAGTTGTAGTACTAGAAGTAGTAAGAGGGGGAAGAAAAATAGGACGAGTATGAAGAGTAGTGGTAGGAGTAGTAGTAGCAGCAGGATGAAAAGTAGAGTTTTGAACATTTAGTAGCCATAGTAGAAGTAGGAATAGTAGTAACCTTGTAGTAGTAGTAGTAGTAGTAGTAGTAGTAGTAGTAGTAGTAGTAGTAGTAGTAGTAGTAGTAGTAATAGCAGTAGTATTGGTGGGTATGGTGTATAGTAATGGAAATTATTCATGATATTCATAAATACTCAAATAACATTTGTCTTCTGCAAAACATTGCAAATCATTTCATCAATTTCAAGCATTTCCTCACATTAAATATAGAGTTGCTTTTCTTTGCCTGAACAACCCGGGCAGGTGAGACTATACATTGAACAGAGTAGAGATTGGAGCAGGCAGAGACACAGCATGCTGGAGCTTGTCAGGAGAATGTGAGTTTGAACACTAGTGCCCCGCTGAGCTTCAGACACACTGGAGATGTATGGATCCTTCACATGGGGCTCTATGTAAACAGCCCTGTGCTACGGCCTGTCTCTGGGGAAAACAAAGACGAGTCCTTGAAACTTTCACTGTGTAACTCAACCATCAATGGACAGCTTCGGGTTGACAGCACAAAGAGGCTCCCCATGTGCCTATGTGATGGAATGTGACTTTAAAGGTGCACTACTACTTTTCTGGTGCATACACATTGTACATCTATTTGCCATGTATTAAATTATGGGTGTTTTTATTGTTACTATTAAGTACTAAGAAAGAGATTCTAGTGTGATCATGACCGCCTCTCCACAGATCTGAAGGTGGTGTTGCCTGTTTTTCTCCATAGTGATGGATAAGATATATATATGTATATATTTATGAGCGTAAACCGGTGGCAAACCATCTACCAGAAAAGTTACATTGTGCAGCTTTAAAGAATTTGTCTCTCAAAGCATCTACAAGAATAAGAAGGAGATGTTTTCACTAGAGACGTAACAATATCCAAATCTCTCGGTACGATATTATCACGATATGCATCTCAAGGTACGATATTTATTGCGACATTTTATCTAATTGTAGATAGGACACTTTTTTGCTTTTAAAATACCTTGAAAAGATTTTGGTGTGAATTATTTCCATCATATTCCCAAGAATTCAAGTAAAAAACATATTTCTTCATATTGTTTACACTGAAATAAATCGTGGGATATGTAGTTCCAGATGTTTATAAGCTGTTGATACTATAAAACCATGCATTTCAGCAAAGGAACTTGTAATTTGATATATTGTGACAGCCCACGATATTATTGTGAGACTTTTGATGATACAATATCACGATATTTCGGTTATTGTTACATCCTTTTCACAGTTGCAAAAAGACATACATAAACAATAGGGGTATAAAGCTTATCTAAATGTACATTATTGGTCCAAGGGCATACTAACAGTTACCAATGTTTTTGACCAATGGGGGATCTCCCAAGAAACCCAAATCAGAAATGCACTGTACAATAAAGTAATAATGTTCTAAAAGGTTAAATAAATGACTACATAAACACATATGATTGGCATTCAAGCAAAAAACGTCTGATATAAGTCCTTAAGAACTACTAAAAACTGTGTACCGTAGTGTTCACTTAAGTTATTGAGACTAGGCTTTTATGACATTATGCATTGCTTATTCAAAATGTTTATAATGCAATTATAAACAACAAAAAAGAACGATGGGTCTTATCCAACTGTATCTTCACTCAAATGTCACTCAAAGCTTATCTTTGTTGTATATTACTATCAGTATTTACAATGAGCCCTAACAATGTGTACACAGGGGACCCCTATAACAAATCACAACCTCAGATTAGATAAATCCGCAGTCACAAGCTTACACATAGGAAGCGTTACCAAGACTCTAGTTTTCAGACAGGGTTTAGTCCGAGCAGCTGGGATGGTAAAATCTGCTTTGTACCAAGGGGTAACACCTGGGGAGAGTTACGCTATAGCTTCTTGGACGTGTCTTCCATTGCACAGAGAGGAGATAAAAGCCTTTGGCAACTTGGAGCAGGGCCAGGGGGAGTTTAAAATGTGCCCCTCCTTCCAGCTACAGAAGGCCCTGCAGACCCATAAGCCAGTGTGTTAATGACGCCAGGGTCAAGGGGCAATGAGGGAAGAGAGAGAGGCTGAAAGAGAGAAGCAGGGTCAAGATCAACAGCTGACACGCGTGAATCTCCACAGAGCAAAGGTATGAGACCTGACATCAGCGAGGGAGAGCAAAATATGATGAACTGGTATGTGTACTTCACCATATATGAGAGAGACCGATATATATTTATTTTGAGTGACCTGCATGCTAAAAATACCATTTCAGCTTTATCTGAGTAGTAGCAGCAGGACCAGTGGTAGCATTTAGAGCATTTTGTTGTAGTAGTTGTTGAAATAGTAGTCGTAGAAGTAGTGGCAATTGCAGTAGTAACCTTGAAGTAGTAATAATAATAGTAGTAACCAGTAATAGATTTGAAGATTTTAATGCATGTAGATGATTATTGAAAACATGACTACATAGATCTCATAAGGGTTTGTGGTAAAAAAAAAAAAAAGGGTGTGGGTCATTAAATAGCATAATTTGGGGAAGAAAATCCACAAAAATATTGGCAGAGCTTATCGGCCATTGGTTTCTTTTTATTCTAAACAATCAAGTATTGACATCGGCAATGAAAAACTCCATATCGTCGATGTCTACCATATATTCTGGTATACCTCTGAACAATATGCCCCGTTGTTTTATTGGCATCTGGATCTATTTTTAGATACTCTCATCCATAATAAAGTTTCACTGTTTTGAGTTTATAGACTGTAAAAGGTCATCGTTAACGCCACATGCTCCAATTTGGTCCCAATGTCCGGTCTGCATTCCAGTTGCATAACATCAGTGAAAGGCTATAAATAGCAATAATGTAATAAAAATAATTAAACAATTAAGAAATCATTTAAGAAATGTGTGAAAAAATATAACTGACTCAGTATTTCAGATGTGAGCATTCAAAAAAAATGATGTCAAATTACTCAAAAGACAAACGGCTTGATTTGCTCCTCTGAAATCTGCACATATTTTAATGGGATTTCTAAAGCAACTAAACTGCAATTAAAGGTGTACCATGTAACTTTTCTCTTGGGAGGTCTGTCACTTGCCTGTCTCCATGGAGATATTAAAGCTTTGGCAAGAACATAGAATGCAGTATCAATCTCTATGAAAACAAGAAGGCTGTGCTACAGGCAAAGCTACAAATCAGATCTGTGGAGCAATAACCCTACTGACGTATGTATTACCTATGTTATTCAATGTATTTTTGGGCAATAAAAACACCTGTAGCAAAATAAATCCAAGTAAAGCAATAATATCTCCATGGACACAGGCAGGTTTCACGCCTCCATCAGAAAAGTTGCACAGCTCACCTTTAAAACAAGGAATTTTCAGGTATTTGTCTAGTCTAGTTCACCAAATTTTGTATTGTATAAGGGCTGACTGGGCAACACTGACCAAATCAAAACAGTAATATAGCCCTCACTGTGGCCCTTTGCTTTACCTCTGCCCAGGGCCACGTACCCTCAGAAAAACCTTACTGTAATTACACCAACCAATACAATTAAGCACTGCCCCCACCCTATAGGGCATACAGTATGTTAAACAAGCAGAGCCAAGAAAGCATAAGGAGGTCCAGGAGCAGGTTTGGGTATATTTAGGTAAAGAGAACCCAGGATGAATAGACAGACTCACAGTGGACAGTGGTAGGAGGCCTGAAGGATGAGGAAGAGGAGGAGCAGTGAGACAGAGGGGGGAGGAGGGGGGAGGAAGGACCATGAAAGAGCCCCATTCATTGGGACCAGAGCTACGGTGGTCACCTCCTCTCAGGGCAGGTACGCTCTGAATAACACGCTTATGAAAAATGCAGGTCAGCACATCAAATTCTGTGTCAAAAAATATACTCGAAGCCACTGTTTTACCACACTGTATGTTACCTATGCGTGCTATGCTGTCAAAACTGGCCATTAATGTTTTGACAATATAATTTTAGCAGGATAAACGCTAACAAACAATACCAATTTTCATACCACAAACTTTTTCTACAATATAATGTCATTTTTTTATATTAGCATGCTGTTTTACTAGTATAGTCATTCTGAAATCTATCAAGATCTACCTAAAATTACACTTACAACTTTGTCCTTTGTATGTCATTTTTCTCTATTGATATTCTTAAATCAGTATCTAGTTTCAATACTATAGATTGATATTTAGGTACAGACTTTTTTGACCATTTATAACCATTATGCCATACAATTAAACAAATATTATACTTATAGGAGCCCACATTCTAGTAGTTAGACAAAGCACGTTATTTTTAAAGCTTCCACTACAAAACAGTATAAACGGCAATAATATTTAAACAAAGCTGTTTCATCTAAGCACCGGACACTACAAAGTAAGATCTATGCCATATGTTAGGAATTATAAAGCAAAACAATATGAACACTTTGTTGTACTTCCAAACAGATGATAAAAAGGGGAAAACCCAAAAGTGTGCCAAATTTATAGGACATGCATCTGACTAAACAGATTGTATCTCCTGGTTTATTTTCTCTTTTTAATCCAAGACTTGAACATTAAAATCCTATCCACTTCCTTCTCTTGTATCCCAGCATGCAGTGGGGCATGAGGAGGCACAGAGAACAGACTGGAGACCTGTTCCAAAAACCACAGAGGACTCCTGTTGACTTTTCCCTTCTTCCAGACCCTCTCCAGGCAGCACTTGACTGGACACACAGTTTTAACATACTGGTGCACTGACCTCGAGAAAATCAAATAAAAACTCAAAAACAGACGCAGAAATATGAGGAGAATGCATTAATTGCTACAGAATTACCCATACACTTTCAATTAGCAGCCTGCCAAGAAATGTATTATGATGTCATACAGAGAAAATGCTTAACAGCCATGGTTCGAAAGATCATGATCATTTAGACTTATTCCTGTGAGATAAAGGTATACTATGTAAATTTTCTGGTTCGGGATACACCAGTGGCTTTTCAGATTGCTTGGAATAATCTGGAATATGGCATTAATGGTGTCTATGTTGCATTTATTGAATTGTGGATGTTTTTATTACTCAGAAATGCAACACTGATTGAGATCGATAAGTCTAATGCCATACTGTGGAATTTTCTGCCATACAATAACATCACGGAATCAAGTAGGTGGTATGTCCGCCCAACAACAGAGATCATATGAATGAAATGTTTAAACCTAACCCTAATTACATGAGTAAGAGTAGGAAGAGTTTTTAGTGATCCTGAAGTCACTTTTCGCCAACTACTACAGTGTAGAAATGTCAGTGTCATTCATCATAACTGCTTCTTGTGGTCAATAAAATTATAAAAAAGCATGTTGCTACGGAGAAAGGTATGCTCAGAAGCTGACAACAAAGCAGAAAAGAGGTATTCAAATTTGCCTTCTGAACAAATGACTCATATAGCCTCCATGTGAACTTTACTGCCAGCTCAGAGCTCCATGACTGTCCCCACACTGAGGCCATTGTCCAGCCTTATTTACACAAACACAACCCCAACCCCAGGATAGCCCCGGTGTTTAAACTTCATTTTGGTCGAGGCGTTAGGTATTCGAGAAATTTGGCAAAGATTTGTGAGAGTTTAGGCTTCAATGGCACCAGGCAACATAGCTTCATTAACCAGGATCTTAACAGTGTAGATCAAATGTGGAAAATTGATTTACTAGTAATAATAGTCATACTTTCAAATGACTGGATTCACTTTCTAGATTTAAATGAACTTTGACACTTTCTACTTACCAAATTTTGTGGTATTGATAATTTATAGCTGATGTCGTCTAACATTTACTCTCTTAGAAGCTCTGTTACTCAAATTAGACTTTATCTAAGCTTTATTTTAACACAATCTGACTAGAAAGAGCTGACTTGGTTGGAACTACAAAAGGTGAGATGATTTGTGTGCTTAAACAAGTCTTTTTCACATAAAATTACTCACAACCTACCTAAATAGGATCACGAGCCCTCGTATTGATCACAGACTCTTAAAAATGTGTTGTTTAAATGTATTTTCAGAGTTTTTAGAGGAGCTTAAAACTTTTTTCTGTGTTTGCTAATGTGTGCATTGTGCAACCAACGTAACTGCTGGTTGGTACTGATGGATAGGCCATAGATTCTGCCAAGAAAGTTCCACAGTATGACATTAAACAGCTCTACTTTACATTTATTAAAGCTCAAGAATACCTAGAAAACCTAGCATTTTGACTATGAGGTTGCCGCTCCACAGATCTAACCAGTAACTTTGTCTGATTTGGTCTCCATGAGGGTAGAAAGGTTTAAGTCACACTATGAAACATTCTAGACGTGGACAAAAGCATTTGATAGACAAAATAGTTACACAATGCACCTTTTAATTCAACTAATTTACCCTTCTTAGGACTTCACAAAATTGTTGATATAACCAGCAGCAAGTTAAAACAGTCACCAGACAATAAAAGAAAAGGGGATTTTTGGCCAAGTAAAACAAGATTAAGATTTCAATTAAGCTTAGCACTGACATAACTGTACTTCCTATTCTTTATAATAGGCCCCGAATGGCAAGATAAAACAGTCACTCTTACCAACACAACATGGGATAATTAGTTTAGATACAGCCAATTTCAACACTACATTAATCATACAGAAAAAACCTGAGCCACATCCGAGTGTGAACAGCAAAACAAAAGAATCAGATCTCTGCAATAAATCCTCAGTGGGAGCAAAGGTTTGTGGTGTGAACATGGCTGACGGTAATTATAGAGGAAGGAGCCCTAGAGGAAAAGAGAATAAACCAAAAGTTCATGTACATTTTTAGGAACAGCATAAACAAACGAACACCAAAAACTGCCAAATTTGACTGCTCTGTGTGAACTGACAAATGTGCAATTACTTAAAGGTCCTATATTACACAAAATGGATTCTTTAAGGAGCTTTAAGTCATGTTATAATGTTGTTTCCTAATCAAAAACATACCAAGAGTTTTGTTTTTCACAAATGTTTAACACACAAATCCTGCAGGCTGTGTTCTTCTCTGGTAACAACTCCAGGTATGTTTTTGATTAGGAAACAACATTATAACATAGATCAGAAAATTACGCAGTCCAGATATCAATTATGATTACTAAAATACAATTACAATACAATACAAAAAGGCCTATGAAATGTTTAGGGAGGCACTAACCATAAAATACACAGTGTCACAGGAACGTTGAAACTGCAGACAGGATAAAAGGGCCAGAATTCTCATATGTATATGGGATCTATGAACTTGGAACAGCATGTCCACATTTTCAAAGGAAGATCAAAAGCAGCTGGCAACAAGAGTCTGGGAACCACTATCCACTCACAAGACTAAAGCATAACTTTTGCCCAAGCTATAACTTTAATACAGACACAGCCACGATTGTATAAACTTGTACATAAGAACGTCTTACCTGGAAGCCTTCGTCCTGGTTCTTGGTGCCAAAGAAAGTTTCTCCATCAGCGCTGATGGTGCCCTGATCACTCCTGGGGAGAGGTTTGGTGATCTTGGTTTTACAGTCGACGATAATAGTCACAGTCTTCTTGTCAACGCTGATAGCCACACGATGCCACCTGAAAGAAAGACAAATGAGAAAGTGAGGTTAGAGGAAGTTTGAATGAATATATACAGTACGTAGACACGGCAATGGTTGCTCTTCTGCGCATTACTATTTGATATACATTGTTGGTATGGTTTTGAAACACTGGCCCTGAAGGAAATACATTGGGTAGAACTGAAGGACGCAGAACTGGAGATGCTGAGGTTCAGTAAAGGAGAATCACCTTTGTATTTGAGTGACTTCAGAAAGCCATTGAAAATTATTGATGGATAAATAAATAGACAACAGAGTTGGAGAAGATACACTGTGTAATTTTCTTGGAGGAGGATCTGCTACCTGCTTGTCACTATGGAAATGTTTTCCTGTTGAGAATGTTCCACAGTATGGCATTAAGCTGAACTATAAGCTTAAAATTAATGATAGAGTCAAGCAGGTGATGCTACCAAGCCAAGTCACAGGTCAGACCTGTGGAGAGGCAAGCCTGCTCATTGTAAGAATGCATGTCTGTCAATAAATAAATAAATACATCTGTAAATGAATGAATGAGAGACAGATACAGTTCTCATCTCATCTCTTACTGTGGAACATTTCAGACAAAGTAGCAACATATCCATGGCAACAAGCAGGTAGTTAAACCCCACCAGAAAAGTTACTTAATGCAGGGCCAGTATTAATTTCTTTTCTGATATACGTTAACATGTTGTTCATTCATGAGTTCTTTTCTCAAACAGAAAACACTTCACTTCCACGTTGTGATGTCATGTGGTGATACAGGAAGTACTCCACTGTGTTTTTAAACTCTATACACCTTAACTAGAATCACTGATAAGTTCAGCCCTGGAGTTTCCAATCAAAAGGCAAAAGCTTGTTAAAACTACCGCTTCATGACATCACAAGGTGGAACACAGCATTTTGAGCTTCGGAGATGTGTTACCCAAACAATGTGTCAATGAAACAAAACACAACTCCAGGTATTTTTTTGAGCAGGTAAGAATATTCTAACATGATTTAAAGGTCACAGGTGTCAGTTTTGCATAATATAGAACCTTTACATAACATCTTTCCCCTTATAATATAAAGCACCAATTTTGTTAATGTTTGTGATCAATTCATTCATAAAAAAATATTCTTTACAGCATCTCTCAGTGGTAAGGGTTAACCCGGGTCACACGTGAGCCTGACACCTCCCTTGCCTTCAGACCAGTGCCTTTAAGAGCTATCGCATACCAGGCAGCAGTGCACCACATTCTTGCCCCCACACTCTGGCCCTGTTTAACACGGGATTACACTCATTAAACTCCAAACTTAATCCTCCTTCTGGGTTACTCGCCATGACAGACGTGGTGAACATTGTAGAAAGTGAGGATCCAGGAAGCTTCGTCTTGCCAAATCAGGAGGTGCACAGTCATAACATTGTTCTCAGGGTGCAAGATGAGACTTGGGAAAGCGTCTGTTTGATATGATGATCTAAGGTGGTTTATTACACAAGTAGAGGAATAAATTTTGTATTTTTTTTATAGATCTATTGTTAATTTCATATCTGGGAGACAAGATTCTACAGAAAGGCAATGGAAAGTGAACATGCAACTTTTAAAGCAAGGGGGATTATCTGTCACATTACATGGCAACGAAGCAAAGTTTGTACAATTAAGACATAACAACTGTGGTACTGCTACTGTCAAAATCCTGTGCATGCAATGTGGTGAAATCAAGTTAAAACCTGTTATATTTACAGCTCCATGCATTCATACACATACAACAAAGCCATTACCAATTAAAGTGATAGTATGTAACTTTCTGGAGGCAGGAAACAAACTGTATGATTCCACAAAAAATAGAAAGTTAATGCTGTACTTTTCAACATTCTCCATGCAGATAGATACTCTTTATGCTATACTGTAAAAGATTATAGCCAAAGGAACAACATTTCATAGGAAACCCTCCTTAAAGCCAAATAAGAGTCAGGTTTATGGAGATGCAAGCCTGATCTGAGTAAGGACATGTGTTTTTCAGTGCAGGAAAACATCTACCACAAAAAACATGCTTTATTTGAGTCTATTTTTGGTCAAAAAGTTATAATTTTGAAAGACCAAGGACAGGGTAAATTAATCTCTAGAAAACTGACAATAGATTTGGTAAAAGCCATTTCAAGTATCCATTTTATATTAGAATTACAATGGCAATACCAGCTCTCTTGTATTCAGCGCATACCCTGAAACTCAGCCAAAGATTAACATGGAGTCAGAAGGATATTATGACCGGAGTTTGACCCACTTTAAAGCTCAAAAACAAACCCAGATAGCATCTTTATGAAGTCTAAGTGAGCTTTATTTACTACTAGCTATATATAGGCTGACAGTGCACTTTTTGCCTAGAGCACTGGTCCAAAGTTACCTTCAGTGTTGTTTCAGTATTTGTGAGGTAATAAGCAAAAAGGTAGTTTAAGGACTAGCCCGGCTCTCCTGCTTCCTCCCTGCGCCCTCCACTCAAAAATAACAGAGCAGTGAGTTCATGGACGAGGTCAGTTGCCCATAGCAGTCCCCGCTGGGCCGGTATAATCCAGTGTCTCCCAGTGTCTCCATGTCTCTGACCAGTCTAAGCTCCCAAACGCAGTGGGACAGATAATGAAGAGATGGGCAGCCACAGACAGCTAACAATGGCAAAGTCTGCTCTGTTTCTCTAATCTCCATCAAGAAGGCCAAGATATGAATGTATTGGTGGGATACTGTGAAGTTTCTCTGTTCTGAGAAGGTTAGCTGATTGGTAAGTAAGGGCCTGAACCTGATTTTTTCCATTGTATTTTAGCAAAACTGGTCACTTACAATGAATAATTTGAATGCTTGGAATGCAAAAGCTTAGTGTGGAATAACTTTGGACCACTGCAGAACATTTAAAAATAGCTCGTTCTGTTTTTAATGACACACAAAATTCAGGTACAGTGCCTTGAAAGTTGACCTGATTTCCAAGCTAAATAAAAAATATCATACTCCTAGCTTCACAAACCCATTCAGAAAATAGTATTCGCATGCATTTATTTTAGAGCGCGTGCACAACTTTAAAGCATCTTTTATCAGCTGGTGAAGTGAAGCAGGAGTGCGCTGCCAAAGGTCAGTCAATCCTAGCAAAGTATACAGCTTTCTCTTCCAGGTTTGTGATTGTTAAAATGTTTAGATGCTTAGATGTTTAGATTTATTACTAAGTGCTGCTTTCACAATATAATGGACTTACGTCTGCAAGAATGACGTCAGCTACCCCAACTTTAAGCTATTTCTGTGCATCATTATGAACCATAGATCTTGAATTAATTTAGTTAAAACTAGTCAGTAAAACACTGCATTGGTTGTATATACAATACTAAAGAGGTCATGAGTTTATCTTCTCTCTTAGAATGCAACTCTCATGATAAAACCAATGATGACTAGTGAGAACCTTGTATCTATAATTTTGATTCAATGCTTTCCAAACACGTGCCTATAAAAGTGCAAGAGGGCACCAGCTGTTTGGAGCCACATTTTTCAGTGATAGCCTTCATCACATCTGCTCCTGTTGTGATTCTGCCTCTATAAAAGTGCACAGGGTGTGTCTAACTGCATGTTGAGCTGCTGACATACTTTCCGTCGGCCATGTTGAGTGTATTGAAGAGTGGGTATTCCTCAGGTGAAGGTTTGCCATTCTGATCCTCATACAGGAACACAGGTGCTCTCCCAAGCTCCACGCCCAGCTGCTGGACCCCCTGTGCGTTATAGACGGAGAGCAGGAACGACTGGAGGCTGGACTTTGGGCGGACAGTGGTCAGGAGAGAGAAGTCTTCTGGAAATGCACCACCTACAGAAAGGACAAGTGTTAGTTCAAAAGCAAAGACAACATGCATCTGTAAACATTCACTTATCTGAGTAGTCACAAAAGTTTTTTAAAAAGTTGAAAATTAAGAGTAAAAATTTGCAGGAAAAAAGTAAAGGTAATAGTGCTAGTTTTAATATAGGACTTTGTGTGTATAAGGAAAATATATTCATAATAAACAGTACTAAATGTTCTCTATGTAACTTTTTCGTTGGGGGTTCGTCATCTGCTTGTTTCTATGAATATGTCATTGCTCTGCCTGGAATGTTTCACATTGGTTTTATAGTTGCCTCTCCACAGATCTGACTTGTAACTTGGTCTGATTTGGTCTCCATGAACATAAAAACATATAATACCATACTGTGAAACATTCCAGAAAAAGCAATAACATCTCCATGGAGAAAAGCATTTGACCGAACCTCCATCAGGAAAGTTACACAATGCACCTTAATAAAAAACAAATCAGGACCCTGTCAGCAGAAATATTAAGAAATTACTGTCAAAATATACACAATTTTGCCACCATGAAATTTCAAATAGGTAACAATTATGACGATTTAACATGATTTAATGTGATATAATGCAATTCTATATTCAAACACACTGTATCTGACTTTGCCCCACATACACTTCCTATTGGCCTTCATAAATATCTCTTGAATAAAGTTATGATTTTATATTTCATTACTTATCTTTCTATTTTATTTTGACTTGTACATTTGCATTTTTATAATTATGTCTTTTTTGACACGTGTCTTTTGCTGCTTATTTAGAATGTATTATTACCATTTATATTTTGCTCTTTGTTATTGTATTATATTGTGATGCGTGAGCTACTCTGTCCAAATATTTTCTCCTGTGGATCAATAAAGTCTGTCTAGGTCTAAGTTTAAATGCCTAAGTGAGTGACACATGCATTATCCAATCACAGCAAAGCATTAACTCACAGTAGAAGCAGATTCTTAAAGCTCTAATTAGATGAATCAAATGAAAAAAGAAAGAAATATGTCCTTTTTTGTCATTAATACATTATCATTACATTCAAAACATAATCTTAAGATTCATTTATATTGGTTTATGTTTTGTTATATATATTAAAATGCGACATCACATTGCTGCATTTTATTTAATTTTTTTTTGTAATTCTGCCTATCTGCACTTCGCAATTGCATTCATAATCACGCTGATACTTTGATTGTTACTTGTGACCATGACAACAAATTCTTGAATCATAAATCTGGTCTACTGGTCCAAATGTGAGGACTTTCAGGGGTGACTTACCAGGGAATAGCTGTGTGGTGGGGGCCTTGAGCTGGACCTGGTTGGTGACTCTGTAAGCTGTGTCTGGCTTCGATGCTCGTCGGTGTGTGCAAAATCCCGATGTTTTCGTCACTCCTTCAGGGGAACTTTGAAATTCTAATACTTTAAGGACATCCACTGGCTCTGCTGTGGAAGAGAAGGGGCAAATATTAGAAAAGTCACAGTGGTAAGTGCTGTTAAACCTGATAAACAAATGCTTATATCAAAAATGTGCTGAATCCTTTGTGGTCTAGTATTTTTGAATCATAAATTAGCATCACTATTCATACCACTACCCGATTAGTAAGTTCACTTTTTTGCTCATTGTGGTATGACAGTACTCGAAGCCAGATTATTAGGTCAACTGGATTTTGTTCTTTGATGTTATATAAATCTATTACTTGTAACCCCATGCAAATTTGGTCATTTATGGGAAAAAATATTTGGTAGCTCTTGTCATATGTTAAAAATATCTAGCATATAGGAGGCTGCAGCAAAACAGGTAATTAATTATGGATAATAAGCATAAAATACATGTGGTACAAACAATCTAAACATACAATAATATTAAATACAGTGTGGAGGAAGTAGTCCTATGTGCAACTCCAAAACAAGTTCTTGCATCCACACTGTGAATAATGTTGAACATCCTGTGCAACTCCAAAATGGATAGCCCAGTTACATCTGAATGAGCTCCCAGTGTCTCCTTATCTGTGAGGAACCTGTTCAGGCCAACAACATTTATAGCAAGATAGTTTTACCTGGATTCACCAGGGAATTAACTCTGATGCCCTCCACTGAGAGGGCTTTGTGTGGGCCACAGTGTGCTCAGAAAAAAGTCCAAATTATGACATTGTCAATAACACTCTCAAACTTCAGGACAAAAACGAAAACTACTGATTATAGCAGTTTCACCCTATATGCAGGGACATGTTCGTGTGCCCAGCCAAGACTAAACATTTTTCCTTTTCTATACATGTCAGTTTAGAATATACAGAGAAAGAAACCTTTGATTTGCTTGACTCCCTGTTCAGTAACAAACTCTGGCCATTTTACATGTATGCAAAAACTGATGGCACAGTAAGAATCGCTAATTCTTCCTTCTCAAAACTGAACATGAGATGTCTAATTCAGATAGAGAAGTTGTATTTGACATGGGGCTAAAATGGGCTCAATAATGAGTATAGGGGTTAAAAGAAAACAGGAAGTTTTTACCTCACAGCATTAATCTGTTGTCTTGGTTTAGTGAGGTCAACTAAGTGTCTTTGCTTTAACATTTAGATGTGTCTGTTAAAAGCGCTCAGCTTTGACATTCCTTCAAGCAACCGGCATGAAAAAGCTAAAACATGTCCAGTTCTGTTAAGACCTGAATCTACATGAATGTATATTTTCAATATGAATCGGGCTGTGCAACACAGACTCCATCTCTATGAAAGCTAGCAATTACAATATCATAATTTAGTTAATTGTTTTAGTTCACATTAATTATATTCTAAATACAGTATATTTTTTGTAGCCCTATATCAACTATGTTGCACTGAAAACATCATCTTTTGGCCTGCTGTTAAAAAAAATCTCCAAAAGTTAAAACAAGTCAACTGATTCCATAATATAAAAGGGCGGCAGAGATCAGCCAAAGTCACTCTCTAAGAATCCTATCACTTAGCACTTGGGCCCTTGTTGTCCTTTGAGAGAGGGACTCTACTTTCTTTGGATTCTGAACTGAGGCTTCATTGTGAGCTCCTGTGGCGCTGCACTCAGGGTTCATCTGTTCCAGATGTGTCTGTTTGGCCGGGAAGCGACCCTCACACCAAGATGCTGAGAAAACGTCAACAATGGCCAATCCATTAAGGCCAGGCAAATGAGTGTGGAGGATTTTAAGAGCGCATATGTGAGGAGCTGGAGAGATTCTGCCCCTCAAGCTAAACAAACAGGCCAACACACTGGAGATATGGGCCCAGAGACAAGAGGATGGAAGTCAATGGAGAGAAATCAGCCAATCAGAGCGGCTGCCTCCAGGTTTCATCCTCACATCATTATTCAAATGAAGCAGACAAGGAAAAGGAGGGGCTTAAGTTATTACTATAAGTTTATATATTAGCTGTCATGTTCACAAGTTTTACAGGTGTAAAATGTAACTCAACACTGGAAAAGTACATCACTTTTAGGACAATGGCCAAATAACCTGTTTCACTCTATTTCAACTTGAGCTTACTCTACAGCCCCTGAGGAAGTGCTCTAACCGTCAGCTTGTACATCTTGCTGAAAAAGGTGAAATTGTCTGGTAAACGGAGGAGGACCTTTTCACCTGCAGCTCCTTGAGACTCTAATAATATCTTGAGCCAGAGTGTCTCACCCCCACCCCTCGCTCGCCCTCTCTTACCTCCAGCTACCACTGCGCTACCAGCTAAAACAAGACGGCTTTATACTGCTGTCATACCAACCAAACCGTACAGGGACCCACTTTTTCACTGCATTTTTCCCCCCAGTTATCTCCCCTTCAACTTTCAACTTCACTGGAGTAAAAATGTACTAGTGCTGGCATAAAGCAACTCTACCCTAATACTGAAACATAAACAGAAATATAATTAGTTTTCAATGAGATAACCTGTTGTCTTGCTGGAACTTATCCAACTGAAATTAACAAAAGAAATAACTTAATATGATTAGCTGATGTTCATAGTTATCAGCAGAAGAGGTTGATAGGGCTGTGAAAATACTAGCTTTGTGTGCTGGAATGCACATCTGAGTCTGCGCCCCAGGGGTTGAGAAAACGTGTCTGTACACCGCTGGATGGAGAGGCTCCCTGCAGAAACACTGCGGCTGCCGTAAAGATTCACATTCACAGAGGACCAGGGCATCAGGGCCTGAAGCTGAATACTTTACACAGAGGCATGGTAATGATTTAAGACTCCATCTTCTCTCAAAGTGTGATCTGGTTTAATGGAGCAAGGTGGAGACATGTGGAAAATGCTCTGAAGCTGTTTAAGTAAATCGAGCCTTAAATTATGAATAAAATATAATATAAACTTTTTCTGCATCACAAAAGTGTCAAATGCTTCAGAAGTGGAGGTGCAAGGCCAATCCTGAACATTGTGACTTGTGGCTATTATGGCTGCAGGCTATTGGCCCAGTCCACAGCGGCTCTTTGAAGGCTCTTAAATCATAGGGAAGCGCTACAAGGACCATCATCAAATAACTGCTCAGTACTTAGGACGGGAAGCATTCCCACCGGCCTCAGTCCACACAGCGCTGCCTTGTCCCGGGCCCAGCAAACATCTAAGTGCAAAGTGGAAGGGGGAGAGCCGGTTGCTCCTGAGGAGGGGGCAACTCATCTGTGCATTGGGCTATGTGTGGACCAGGCCAGTGTGGAGATAGGGTGAGCAGAGGGCTGTCTGCATCCCCAGGCTCACACAAAACTCACAAAAAAAATCATCATTATCTATTGTAAACTTTGATCATTTAATATTTATTGCTATGATAATTCTTAACAAATTCTTGAACGAACCTAATCAATGATGAAAGTGTATAATGAAGTGAAGGAGTATATGAAAGAACACCAAAAAAAAAAAAAAAAAAACACCTCCACCTAAACCCATACAGGTTTGTCCAACTCCAAGGGAGTTTTGGATCTGCTTAGTTTCTCTCACCAGCCGGGCTGGTATGTTATATATTAGATAAAGCTCATAGGTCATCACTTCCACCAGAAGACCACACTTCAAACTTCAAAAAGTTTTTCTCCCTAAAATCGTTGTCTGGCCCTGATGTACCAGCGCATACCAGCGGAAGCTTAAGATGAATTTAATTAGGAGAGGTGCTTCATCTTTCATTCATGCGTAACATTGCCTCTGGTCTGTTGTATGGTCATGAATATTGTGTTTCTGAACTATACACTACGTTCACATCTATTTAGGAGGCAATGTTTTTTTGTTTATTTTTTTCAGCCTAATCAGTGGGGTTTTCACTGTAAAGTTTTGTGACTTGAACATATCGATCGATTAATCAAAAGTTGTGCGTAATTGACGTCAGTAATTACAGTACGCGTGTGCGTCTCTTGGTTAGGAAACACCGAGTCCGTTGATTGTAAAGAAAAAAGCGACGCGTTTTATTCCAGGTACAAGATAATCTCCATCATCTGTCAGAGTCCCAGGCGGCAGTGGTCTCTCGCTCCGTGCCATTTCGGACATTCAGTTTGGCCGCATATCTTCTTACCTGCTTTGACATTAGACGCGTGTAGAACCAGGGTTAAAGTGATGAATGCAGTTACAGTGGAATCCATAATCCACCTTCTCGTTTTCCACCTTGTGGAGCACCTCTGCATCTCCATGGCCAGGCGCCCACAGTGAATCAAACTCTCGGGCGACTTTCAGGTGATTTGAACAGGCGTCCCTTCCACAATCCCAAATGATGGTGTAAAGTGTCCTACAAAAAAGCCATAGGTGTGCGTTTCGCCTCTTCTCTCAGCCACAACGAGGCCCCCGATCCTCCTTCCCAGTGCCCAGCCTTCACAGTGAAGGAAGTCGGGCTTTAACCAAAGCGCACACAGTGCAGACTGTACACTCGGTGCGTCCGTGCGCGGGAGGGCTGGGCGAGCTCCACAAACCAGCGCCACGATTACAGGGAACTGACACGGCAACCAGCCCCCGATTAGCAAATCACGGGGCAGGAAATTCTCCTGCGGGTCCACCCATTGGCTTTGTAATGCGCCCCCAAAGTCTGTGGCCAGTGCATCTGGGAAAATAAGCCCTGGCACCAGATGAATGAGTTAACACTCCAAAGGGTTAAAAAGAACTTAACTTAGGCTAAAAGATTTAGGATACTGACTCGGCCTCACACAATCCAAAATAGTTTAGCATTCTAGGCAAAGTAATTATGATCAAAACTAAAAGCCTTTCATGTAATCCACCAATAAGAAAAAAATTGTCTTATTTTTTTCTTGAAACATCCTGCATCTTTTTTAAATGAAAACTGATGAAGGGCATGGGTCCAGCAATAATGGACTTGTGATCAACATTCAGTAATCACATGTGTCCAATAAATACAGTGTGATGCATGAGTCAAAAAATGTTGAAGCCATTTTTTTTAATGTACACACAAGTTGAACCCAACCAACCCTTTGCCCAGCAGACAGAGGCAGGCCCAGCGCCAGTGACAGACCACCCCAGTGTCTGAGTGCAGAGCTGTTCCTCTAATGACCCCTCAGACAGAAGTCAGGGGCACGGACAGTCCTCCTTTTGTATCTTTTGGCTCAAAACATGGATTCTACCCAGTCTCTGTCTGTCGGCCATCTTGTCACTCTCATCACTCTCCTCCTGCCAAACACTATCAGATGTTCTGAGATCAGGCGCAGCTCAAAGTCACATCTTAAAGAAAGATTATTCACAGAGAAGAGAGTCATTTTACTGCTGATGATGATCTAAGTGCCACAGCTGTACCATTGTTGTGTTTTATGGGTATCCAGTGATATATTTGTACTACAGAAATGCATATCTAACAGTAAAATAACAACAAGGAGTATATCACTTTTTGTTCACTCATCATCAATGTAAATTCATTTATTATATTATCTGACAAGGAATAGTGTAAAAAGAACACTTGGTGCTCACTCAGACAGATGAAAGCCTCAGGGACTTTTTGCACGATCTGGTTTGATTTCCTCTTGAACAAACATTAAACATTTGCAGAACAGAGAGAATAAAACAGTAGCACCATAACGTTTCAAAGGATAATACCTTATTCAAGCCTGTTTTGTATATGAAATTTTGATCCATTAGCTCATATATATTAATGAGAGATTCAGGAAGGGCATCTGATGTAAAAGTAAATCACTACATATATGAAACCTATAAAAGACAAACAAGAACTCTTTGGTATTACCAGACTGAGAAGTTTATTTATAAAACGCTTGCCCTCAAATAAGTACCATATACAGAACCTGCCCAAATCAGATCCAGAGACGAGTCCCTGTACAACACTGAAATCATTTGAATTAAACATTTATGGCTCAAGCGAAATAAACCTTAAACTTTATATGGTATGACTTTTACATGATACAGTATCAAAACACAGGTACTTTTCACAGGAACATTTGAGGCAGCTAGCGGCCACTGTCTGCTCCTGTTTACACACTGCACACCCCTGAGTATAAAGAGCTCTTTCTCTGCGCTGCTCCAGTCCTCTGTCCAACCTGAGCTCCAAAATGTCCCTCAATTCAACACTATTTTTATCCACCAAAGAATTTAAAGACTGAGAAATGTATAGCACTTATATGTAATGGTGCAATATGGTTTTAGAGGTCAAACAGTGTAACTAGGGGCATCATAGTATTCAAGATGTCACGAAGCTGTAGTTTTCAAGGTAACAACTACATTTTTACTTTAGTTCGGTAGAGATGTTCAATTCTAGGGCTGAAATTATTCATATGATTCTAGTGAAGAAGTATGGAGTTTAAAAACAGAGTGAAGCAGTTGTTTGAGGGAAGATCTAAGCCTAAATATGCAGGGTTGTTGTGTTAAATATGTTTGAATGAAACAAAAAATAACTCATAAACAACATCACAACACAGATCAAAAAATAGCATCATATGGACCCTTTAACATATAACAACATTTTACTATAAAGACAAAAACTGTATATTAGGGATTTCCCATTGTTCTGCCTCAACAACACCTTGAGTTAAATAGGGCGACAGTAGCTCAGTCAGAAGGTTGGCAGTTTGAATCCCACTCTCAACATAAACATCATTGGTTGAGCATTCAAATCCACTGACCCACAGCTTGACCGGTGTGATTCCAGCTCTGACAGATGAATGCTGTTGTTGTGTCCTTGGGCAAAACACTTAACCCTCCTTGACCCTAGTGTCTGCGTATACTGGTGTATGAATGTGTGTGTGAATGGGTGAGCAGTTCGTAGTTGTAAAGCGCTTTGAGCACTTTGAAGATGGAAAAGCGCTATACAAAAAGTGACCACTGACCATTTTACCATAGGTTTAATGTCTACTGGGGAACATTCTAGACAAAGCAACAACATTTCCATGAAGACTTCCTCTACAAGTTACTCAGAGCACCTTTTAGTAGCAAGTTAATGCAAACGGATCAATGGTACAGTCCATAGTTGCTACAAAGGATTGCAGTGACTCAATTCAAGACGTTGATGAATTTCAGATGCACTTTTAAATATTAAGATAAAATGCTAAATCCATTTCTGGTATTATGCAACTTTTCTGGTAAAAGTCCAACACCTGGTCCATGGAGATATGCTGGGGATTCTGCTTTGGCATTAAACTTGCTTATTATTTAGTTACAGGTTGTTTTTTTTTTCTTTTTACAATAAAATAACACCTTGAAAATATGTATTCTACTGTAAGTGGGCACTCCTCTCCATTAATCAGACTTGTAAATTGGCTTGGTTCTTGTGTCCATGGAAATTGATAAGCTTAACTGTGAAAAATTCCAGGAAAAGCAACAACATCTCCACAGTGACGAACGCAATGCACCTTTAAATAAAAAATACAAAAAAAATAAAAATCTCTCTTTCTCTGCAGTGAGGACATGCAGGTCTGGAGCACAGGTGTCCCTAATATGAAGCAGGCCAGTTTTCCAGCATAAGAAAAAGGGGAGTGACAGAGTAAGTGTTTATATGTCTGAAAAGAAGATGTCCCTGTGTCTGTAGCTTTGGGCCATCTACAATGAGAGCCTAGGTTAAAAAAAAACATATTTGCGGGACGATCCGGGTCAGAGGTACATATTCTGTAATACCAGTGGCTTGAAGTTATAGTTTTTGTCTACTGAAGGAACTCTCTCATTTAACAAGTCATGGTCATTCTCTGCCAAATTCATCTTATTCTTAAAGGTGCATTGTGCAACTTTCCTCGTCAAGGGTCCTATCAAATGTTTTTGTCCATGGAGACGTTAATGCAGGGATCTCCAACCTTTTTCCTTCAGTGACCTACCGTTACAAAACAAAAAAGCCAGAGAACTACTCATTTTAGAAGTGGCAAAATTTTTGAGTACACATAAGCCTTAGACGAGGAACAGTTAGATGGCTATAAAACATGAAACATGATCTATTTTTAGTGCACAGATAGGCAACAAAATGATACATGTACAATTACTCAAATGTTACTTATTTAGCACAATACCTAAGATTCAGAAATCCCTTGGTGAGTTACTTTGAAGAGGGTGGAGAGCAACTGGTATCTCCTGAGCTACAGGTTGGAGACCCCTGAGTTATTGCTTTGTCTGGATTGTTTCACACTGTTAAACTTTTCTATCTTCATATAGACCAAACCAGACCAAGTTACAGGTCAGATCTGTGGAGAGGTGACCCCACTCACAGTTACAACGCCTGTTTTTCCAAGGTATTTTTGAACTATAAAACCATCTGTAATTGAATGATGTAAGGTAGAAGTTGTTTTTTTTTAAATGTCATACTTTGGAACATTCCAGGCATAACCATAGAAACAAACATGTGACAGACTTCCAAAAAAAAGTTACATAGTGCACCTTTAAATCTGATCCATAAATATTTTTATGCTATATATTTGGATCTACTGTGCCAAGGTAAGTCACTGCCACAGATACCATCAATATGATAGATTTACTCCTTTGACTTTTAGATAATTGGTTTAGTACATAGGCCTTCAGGTACAATATAGATTCTCTGATACAACATGCCGATTATATGCTTTGAATGAAGTCCATATATTGTTTTTCTTGTGTTAAAATTGCATATTAAAAAAGTATATACAGTACATTCCACAACTAACTTAAAAGTTTCACAGTTTGAGAAAACACAACCACCATCACTACCGCTTAATACTGTCATTTTCTACTTTCACAGCTTGTTGTTGCCTGTTTATTATTGTAGTGAAATCATCCATCATACATCTCAGAGCAGTGAGGAAAGCTGCCGTGGTGACAGAGTGGGTAGGCCCAGTGTGGGTGGGAAGGTGTGAGGGTTATAGGGGCGAAGAGTACTCCCCATCTCAAGTGTTCATGTTCATGACTGCAGACATGAGCCGTGTGTCCTACTTTAGGGAGATTTATGAATGAACGTGAAACTCTACCCATCCAGCCACAAGCAATAAATATACCAATTAACTTAAAGAGCTCAAATTTTGTGTAATTATTGTGCTAATTTGCAAACAGGGGAAGAAAATTGAGATATTATATAAAGTATCGATTGAAACTAAAGCATTATTTAATAGCAATTTCAATCATGGGAAGTTATTGATAGCTATTCCCATACAATTACATACACTTGACTCTTGTTAGCTTTAAGTTATGTTATAATGTTTTTACTTCATCAAAAAATACCTGGAATTTT